GTGTTCATGGAACCAGAATACAGAGAGTTGATAGTACGCATTTAGATATGATGGTAACGCTGAAATATTGAAGGCTTAAAAGATGGTATTTAATGGTGCCAAGCAGCGTTCAATATAACCAGAGTCATAAATGTTTTGATATAAACCTTAAACCACCTATCTAGTGCAGCGAAGTCGTGTATCGAGTGGAGAGAAAATCACCATATGTGCTTGTTTAGTTGTTCAGGACTACCTTCGAAATGGCCTCAATCTAGCAGGTCAGTGAGCTCATTATCTATGATGCTGTCTTCCTCTATGGCATAGTGTTTCGAATAGCGTTTAAACCTCTTGAACAGTCTTCTGTAGATAGTATCGAGAGTTCAATGCGATAAATCACTTCAAACGAGGACCTGATCAAGTGTACCGTATGACTTCAGTTTAACTGTGTTGTTCTTACAAAAAAATCAGAAAGTGCGAACTGGTCAAGGCACAAATTTTAAACCAAGTCTTTTGGAATGTCTGATATCTCACAAATACTCCTAAGAACACTAGTGTTTGAGCCCAACTATGATGCAATCAATGGAGTCTTTAAGTACATGTTGAAAGTACCACATGTATCCGAAGTTTGACAACGCTTTAACCAGTAACAGCTCCCATCGTGAATCGTACTCACCAAGTGAAATCAAAAGACAGGAGCGAGGAGTTCGGATGATATGTTTGATAGGTTATCAATACACCGTGGATCGACTGATCTAATCTGGTCAGTCGTTGCAGGAGATGTTGAACACAGAGTTCCTAGCCATCCTAGTCATGATCACTACCCCCTGGTGGGGTAGTGATGACCCTAAGAAGTAGTCAGCTAGAAGTTTAAACCTAACGAGTTTGATAAGCAGAGTTTGTCGTTGGTAAACACTCTTCCGATAGCTCGCTATGTTTGGCTGCGTCTGATAGTTGTTCCCTAATATAAGGGATCGTAAAGTACAATATAGAAATAAGGAAACAAAGTATAATCAAAATTTCGTTCTTTCTATAGTCTTTTCCAGCAGTCCTGGAAAAACAAGAATATATAAGTGCAAGTCGAAATACACTCGCACGTGCATAAAGACACAAGGCGGACGAAAGAAAGGTAAATCAACCCATGCACCTGCAATAGCTTTAAAGCGATTTTTAAAGAATCTTTTCGGTTTTTTGAGAAAAAAATTAAAAATACACATGTTAGCATAAGTAACTTTTTTTTGTTTTTTTTGGAATAAATATATACGTATAGACATATTAAATTTTTTATTGTATACAATACAAAGGAAAATCGGATAAACCAAAATGTTAACTGATGTCTTACCTGCAATAATTGTTTAAATGTTCCGGAAGTCTTACTTTTTTTCCAGAACGCGTTGTTTTAACTTTATTTGCAAATACTGCCGGAGTATCGACATGAGTGTTGTCTATCGGATGACGTATTATAAGTGTAGGAGTCGTGTCGTTGGGCGGTTAGCGGTTTCATAAGGGCCGTGCATTTTGGTATGAACCGCCTATAGAAACTTACAAAGCTGTCAAGTGTGCGAAGTCGCTTGATGGTGGTCTGTTATAGTAATACAGAATGGGCTCCACTTTGCCTCTGAGAGGGCGGATGCCTTGAGCATCAATAGTGTGTCCTAGGAAATCCAAAGACTCTGTTCTGAATGTTCCACTTTTGCAATCATTCGAACACAATGTTCAGATGCTGCAGATGGGATTATCTGTCCGGACTTGCTATCAAGCAGTCACCGACATAAACATATACGAAGTTCAGACCTAGAAAAACGTCATCTGTGAACCTTTGGATGTTTAGGGCAGCATTTCTTAGGCTGAAAGGTATGCCCAATGCTCGTAAAGTCCGAAAACAGTTATGGTAATGGTCTTAGGAAAGTTGTCAGCAATCACGGAAAGTTATTAATAGGCTTTAACCAGGTCGATTTTCGACAAGACAGTTTTACCTTTCAAGGTAGCTGTCAAATCGTGAATGTGAGGCAACGGGCAACGATGGGGAATGGCTTTCGCATTCAAACGCCGATAATCACCAGTTGGACGCCAATTGTTGCTATCCTTTTTATGGACCATGTGCAAAGGAAATGCCCATGGGCTGTTTAGCGGTCGAATGGTTTCTAACTCTATCATGTGGCCGAATTCCATTTTTACCGACCACAGTTTTTCGGGAGCCAGTCGTCGTGCTTTCGAGGATGCAGGTGGTTCTGCAGTCGTGATGTGATGTGCAACATTGCTGGTTACACACATCGATTTCAGTTGCTGTTGGTATGTCCCAGAGTGCTTAACGAGTAACGGTTGATGGTTTGCGTCTATTGGGTGCCTTATTGTGACTAGCAACCAGAAGAAGTTACGCAAGCCGATAAATTAGTGTTTCCGTCTGCCAGCCTCCGTTCGCGTGTATCAATGAGTAGGTTGTGATGTTGTAGGAGGTCGGTACCAATGATTGGCATAGAAACATCTGCAACCACGAAAATTCAGTGAATAGGTTTCACAAAACTTCACGTTCAGGTAAACGTACCTTTTTCCATGAGTGACGATTTGCTTTCATTTGCCACCTGCAAGCCTAAAACAGGTTCGTGAAGACGGTTGTTAGAATTCGAAGGAAGGACGCTAACTTCTGAGGCTGTGTCGACAAGGTAGAGAACTTTCGTGGCCAATTCTGTGACGTATAACAAATAGCTATGTTCGTCGGCTACGGTTGCCGTTAACGCTTGCCGTCTGGGAAGTTTCCCGAATTGTTTTAGTGTCCGTCAATTTTGAGTTTGAATACCTGCAGGGATTTCTGAAATTACTAGAAGACTTCTCATACTTGTTATGACACCAGCATCAATCGGGAGTTGGACTCCGTAAACGCCCAACCTCGAGATCAACAGGCTGAGTTCCGTTAGGATCGATCGTGTAGTGACCAGATTGCAACTCTATGGGTCATTGTGGAACAATCAATTGAATTGAATTCATCACTCTACATCAACTTCATTTACTACTAGAAAGCAATTCATAGCGTGGACAGGACAGCACTATGGAGGCTTCTTCGATACTACGGCGTGTCTGAGAAGATAGTCAATATCATACAGAACTCCTATTGTAGTGAACAAAACACCGGTTGGGGACAATCGAATGTATTTAAGCAAAATTACAGACTATCTCAGTAAATTCTGAAAACCATACAATGAACAGTCAATTTGCAAATTAACAACCAATTGTTTCAATCTTCACTGTTTCTTCTCTAATTCCACTGCTCATGCATTTTCCAAACGATTGCGCTTCATTTCAGTTCTTTCCTCATCGGTCTTCTGCCAAAATACATTGTATGTCTAACCCACACCATATAATACTTATATGGATATAAGTAGACAACACCACACTATGATGGACTAAACTGCCAAAAAGTTCATGGAAGTCAACTCACCGACTCATTCGAAATAAAGATCGGTGTGAGGCAAGGTTGCTTACTCTCACCCTTTCTCTTCCTCCTGGTGATCGACTAGATCATGAAGACATCAACATCTGGAAGGAAGCACGTGATAAGGCGGAGAGCTAGGATGCAGCTGGATAATTTAGACTTCGCAAATGCTATGGCTCTTCTGTCACATACGCAACAATAAATGCAGTAGAAGACGACCACTATAGCGGCAGCCTCATCAGCAGTAAGTCTCAATATAAACAAAGGGAAAAGCGAGATTTTCTGATGCAACATAACATCCATCAATCGAATCACACTTGACAGAGAAGTTTTGGAGGATGTAAAAACCTTTACATATCTGGGCAACATCATCGATGAACACGGTGGATCTGATGCAGATGTGAAGACGCGGATTAGGAAAGCAAGAGCAGTATATTTACAACTGAAGAACATCTGGAACTCAAAACAATTGTCAACCAACACCAAGGTTAGAATTTTCAATACAAATGTCAAAACAATTCTAATGTATGGGATGGAAATTCGGAGAACTACGAAAGCCATCATCCAGAAGATACAGGTGTTTGTAATAACACTTGTCTACGCGAAATACTTAGAATCCGTTGGACAGACACTATCAGCAACAGCCTACTGTGTGGGAGAGAACAAACCATATTTCAGCGAAGGAGGAAATCAGGAAGAGGCGCTGGAAATGGATAAAACACACATTGAGGAAAGCAGCCAACTGCGTCAAGGTCAAAAAGGATGAGGAAGACCAAAGAACACATTAAGCCGAGAAATGAAAACAGACCTGAGAAGGAATAACAAAAGATAGATAGAAATAGAAAGGAAGGCGCATGATAAAGTGAGTGGGTTGTAGAATGCTGTTCGGCGACCTACGCTCCATTGAAAGTAACAGGCGTAATTAAGTAACTAGTCGTGGTTGTCCATCTCTCGTAGTCTAGAGATAGATAGCTTTCGTGATGTGCTTCATCGCGGGGTATGTGACCGTTTACGGTTAATGACTTCCACCTGTCTTTAGCTTGGTATTAACCATTCCGTACCCAATAGTCAATATGCAAACGTATGTAGCATATACTTCGGTTTCATTGTTATACATTGCATCTGAAATTGTCTGATGTCGAACAGTGTAGTTCGTAGGCATAAAGTTTACGATTGTCAGCATATAAGTGTGCAGACGATACACTAGGCCTGATAAAACCAGATAATACAAGTGATTAAGTATCTGTAGCTCGTCAGCGTCCATTACAACTAATTCTGTCAGCATTGTTGTCGACAGCTCACAAAATCGTTTAGTTTAAGGACGTATGCACCAATAAAGTAGTTTTTCGATTCTTTTTGATGGTTCTGTTTGACTGGAATGCTCTTGATTGAAATGACCATTAACAGATGGAAAGCGAGTTCTCTTATACATGCACACGACACTTAGCTAGATTTCATCAAATCTTAGATAGTTAAAGATATAACTGTATCAATAGCGTAGGCAATTTTCGCACTATATATTGAAATTTCTAAATTATTGAAAGTAGCGTCATAAATACACTTTTAGTTGACTAATTGATTTCGGTCATAAGGTCGTACACATAGTGGTAGATTCAGAGTCTATTTGACCTTGGTATATCCTTCAGTTAACATAAGCGTTTTTCAAATTCCTCTGTAATGTGCATTTGAATTTTATATCTGTAGTATAATGAAAATATACAGCATTTCAGTTTACTTAGTATCATTTTTTGACTAGAACTATGTAAAGTAAATTTGTCAAATCTCAAGTTTGTTTAATTTTGTCAACTAAGCGAGTTAGTGAAGCTAGGTAGATGATTTTCGAGCCAAAAATATGGAAAATGAGACTAAGCAGATAAAAATTTGGTAGAAATTTTCGCATGTTCCCATGCTTTTCATAATGTTGAATCTGTGTTTTAACACTATTTTCTTGGAAAAATTAAGGTAAGGACGAACATAGAAGACTTTTAAAATAGCTCTTAAAAGCCCCAGGGCCTACTCAGTTTGTCAAAAAAATGAATCAGTGAAAAACTCATATCGCTTCGTTTTCAGTAGACATACTATTGTCATATCATTAATGCACTTCTCATAATTGTTCGTTCGTGTTTTCCTACATCTAAATAGCATACGATAGGGTCAAAGTTGAGGATATAGTTTTATTAGGACTAGAGCGTAGGAATAAGATGTATATAAACTAACTATAAATCCTATCGGTAATGTACCTAGGTACCTGTCTGGAGATATTGGTGATTCACTGCTACTAGACATGAAAGCCCGTTAAGCGGAAGCTTCTTCTATTCCGTCCACAACCATTTAAACCATTTGAGCTTTTAATTCTGATTCCAACCTCTTACTGCATAGACGTTAACTCTCAATCCCCATCCATTAGTCTTAATTTTAAACGTGAATTAATTATAATTGCATTGCTGGAGCTTTACTATATGGCGCTACTGGAACAAATAAATCATTCACTAAGGGATTTATTAAATGTGTTTCAGTATCTGCCACAAGGTTTTTATTTTAGTCAGTAATAGTATCTTATTTTGCTGCTAATAGGTTATCTGTGTGGGTGTACTTCCTTTAAGATTTTCTCAACCACTAGATAAGCACGTGCGTTCAGTTTATGTGTTTACGTTCATCAATAGTCCAATTTCTGATGATCATGACAAAGCGTAATATTATCTTTATGACTTCATAAAAGGGTGCACCCAAATAATCTCTCCCTGAAGGTTTTATGAACTGAGCAAGGTTTGCTACATAAGTTTTTCGTTTGTTTCGTAACAGCAATGAACCCGAAATCCATGTACCGGGCCCACAACCTCTGTAACCACACTACTTACGAATCCCATAATGTAGCCATTGCATGATGTCGAAATTTCAAACAAGTTGCATATTAATTACCTTATAACCTTTTACTTAAGTTGAAAAGGTTTTAACTCTAAGATCTTTGTTTTTTTTCAGGTTATTGCACAACTGTTGTTTCAGGTTGTGCAATACATATTCAGATTTTCTTTATGTATAAATTAAAAAGTTAATGTCGTCATCTCGAGCTGCCTCTGCTATAAAAGAAGTAATCAACTTCAAAAATGCTAAGAGGACGTCTTTCTTCCTCATGATAATGATATCGATATATCATGGCTTTTTGATGACAAAATCTGGTATTTCTCTAGAAGTGTTTTTAATTTTAGGTGGTAATCTGTGCAAGTCTCTACTAAGTGATGGAAGATCAGGGCCTAGTGGAGAATTTCGGCCCTACAGTTGTATGATACATACTTATTCATCAGGGTAGTGTTTAATTCTTTTTAATTTTTTGCAATAATAAGAGACAGTCACAAGTGTCTTAAAAGACTTGCACCTTGGGGTGATGTGGTTCGACTCTATTTTGTTGGAGATTCACGACTGAAAAAGCTATTTAATGCTTTTGTTTACCACATAAATGATGAAGTTGTTGGAGAAAATAATACATCGGAAGCAAGCATTTCAAATAACTTTCAATATGTTGCGGGTGAACTCGACTTAGTAAGTGATCCTCAACAAGTTTTCTCACATGCTTTGTTCACATCATTGATTTAGTAATTTTCGTTGGTTTATTTATTTTGTTCATACGATATATTTCTGTTACTATAAATTGCTATTAATAGGAGCCGCAAAACTGCTTGAAGAGAGACTAAATATTCTGTATAGGACCATTTAAGCAGTATAGATGTCAAATAATATTTTATTACCAGTCTTCTAATCACACTCAGTTCCAATTTACTGTTTACTACTCTGTGATATTTTTGAATTCACTGTTGAGATTTCAGCCCAGTTTCGAAACCATCTGGTAGTGAGAATAGTCCAGAATCAATGGAAAAGTCTTATTTTATGAAGTTAGTGGGTTCTGTCAGAAGCTTTTAAAATTCTATTCTTAAACATTTATGATTGTGCTCCTACCTGTTCATTATCATATATTTCATTTTATTTCCTCTTAGCTTAGTACACCATTTCTGGTCATGTCCTATTATTACACTGTTATGAAATGTATCAGATTTAACGATACATTGAGATAGATTCTGTTGTTCAAATTAAGCCTAAACGAGCGGAAGACGTACAATTCAAACGACTAAATTTTGTTATATTTGGCATATTGCTAGCAGTAGAATTTATGACGCTCATTTCGTCCTGCCTAGGATTTGCAATCTGCATTTACCTAAATAGTACTGTTGATTTTTACACAAAAATTGTAACACAGGTACAAATATAGCTAAGCCTGCTACTAAAAAGCACATCGGAACATTCCGCCCAGGATGTTCATATTGCAACCATGGCGGATGAATTTCAGTCCTGAACACCAACAACTGGAAATTACAATATGTCGTACTAAGAATGAATTTTATGTTTAGAAAAGCGGATTAAAATAACTGGATTATTTACACTCATTTTGATAACGCAGTTGTAATTCTTATGTGCTCATAAATAAAGTTTCTTGATAAATTTAATGGTAAAAAACACTTCAAAGTTGATCGTCTTATTTTCAAAGCTCAGCAGATAAAATAATACTTTACTGTTAATAGTAGAAACAATATAGAAGTGCCTTTAAGCTTCACATTTTCGTTAGGGTAAGATGCTCAATTATTGTGAATGTTCATTTTATTTAAAGACTTTAATCCGTGATTATCTATTGTTAACTTTTAACCATTATGCAATCGTTTCAAACCTTCATGTAATAAGTTTAAATAAATCTAGTAAACGAAACGATACATGTTCACTTAGGTTTTACTTTACCTTTCTATACAATTTAGTTATATTTATTAATACTGTTACTATCGTTATTTTTAATTTTGTTTCTCTAGCGATTTTTCTATCATGATGAAATCACAGATGATACACTAGAACTAGTGAAATCATGGATCGGCTCTACAAATTTATCTAATGTTACTGAGTCTGATATACGAAACAAAAATAATGACATTTCTACACCTACTCATTTGATAATTTCTATGGGCACAGTGAGTACAGTCTTTCTATAAACAATTTTTTTACCTATTTTGTATCAATGTTTTTTTACAACTCATTTACCAGATCATCGCTGGTTTATGTACTTGGCCTTGAGTCGGACATTTCCGCTTGTAACCGGTAAAGATATGATATAATTGGCTAAATTAAAGTAGGTGAATAAGCAGGATTTTGGTTTGTGACCTAACTGTTGAAAGCTAGGCATCTCAATCATTAGATTATCTTTGCACTTTACTTCACTGCATGGTGAGTTAAATCCCATTTTGTAAGCGAATTAAATACTAGTTCATGCATTGTGATGTTAGTAATACTTTTTGCGTCGAATTAATACACAGCTATCCACATCAAAGTAGGCTGTTAGGAGTGTGGCCATATAATTTATAAAGTATATCTTCACAGCCACACTTTTACATGGTATATATTTGGTCACAAAAATAATCCACATAATTTGTTCCTATATAAATAAAATCAGTGTTATAGCATTTTTGTAACAACGATTAACACTGAAATAAATTGTGTCGCTCAATTCGCTATTCAAATCACCTTACGTATGTTTATTATTTTCTCTCATTGACAGAAAACAATACAACATTATAATCGATCCGAAGATGGTCTTTTGGAATATATGAGTAAGTGTTTTCTTTCATATGGACAGATAATTTCTCTTCAGATAACTTTTAATTACACCATGAAGGGATATCACCTGGAGGACAAGTGAAAACCAAGCAGCACTAGACAGATGTCTTGTTTTACTGTGAGACTTCTTGATGGTACATAACTACGACCCTACACAGAGTTGAACCCAGCACGTTTATTTCAGTTGGTGAGCTTAAGGCTCTTACATATCTGCTACGTTGGAAGAGATTGCAGTATCACTTAAACCGGAGAACTTAACGAAAGTCAACAACACAACAACAAGATAAGCTAAATTATTCCACTGTGCCCGAGACCTGTTAACTAGATTGGAAAGGCCAGATTCAGCCGAGGGAAATGTATATTCCACAAGCAGCCCGAAAGCACGAACGAACAAGCACACAACTTATGCGTATATGTACAGTTCAAAAATGTCATTGGAAAACGTCACAAAATAGTATACTAAAACAGGGAACGAACCAATGACATTTAAGTTTTTTCCAAATGAGAAATACAAACTGAAGGTAAAAGTGGGCGATTTGGCGCGAAAATGAGAAATTCAAATTTCGAAAATAGGAATTACTAAAGTGTGACATTTACCAAGTGATTCCTGAGGACCTAGTATTCACAACAAGATCTCACCGATTTTAAATAGACTGGTTCAACATCTGTTTCATCAGGTATTCACTCCTGAACTCGGACCCATCACTTTTCGCGTCAAATGTCAAGCTATTTATCCACCGATCTACTAAGCTCAAATAGCGACTCACCTGTGCAATGGGTATGATATTTATATAATTATTAGAAGGGATTTGGAACATTTCTTTGCTGATTTTGTTGAATGAATTTTAATCAGGTACATTCATCTGACGAGTTACACATAGGACAAAACACAATCCATCTCTTCTACAAAAGCTTGTGAGAAGTGGTTATATCGAAGCAATCCTCAAGGGATGAATAATTACCAACCAAGACTGCTAGAAATCAAGTCACCAATATCAGCATTAAGATAAAAGTTCTAGTTGTCACAAAACCATTGTGATTTCGGTTTTCTATCGGCTGAAAGTAAAGCAGTGGTCATCATCTTTCCAGACTAACGTCTCAACAATAATCTACTGTTCATACGATTTAAAACTCTTAAAGTGTATCGGCAAATACTTTTGAGGTATTATTTGTGTGATATAAATGTTTTAGTGTGTAGAAGATGAAGGGATTGTATGTTTTCATTTTAATCAAACCAATAAAATGATATTTTGAATGTGTTAAATTTATTTTATTCCTTTTTGATGTTTAGACGGTGTCAAACGTCTTACTAGTGTTTTAGAAGAATTGAAATTTGCACGATGCGTATGGATGCTACAAGGTAAATTAATAGACACTTTCGTTTTTTCTTCTTCTGTCTCTTTTCCGCAGCCACCCTCTCCCTCTTTCTCCATTTCTATAGATAACACTTTCTTGATTGTTGCACAATGGCGATTTAGTAGTTGAAAAGTCTAACTTCCGGATCACCTCTGATCACTTACCTACCTTTTTGGACATTAGAGTAGTAGCGACACTATATCTTCACACCGAAATGTATAACTCACAGTGAAATACCCCAACTTATACTCAGTTATTGATTCCGACTCGAGTAATTCAAAGTTCTTGATCATTATCTGTTTATATCTCTCTTGCTTCTTTATCCATTTAAACAAATATTTTTGGATGAAAACTCTGATCAGATATTATTTATAAGTCTTATAATCACTTGATCAAACTATGAAGTAGTAATATAATGAGCCATTTTGTATTCATTTGTTTTTTTTAAAGTTTGTCTTTACCTTGGGTGTTTTTTAAAGTTTGACATCACATACTGATTTCGGTTAGATAACAATTAAAAACTAGGTAATAAGTCTACATCTGCGAACTAAGTAATCTTGGAGATTTTATTTCAAAATGGAAATAAGAATAGTAGAAAATATATTTCAAAGCGTAAAGTTAATCAGTTACATATAAATTTACGAATAGAGTAATTTTCGCTAGATACAAATCACATTACATTAATTAATAATAATAATAATAATAATAATAAACTTTATACTAAATGAATCGGATGTTCATTGAGTGGAGTTCAATTGAAATTAGTTTGTAAATTCTAAAATTGATTATTTTATAAAAAGTAATATTTGGAGATACTCTATACTTAACACTAATAAGACTAAACATCTTTAATGTTACCAAGTAATTAATTGTAATTGTGAAAAGAACCATTTATCATTTAATTTAAAAGCTGAACAGATCCAAACCCATAATGATAATTATTGTATGCTCACTAGTGACTAGATTCGAGAGGTAATTCTCGAAGTTTTAGTGAGAAGCTGTAACTAACAGAGCTAGTCCGTGTCAGGTGTGAGGCAGTTACTCACCGAAGACAATGGAAGATGGTCACGCAATTTCGTGGATTGGTTGAAGTTAGGTATTAACACCGTTGGATGCCAGATCAGTAGTCTAGAGGTTAAGTGTTCGTGCGCGAGATCGAGGGTCCTGGGTTCGAGTCTCGCGTGAGGGGTTGTGGATGCGTACCTCTGAGGAGTCACACACTAGAACGAAACGCCTGTCTAATACTTCCAAATTTTAATGGTGGTCTAACATTGATCTAAATTAAAATTCATAAGTCTTAATAATTACACAGCTATCTTGTTTTTACAAAATTAATTAATCCACTGTTCAGTTAATTGATTGTACATTTGAAACCGTGACGATTGCAAATACAAACAAATAAATAAACCAAACAGATCTTTACAATAAAAACTACATATCAAAATCGCATAAACAGTTGTTTTCATTGGCAAAAGTTTGTAATCTTCGAATTTTGCTGTTAAGGTCAACAATTAACCAGTTTCTGTCGCCATTTCTCCAACCGGAGAAGATCACCTTGGCATTACCATTCAGTCACAACCTCTAGTAAATGTGAGTTGTGTCAGGCAGCGCATTCCAGAACACGCGTTTTTTCCTATTTGAGGCTTGTTAGCTAGACGTGCTTTCATCTCACTGTCATCTAACACAATGCCGCCTTGGATAACTTTTGTTGACCTGGCCAAGTTTTTCGACTCCGTCCCAAAAGATCTAAAAGTAAAAACACAAGACAAATTGGTACTGAGAAAATGTGCAGAAATGCATAGCGAAATTCCTAGACGTATCAACAAGATACATAAAGGGAAGTAATTCCCATTTTCAATGCATAAAGGTTTCAGAGAAGGGGGTAGAGTGGCTCCATTCGTTTTCAATCGCATATTTCCAAGAAATCTTGAGTACACAGACTAGATCACGTTACACCAGATACAAGATTCACAGCCAAAAATAGAGAATCAAAGTATAAGTGGGGCGTTACTCCTTTCAACACGATTACAAGCAGTCTACACTCAGCGAGTCTGCAGTAGCAATCAATAATATGTAAGGAAATCACTTATTTGATAATCGGCAAGCTGACTGTTTGTCCACTGTCTGTGGCCAATCACATCTACTTTCACCAAATACACATCACTTACATATTCCTTCCGAAACATTTTTCATCATTACAAAATATTGACATTACCAAGCGATGGTCTTGTAAACCCGAGCATTTCTCAATTAGGAATTATTGTCTATTGCTAATAATTTTTTTATGTTACCGAATTCATTTCATTATACTGGCTAATATAGAATCATGTTTTAGCTTTCTATTGGTCATCTAGTTTCATCTGGGTGGTTTTTAGCACTTGGCTTTCTTTTCCATTCTGCAGACCCTGTTGCAGAAAGTCTTTTATCTAAAGAGTTGAAAATAATTACAAATGATTTGATCGATAAATATAATGAGTTTGCATCAATAGCTATGTAAGTGTTTATTCTCTTATTAAATAATTTATGTCAGTTCAAGGAATCAACATAATTTTATTGCATTTTTATTTTGGTTTTCGTTATGAGTTTGCGGACAGCCATAGCAAAATGTCATTTTACTAAACAGATTTGTTTTTCTCCCTTCTGTGGGACTGCACATTATTATTTGTTCAATACTTCTCCTAAGACTGAACTTAGTACACTTATTTATTGCAACAAACGTACTTGTTTTTGTATGGTGTTGTTGACAATCACAGTAAAATTATACCGTGAATTTATAATTTTAGTAAAATTCACTCCGAGATTTACCAAGAATCGCCAATCAGTTAACTTGAAAGTAATTATCACTAACCCTAGCTTTTCTGAGATTATGAAAGTCTTTTCTTTTAACAGTAACCCGGGTACACACACAAAAAGCACATGATGTAAGTACTGTTCAAATTGTTTTTAATCGTACAAAGCTAAATTGTATTCTGGAATCTCTATAACTTTAATAATACGTAAAATGTTGGTTCAAAACCGCTTGAAAAAAGTGTAATTGATTGTAGTAAATTGTATTTAATGCTTCAATCATACCTAGGGTTAAGTAACTAAGACAAAACGTTTCCCAAACATCTTTGCATTGTTTCGCAAGATATAACAATCCGAGCATGTATACTGCCTAGCAGTTTGCTGTGTATTACTCTACAAGTGTACATAACGGCTTATAAAAGTAGAAGACATTCGTGTGTTTCAGGTATTTGATCACTCTTTACCTTCTAAATCTTAAGTTTCAATATTCCTTCATACATACATTTTCATCCCTTTTTCTCGAACCATATTCATTATGTTTAGTATTCCATGTAACCACTAATATCACCATCATTTCGGCTTTTTTTTCTCTTCGTATTGGTAATGTCATCCCATTATATTATTTTGACATTCCAAACCCTAGATAGACGCTTATTTATACCTGTTTCTACGTTTGAGAGAAAACTGAACTGCTTATCGACTTTGTGTCATTTCAAATCACGAAAAAAACTGTCATAGCAAACGTCGGTGGAACTAATCACTATTTCCGAAGGTACTATTACCAATCGAGACAAGTGAATTACTATATCAGCAAATATCGAAGAATCGACACGTTTATATTGGGATCCTGACACCACTGTCTAAGTCAAAATCTATTCATGATATAAGAATAAAAATAAATCACTTCATTAGCTTCATCAATATTTTCTATAAAAATCTATTATTCGCGATGTTGAAGACAAACAACTGATTACAGCTATTAAAAGTATTTTATTCATAATTGATCTTCTCTTACCACTATCTAATCAGTTAATTATGATTTAATAAAGTGAAAATTCCCATTTTGACATTTGTTAATTAAGAAAGGAACGAATCGAGCGAAGAAATTTCTTTTCAATTAGTTTTTCATCATGGCTCTACACTTTAGGAACAGTACCTTCTTCGGAACAGTAGGTACCTTTGTCCTTTTTTTCGTCTCCGTCATGTGTTTGTCGATGAATTTCATTGGATACCCATTCTTACTAAGCAAGTTTCGAATATTAGCCAATTCATCTAAAATAATGTCATCAGAGCAAATCTTTCTAGCACGATGAGTTAGGATCCTTATTAGGTTTCTTTTGTATTTCATTGGTACTGCGCTATAGAAATGAGTGTACTGTGTAGATTCGTTGAAACAAATCAAGCAACAGGGTTTTATCTCAGAAAAAGTGTTCGAAATGTTAAAACCTACAGGAACGAGTACACCCAGGTTATATGGCTTGCCAAAAATACATAAAAGTGACTTGCCCCTTCGACCCGTTTTAGATATGAATAACTCAGCCTACCACACTATAGCAAAATGGTTGGTGCAAATTCTCAAACCGCTCCACAAGGAAATTGTTAAACATAGTGTCAAGGATTCCTTTGAATTTGTCAATAATATAAAAAATCTATCGCTCAAGAATAAATTTATGATATCATTAGATGTAACGTCCCTATTCACCAACATTCCTCTACTTGAAACGGTAGATTTTATTTGCAATGAATTAACAGAGAGGAACTTAGAAACGGTAATTCCCGTATCCGCAATAAAACAACTAATTCTTAGATGCACAATGAATGTTCAATTCCGATTTGACAATGAGTATTATAGACAATTGGATGGGGTAGCCATGGGGTCACCATTGGGCCCTATACTGGCAGACATTTTTCTGGAAAAACTAGAAAATGGTCCACTCAAAGACACAATTAGCCATCTAACATCAGATTGTCGCTATATAGATGATACCTTCAGAGTATTAGAAAAAGAACATGAAAAGGAGAACATCCTTAATATATTTAATAATATCCACCCATCAATTACGTTTACACTAGAAGAAGAACAGAATGGTAGTATATCGTTATTAGATGTCCAACTAACCAGAAGAATAGACGGAACATTAAAAAGAGGAATACATAGAAAATCTACAGTTGGACAGTACACTCATTTCTATAGCGCAGTACCAATGAAATACAAACGAAACCTAATAAAGATCCTAACTCATCGTGCTAGAAAGATTTGCTCTGATGACATTATTTTAGATGAATTGGCTAATATTCGAAACTTGCTTAGTAAGAATGGGTATCCAATGAAATTCATCGACAAACACATGACGGAGACGAAAAAAAAGGACAAAGGTACCTACTGTTCCGAAGAAGGTACTGTTCCTAAAGTTACAATTCTTAAATGATGCTACTGAAGAAATCTTGACACGGAAGTTAAAAAGGGCAGTGCAGAAAACATTTAATGCAGCCCGACTTAGTACCGTCTTCTACAACCGCCCCACAATAAGAACTGTTAATAAAGACAGATTGCCTGAATTCGCCACATCTATGTGTATTTACCAATTCAACTGCTCCTGTGGAGCCAGTTATATAGGGCATACAATTCGGCAAGTTCGTCAACGAATATCAGAACACCATCCGTCATGGTTGACTAAAGGACAGGTAAAGGGGATTAAGAGTTCTATTCTCGCTCACTTGGTGGACACAGGTCATCAGGTTGAACTGAATAAAGCTTTTAAGGTTATCTACCATATTCCATCTAATTTGCCACATGGTTTACGAGCTCGTCTATTGCACATAGCTGAAGCCATCGCAATTCATATCCACAAACCGAACCTTTGTATCCAAAAGAAGTTTGTACAACCACTCTCGCTACCTTGGCCATCGGTATAGCGGAGTTTGTAGCATAACTTCGGTAAACAATTATCTTATTCCTTCCATTTTTTTGTATTTTTTTGTATTTTACTTATTCTCTTCATTCGTCTCTTGATTCTTACATAACTACTATATTACTGACCATTCATCAAAATATTTTGTTAGTTCTTTCTTCTCATTTTTATATATTATGCAACGTAGCAACAGCTTGATTTTCGAATAACTACTTTGATTAGTATTAATCCTTCTCTTCCAATTAATGTTAGTTTATAATCGATGTCATTATATAATCATTACGTAACGTATCTACTCCATGAGTGTTATTTAATTATTGTAAATCATATATATATATATATATATATATATATATATATATATATATATATATATATATATTAGTGTAGAGCCATGATGAAAAACTAATTGAAAAGAAATTTCTTCGCTCGATTCGTTCCTTTCTTAATTATGATTGAAAATAAACCTCACTTATTTTTAACAAATATTTTCATAGTTGAAATCATGAGTCAATTGAAGCTAGACCATCATGGAATACCTGGAAGCACTAGACGGCCGTTTTGTCCTATTATGAGACTCCTCAGCAGTGCGCATCCACGATACCGCACCCGCGAGATTCGAACCCAGGTCCTACCAGCTTCGCACCGGAGCACTTAACTGATAGACCACTGAGCTAGCCGGCATCCAACGGTGTTAATGTCTCATTTCAACTGATCTACGAAATTGAGCAACCGTTCGCCAATTGTCCTCAGTGAGTTGATATCTCTACAACAGAATTGGTAGAACTCCAGTGGTCACTGCTTCCCACTAGAACTCAAGGAAACATTCCTTACAGTCAGTCACTAGTAAGCATATGATTATAGATCAGAAGGGGTTTTTGTGGATATTTCAGTATTTTCATAGTTGAAATCATGAGTCATATGCTTTTTTAAAAAAACATCTACTGTAGAAATGCCTGTTTTAGGGGAATTATTATAGAACTCATTCGATATGGATATTTGCGAGAATACACTCCCCTTATAATTTCTGAGTGTGTTTGATACATTTGACACAGATAGATTGTAAATCATTAATCGATCAGTCGTTCAGTCGTAGTCAAAATAGCTCCTGGCACTAATGTACATCTGTCCAAGTTATCAAATCAGCATAACGAGATGAAATTAGCAAAATGAATACCGAATCGCTTGCATTAATAGTAATATCAGCGATAGTAAGAAGTACCAACTATGGTAAAAACGGTTCCGGAAGAAGAAATAAAACAAGTGGAAGCATGGAGTAAAAATGAAACTGTATGTTTAAAACAAAATAAACAGTCAATGCATCTAGTTTTCTTCTGACCTATAGCGATTCCCAACATTGCGAGTCTACATACTCCACCATCTGGGATACGTAACACATCTCGAAAACCGTAGTTGATGAGTATTCGTTACCTTATCAAATAGTTTACCATCTTTGCCTAGTACCATGTACTTAACTTCAAAATTGTTCACTCTATTATTTCTCAATACTCCAACAATCCCTCAAAGACAATCATGATGAAAAACCCGAAGCCTACCTATGTCTTTCACCTTCGTAGACCATGTTTCACACCCATGCAGTGATTCAAAATCTATTGCTGAGTAGTATGTATACTCGTACAAACACACGTCTTATTTACTCCGTAGGTGGCTCGATTCGACAAAATCCAACCTAACTTTACAAACCGACCTTGGTACATCCGAGGGTTGGGAGAGTCCACTCTCCCTCTCAAAAGGCTCTTACATAACCACGTATATATAGCCACTTCCAAGAAAGTCCTACTCACCGCCTTCTCGCGGCGTAGGTGTTGTTTACCTAATTGAGAGGATGAAAGCGAATGTACGGCGTTTCAACCCGGTTGGTGGATACGGAAGGTCCATTTAGGGGGGTTGGGAAACTCTGATTCCAAACCAATGATGCACATGGGCTCCAGGCTCCTGAGGGAACAAATGGCGTATGAACCTTTTGTTAGTCACCAGATACCATGGGACTGCATTTCCTAACGTTGATCTACTGCTTTGTGGATTAAACTTCTAGGTCAAAGTTTCAGGGAGTGACCCCCTAAGTAATCTACCTGCTCTGGTTTGGACACCCGGGCAGTGTCCTAGTCTTCACACAAATTGAATGATGAAGTGTAGCGCATTTATATTCGGCGCCTTCTGTACCTATATTTGTATTTAAATTATAAATAATGGTTCTAAACCCGCCAGTGAAAAACTAAACATAAAGTGTATCGAAAGACTGCTCCTGATCTATGATTATAAGAAAAATAGTTATCTGACAAAAATACATCCTTTTGGTGGTATTCGAAGATATGTAAAAATAATATTCTTGAAGGATTATTCAACTGAATTCGCCTAATTTATCAGCTCGACACACACATGACTTGAAATTTGACACCTGCAAAAGATTTCTGTTCCATACTTCCTTATTACCTCTAAAAATAGTTTTCCGATTGACATCAGTTCATATTAAAAATCATCCTTAAAATAGGTTTTTTTAGCATTAGTTGATTTGGGCAGTAACACTATTTACCAGAAATGTATTACTAGCTATGCTATGATTCCAATTAATCATTTCTATTGATACACTTTGTTCTTATGAGAACTAGTCTAATTGATTCTACCTTATAAAAATTTACATATACATAAATTTATTTTATGTCTTATCTAAGGAAATCTGTTAGTGGTGTAGAAATATGGAGTTCAAATCGTTTAATTGCTCTTAAAGTTGGTTTTCCAGCTATAAATTGGAATTGTCGCCAGTTAAAAATGTTATCTACAAGTAACTCAGATAAAATGACATCAGCAACATGTAAGTGTTTCTAATTGTCTGCTATACCTCTTTATTAGATCGCTAATATACGTTAAATTAATTATTAATTGTGCTTATTTACAGACATACATGCCACAACTATGTCAATCAGTTTTCAGGATCACAGGTGTATCGGAATTCGAAAACAATAATGTTTATCGAATGAATTAGTTTTGTGCGGGGTTTGAAAGGAAGAGTGTGTAAGAAAAGTGAATATTCAATTCTCAAACCGGGTTGGTGGGTAGGAAGGATTCCCCTGCGAGAGTTGAAAAACCCTGATTCCAAAACATTGGTGCATAAGAATTCCAGAATCCCAAGGGAACGAATGGCTTACAAACTAACCCTTGGTCACCAACAACCTTGGGACCGCAGCTCCCAGCGTTGCTCTGAGGCCTTGCGGACTAAACATCTGGGTCAAAGCCCCGCGGTAATGCCACCTAAGAAAACCATATGCTCCGATCTGGACAATGACCCAGCCCACACGAAAACTCAATAATTTGTTTGTCGTATATATATATATATATATATATATATATATATATATATTATATATATTGGTACCCCTTCGTACCAAAATTTGCGTGCCTAAATAAATAATTAATCCGCTCGGATTATTACATTATTTTTGAGACACATATCATAATAGCTCCAAACCTCATGTGCATAGAATTACTGTTAATAAGTAGTTTATGGAAAACAAATACCTCAAAAATGATGGTATGTTCTGTTTTTATTGTGCGGTTATATTCAAAATTGTTTGACTTTACTGGAAAAAAAACAACTAATGTTACTCATTTACTCATATCCTAGTTATCCATGTTTTGTATTAGATCTGATGAGACATTAGATAACTGCTCAAATCTGAAGTTGACAGATCAGAACTCGAACTTGTAACCTAACAGTTAGAAGTCATACACGTTAACCATTGAATAACTGCTCTATTTTCAGAGTTCACAGAAAAATGTTATTTCATACATTCGTCTTGAATCACTATAATCTCTAAACATTGCATTTGCAATGACTTCATTAAAATGTTGATATTAGTCATAATACGACTGTTGTTATGATTATAGAATAAGCCGTTATTTGTTCAACCGGAAAAATAAAATTGATTTGGATCGATGCAAAGAAAATTATTTCAAGGCTTCGTGCTGAGAATTCTATATTGTACCAGATTATACTATTGAATAAAGCCATTAATAATAATAATAATAATAATAATAATAATAATAATAATAGAAATTTATTAATGCATTAGGTGTTTTAGTTACTCCACTGATTTATAACTGATCCTCAATTAATCAAAATATCATCAATAAAGAAGATTTAGATTCTCATTTTAAATATCCATTTAATCAGTAAATTTGAGCATATATTGGACTGGTAATTAGTCAAAATTCACTGAATCAGTCGTTCAGTTCGTCTATATAGTTTACATAATCAATAGATTAACTGCTTTAACTAATGAATGTAATTTTACAGTTGAATGCATTAGTTAATTGAAGCTAGACCACTATAGAAAACCTGAAAGCACTGAACGGCCGTTTTGTACCATTTTAGGACTCTTCATCAGTGGCCTAGTGGTTAAGCGTTCGCGCGCGAAACCGACAGGTCCTGGGTTCGAATCTCGCGGGGCTAGGATCGTGAATGCCCACTTCTGAGGAGTCCCACGATAGGATGAAAGGGCCTTCCAGTGCTTCCAGGTTTTCTATAGTAGTCTAGCTTCAATTGACTCATGAATTCAACCATAAAGTTACTAAAATCTCCACAAAACTCTTTCTGATAATAAATGTAACTAAATTTATGAGTTAGATATTTTACTTCCTAATAAGATTAAAAATAGTTTTCAAATAAAATTTATTCGAAAAGAAATAGAAAAGAGAAGGCAATAAAATATATTTAGTAGTGGCAGATAAATAAAATAGTCATGAGAATATGAAACTTCATCATAATTCGCTATAAAATGAAGTGAAAAAGAAGATAAGAAGAAAATAGAATAAAAGTAGACATGTTGCTTGTGTGTGTGTGTGTGTGTGTAAGAAATGTGGAATTTGTTTCACCCACAACTGTATTCTTTACTAACAACTTTATTCAGTTTAAAGAAAGTTGAACAACATATCTGCAGGGTATCATTCAATGAAACTAAAAGAACTCAACTATTAGCAAATAATTGTTAGCGTAATATTCAGTAGATGAAGTTTGTTTATAGAAGTAGTGTTTTTATGCTTGCAAAGAGTAAGATAATAATGTCTTGTTAACTAACAAATTCACAGAAGTAAACTGGATAGAAATCGACATCTACATAAAATAGCGTGACTACTATTAAATATAATAGAAAACGGTCAATACTTCAAACACTTAACATTATTGCAAAAACTGATCCTCTTAGAAATACTATCATATATAATAAATTATTATTATTTTATCCAATATTCTATATAAATACCATATAACGCTGGTTCACATAATTTATAAAGTTTTTTTTCCATTTAATCCACTGAATAATCAGTATATACATTTGACTATTCAATTGCCAATTACTCTGTAGTCAAAATGTATGCCTAGAACTACAAGACATTGTTTCAAGTTGTCACATTTGTGACTTAACCAATAGCTAATAAAAATGACAGTCATCATAATAATTGTAAATAAGTACTACATTTATGGAAATCCGCGATACATTTTTCTAACTTTCTGCTACCAAACATTAAGTGACAATGACTTCATGAAAAATAGATTAAACAAAACAACTTTCAACTTTGAGTGGAAGATTCAAACAAACAATACTAAGTGAATTCAAACTTCATCCCATTTCACAAACAAGTGGCTATCAAGACTCAGTATCTGAGTGGATAACGCGATGGCGTTTGAAGTAAAAGGTACTGGGTTCGAGTCCCAGAGGGAACATCAACTCTGTGATGCAGGTACATCCAGCTGACGAGTCCCGAATAAGACGAAACGCGCGTCCTGAATTCCACTGCTAGCCACTATCCATCTTTGCTTACAATTAAGTGCTTAATGTTTGTTTGCAGAATATAATACATTGACGCCTAACAGTAAGTTGATTATCCTTAAGATATTTCTTAGATTACTAATATATGGTCTTAGGTGTCTTCGAAGTACTGCTCGTGTATTTTTGGACAACTGAATGAACAATGGCTGGGTTAGGAATAGTGTACTAGGCAAGAGATGATGAGATACTAAATTTTTATCAACTAATGTGGTTGAGACATATTTTACGTGTGTCTGTCAACTAGCTACCTAGACGGGCGATGTTTTCTGGTGTAAGAATAAATTGGAAGAAAGCTAGCGGCGACCTAACAAAAGCATGGCATTAGTCTATGAAGTTATTAACAATTGGACTGAGCCATATTTATAGATGTAGACAACCTTAGTGGGTTCCACATGATCATAACCGGCGGTCAGAGACTTTGAATGATATAACTCAAAATCGTCTGGATTGGCTCAGGTATATTTATACTTTATCTTTCCTCAAATTCTGGGTTTCCGAATTTCTCATAACCTTTTTTGTTTTTATCTCACTAATTTATATTTTCTTGAAATGTATATTCAATCCCTCGTATTTTCTATTGCCACCAATACTGTTACCACCTCTACTATTCTAGGATTTGGCCTGACAGTTTCATCTATCTGTGGTAACATCGTATGACAACTGGAACCGAGGTGCATACGTACCAGGTTCTACGTTGTGACTGAACGATTTCGGTAAGGCACTCAGCTTCCCATACGAATATACTACGGATACTACTACTGATAATAATAACTCAGTTCACTGATAACATACAGTTTTGTACTTAGCCTGTATGGTGATAATTATTTGAACGCAAACAAAGGTGATTAGATATAAATATACAAATCATGATTAAACGAAGACCCTAGTAATGTTAATGCAAAGTTTGTGTTTTGTAAAAAAAATTGAACTATTCGTAATGGTGTGTCAGGCTCCATGTTTTTTTAGCCATTGCAAGTGAATTGTTAAATTTTATCAGTGGCCAAGATTAATCAAACGCATTCCATGTTCAGCATTCAGTTTAATTACACCCTAGCCTATAAGCTCTTTTTCATGAATCATACATAACGTTTATTACAAATGAATTAAAACGCAGAGATTAGTAATCTGTTTATATATATATATATATATTTATATATCACTCATCGGTTCTTCGTCGATGTTTGTACTCACTTTGTGCATCTTGTTTTTTGCTCTTTTTAAATATTGAATATTATTCTTACAGCTATATTAAATTATAAAGAAGGTATGGCAAAGAATAATGTCTGCTTAGAAATGCCCACACTTTCCGATGGATATCATGTCTCAGATAAAGCTATGAAAGAGGTGAGTTTAAATTGAGTTGTGATTATTTAAAGTGTTTAAATGATTATGATAGACATTGTATGCTTATCCACGTTGTAGTAATCAGGTCAGGTTTTGTTTTCCTCATAGTTAGAGACTAAATAATTCTGTGGGGAAGGGTAATGTCGAAGAGTAGTTCCATTGCGGTTGTCGCTACATTCACTATTACTATTTCCGAAATGCATAACAATGGTTGGGCTATACTGTTTATTAATTACTTGAGTGCATTACTATAATTAATGATCAGTTGAAAATATACAGGGAAATATTTTAAAACGATGTCCTCCAATTCTCCAGTATCATGTCATAATGACAAAGTAGTTAAAAATGATGCAATAAATGGATAATAAATCTTTTCTGAGTAGTATCCTTTATTTTTGTTATGCTCATTAGTCAAATAGCTATATATATATTCTGTTAGCGTCTGACGTAAAGCGAAAATGTGTTGTATTCCAATAGAAACGAAAAGACTATCCTATTTAGTTTATTTAGGTTTAGTTTGCCAGCATGACAAGTTTCTTGAAAAATGCTCTCACTTATTGCGTGCATAACCGTTTGTCGATTTCAGTTTCCTTATACCGCCCTTCTTCACTCTCGGTATCAGTATTAGTTGTTTTCAGTTCCTTTTCTCCTCCTTTCATTTTCCTTACCGCTGCCCTGATAACGGGGTTTAACAACGTAAACTGTTACATTTGTCTATACACACCACAGAATCATTACATAGCAGTGATTTAAAAATCTGACTTCTGATTGTTGAGTTGGAGGTTCTAACACCCTCTTCAACCATCATGATATCTGAGTGGTAGTGTAGTGTCTAGTACCATGTCAAGCCCACATAGGTTATTTTAGCTTTCAGACAGACCAGTTTGTTCATTCTTCCCAAGCCATATTTCGACCTTATTATTCGGTTATTAACCCTGACTGTTTTTATATGATCGTATATGTGTTAATTGTTTGCCCTACTTATTACGTGCCTATAACTTATCTTTTCCTAAATATGAATACTGAGTTACGCTTTATCAAATCGAGTTGGCTAATTCAGCTTCTCTGCTACGCATCACTTCGTTTCGTCCCGCTTCGCTTTCTCCACTTCGTCATTAATTGTACTAGACAAAATTGACTTATTTTCACATTTCTCTTTCTTGTAGAATGTACAAATTCTGTTAAATTTGTATTGTAATAATCAAATGAAATTCTCTGATGGTACTTGTTGTCGTGGTTCTGAGCCAATTACGCCTGTACAAGAAAAATGTTTCATATTTTACGCTATTTGGTAAGTCATACCTATAATAACATTATTATTATACACATCATACTCACTGTGATAAAAACTATGGCTGTTTGCAAAATCATTCAGTCAAAGTAATATTTTGTAGTAGTTCAATATTTAGGTCTAATTTGAATTTATCTTAAGAATAAAATTTACAAATTATGTAATATAGGACAGGCTGGTTAGAGGTCTTGTGAAAAATGGTTAGGTATTAAATTTATCTACATCATACTAAAGCGACGAATTATCACTATGACTACTTAAAGATAAATAAAAGCAAGAAATTCAATTCAAAATAAGAATAATGTTTATGTGTAAAAATCGTTTTAATGCTGTCAATAAAGTATTAAGCGACACGTCTCATATTGGCTAAATTGATGTCTGATGGTAGTGACTTAACGATTGTATAAATTTCTACTGAAGTTGTTGATTGTAGAATCTAAAATACACATTTTATTCTTTTTAAAACTCGTTAGCTGCTTATACTTTCATCTTAGTCCTAATGTTTTTCACCATAAGACTCAGATCCAATATGTTTCTCTCTAAATACTAACTCACTATCCATTAAGCTTTTAAAGATCGTTTCAATAAAGTGAATGGCCATATGTGTACAATACAATAGGTGGGATAGTATAATATAATAAATATCCTCGAACACACTCCTCTTAACCTTCCTTGATCAACGATTTAGGGATATAATAGAATTTAAACTTAATTATAAATCGGAATAATTATTGGATTAATATAAAAAAATCATTCAGTATTGAATGAATTCATGTATTTTTATTATTCTTTCGGACAAGATTTATTCCCTTTACAGCAACCGTATAACTACACAACTCCTACACAATGCCATTAAACAAATCACATTGATGTAATACTAACAATGTTAATGTAGTAAGCCAATATAAATTAAATTTTATTTCTATCTCACTGGTTAAATATGAATACACATAGAGAACAATTGTAAATGGAATAGTCAGCGAGATACGAAGAATAATTTAGGAAAGGGAGATATTTTCTAATTCAAAAGTATATGAAATGAATGTAATAATAATTTTAAATTGATGTCCAGTCAATAAAAAAGCATTGACGGACATTTTTTCTTTGACTTACAGAGTCTAAACTTCATCTCATGAATAGCAAAATTTCCTTTTTTTTCTCAAGTAGAGTTTAAGACCACGAAATTTCAGTACACTTCAATGATATTTATGAATAACATCAAATCATAGATTTCGATTTGTTTGTTTATGATTCAAGTTAATCAAATCTACACGACGTGATTAAATACCCGACTGTTTTCTTGTCATTCTTGTTTAAACCAGGTTGGAAGATCATTCCATGTTAAGTCGTTAATACCTCACAAAAGCAATATGAACTTTTTAGATATACATAAACGTGACCTAACATGTGACCCTATCTTTCATACATACATTTAAAATAGTTTTCGGACTTTTAAATATTATTCAAAGCTTAAAAATTGCATAAAATATTCTCTTGATCACTCCAAACAGATAATTTGTTGGCCCATCTATCTAACTCCGGTTTGATCGTACGAAAATGCTATGCACATAAATCTCCCATTTGACTGCATATATTACCTAGGTTTACCCCGTTTATGTGACGACGATTATAGAAAGCCACATACGGGTTACTTTGGAGAAATTTATTCCAAGCATTCGTTTATCCAGACAGACATTCAGAATAAGAAGTGGGAAAGCGAAGAGGAGAGAACGAAGCGGATCGGGGAAAGCGAGTTAGCCAACTCTGTTTGATGAAGTGTGACTCGTTATTTATAGTTAGACGGAAATAGGTTGCAAACATGTGATGAGTGAGATATGCAGTACACACACATACGCTCATATAAAATCAGTCAAGGTTAATAAGCTAATAATTAACAAGGTCAAAATGTGACTTGAAAAGAATGAATGAGTCTGTTTGTACGGAAGCTAGAATGACCCATGTGATTTGACATAGTACTTGACACTACAAATTCTTAAGTATTACCACGTCTGTTGTGAGATAGGAACTCATTGAAGACAATTGGTGAATGGTTCCTCAACTTCGTGGATCAGTTGAAGTTAGACATTAACACCGTTGGATGCCAGCTCAGTGGTCTATCGGTTAAGGGCTTCGGCTCGAGACCGGTAGGTCCTGGATTCTAATCTCGCAAGAGCGGGTTCGTGGATGCGCACTGCTGAGGAGTCCCATAATAGGACGAAAAAGCCGTTCAGTGTTTCCAGGTTTTCCATGGTGGTCTAGCTTCAATTGACTCACGCTTTCAACTATATTACCATTTATGTTTGATCATCTTTTCATAATAAACAAAATATTTACTTTGTAATACAATGTTCAAGCTTCATTTCATCAATAAAAAGAGCTTCTACTATTTTAAGGAGTTGAATATAAAGAATTCTTGGTAGATTTGAATGAATTCTGTAAATAACCTTAAAGTTAACATATGCATTCGTTCTGATTAAATGTTCAAGAATAGAACACCTAACCGCTTTTCTCTTACCTTTATTAAACTATACCGAAATATATTCTTGTATACGTATTGAAAGTGCCTTCTATAGCGTATATATCTTACTCCTTTTTTTATTCAACTTTTTAAACAATACAAACTCTTGTCATCCACAGAATAAACCTTAAACTTTGTTAGAAAAAATAAATAAATTTTCTTCTCTAACATCTTTATTTTCTTTAAACAAAAGAATATTCAATTTATTTGCTCTCCTCTAGTAGCTTTAAAATAAATTAAAAAAAACAAGTGATTAAAACACCACCATATTTGTATTGTGCCATTATTATTATCATTATCGTTATCGTTATTACTGTTGTATGTTTAGTTTTTTTATAATCTAAACTTATGATTGGTTGCTAGGCTCCCTTGACATTTTGAATATATATATATATATATATATATATATTTGTGTGTGTGTGACTGCTCGTGTTGTAGTTAATCAATATACAAATAAATATATAACAATTAAAATCTATATTCAGGTTACTTTTTAACAATAGTTACTAATCTTAATCATTTTTATTACAATAAATTATCATGAACTTGTATCATTGAACTTATTGTATCTTACCTTTAGTTCAATCTTGAGATGGAACGTTTTGTGTATTATATGGTTTTTAAAGGTTATCTAAGTAAACTTATTGTGTAATTGTTTCAGTCATCTTTTTTTTCCGAAGACTACTTGTTACTTTTGTAAAATACGATAATAGGCAGGATGAGTGAATTTTCTTGTGAGTAGTTACAAAGTATTTACATAATACATACGTATATATGTAGACTTCAATCGTTCATTTTCATCTTTTAATGTTTTCTTCCATATGAATTGTCTTCGTGTCTAGTCTCCAAGTATTCTGCCAACTGCGCGCTTTCGATGTACTTTTCATAAATGTTACAACTTTGACACTACGTTCAGCTACACACTGCTTATAAACATCCTTGTGAGCAGCGTCCACTACATTTTGACGTTAAAAGATAATTAATTGAATGAATATGTTGTTTTCCCGTTGTTTCTAATCAATAAGTGTATGAGTGTTTAATGAACTGTTTGTTACGGATTTATGGAAGTGAAGCGTTAAATAAACTACAAATGTTTAGATGAGTATTAGTTTGGAATAACTTACTGTTACATTCTTGGTTTATGTTAACTAGTTGTGTAATCTATTGCAACAAGCATTCGTAAACTGTATGAAATTAGTTGACAATCATACCACTAAAATATTCTGATTATTCAGTAGACAGTAATGTAAATATTGACAGTTCAGTCATTAATATTGAGTGATCGTCATGCTGTATCATGAAGTAATCGAATGTCGAATTACGAACTATTGAGGCACAACTCGAAAACCAATAGGTAACTTCCTGAGCATATGACTTAAAGGCCACGGCTGTGATCTTTGACCAGGTTCCTGGGGCTCACTACTGAGGAGTCCTGAAAGTCAGTGAAACAACAGTCCCGTACTTCTTGATTTTAAATAATTATACAGCTCACATTTTCCTGTTTTTTTACCAACCCAACTTCCTATGTATAAAGGCTCTTAACTAATAAACGTCACAAGCTTCTGTAATGTATTGATAAAAAACTCAAGAGTAATTTTCCTACACTATATATTAAGAAACGGTAAAGAAAGATTTACAAAGCACAAGCTAGCAAGATACAAACATATGCATATAAAAAATTAACAGATAATTAGAAACAGGAAGACTGAATCAATTCAAATAACTGGTAGAGTGACTATTTTTCTTACTCTTTCAATTTATTATGAATTGACCGTAGGTAACATGATGTAACCAGATGGTTTCAACTTCTTATCTAAAATGTTATAATGTTCGTCACGTAACATAAAGGTTTCAGGTTGATAATATTATTTAGTGCCTCCTTGTTTTCTATCAATCCTCAATTTATTTTGGATTCATGATGAATATTCATTTTCAGTTGATAAAAATATTCGTGTCATCAAACTATGAAGCAAATCATAATTATTACAGTAGGTATGTAGAGTTTGTTGAATTTTCGTAAGTCATATTTTGGATTGATCTTAGTTGAACCATCATTAAAAACCAAAAAGCGCTGGACTGTTTTTCCTATTGCTTTCTGGTGTTGTAGTCTACGAAAATCATAATTATTTCAGTTTTTTCGTATACATAACAGATCATACAACCTTTAAACACTTACATTGATCCGGAATATACTGAACACATCCATATTTATTAAATTGACTACAAAGCGCAAATAAATTTATAGGAATGATCAGGTTAGTGCAACTAAATGAAAAAAATAAGGTTACATTATTTGAAAAGAGACGATGTATAAATTGTTCTCATTGAATATTTGTCGCGAAGACTTTAGTAATCAAAATCAAGCAAAATGCATAATCGGAAACAGTAACAATCCAAAGTATTATATTGCTATATTAGAATACGCCGCAATCGATATCGGTTTTGTGAATACAGTTGTATTTGATAAGCAGCATAAGATGAACATAAATACATTAAGAAAGTAACTTAAGCACAATGTCATATACACTTTGGAATGATAGATGTCCAAAAGTATTTCAACAGTCATGAACTAGTACTTTCTCGGTAGAAAGGTTTGAACTTCATTTCATAACCCTTTGGTCATAAATTTTTGATTAAGTACCTGTTGCTTGACTTACTGGCTTTCAATAATCAGTGGTTACTCTTTAAAAGGATTGTTATCATCTTATAATTCTGTTTGTATAACCAATCCGAGTTCATTATTTTTATTATTATTATTAACTTAATATTCTAATTCACAGACGTACTTATTGTACAACATTTGGTAAAAGTACAGCATAGGGATGAGCTTTAGTGATTCTTAAAATAACTAACCGTTACAAATATTAGCCCACTATTAACCGATCGGTGAGCATTTATTGTAAATCAACAGCTTGAGAAAAATAATAAAGATTTTGCATCGTTAATGAATCTATTGAGGTCTGCTACAGGTTTATTTTTCTTTAAATAGAATAAATGACTCATAAATTCATCAAGTTGGCTGTAGAACATCTACATCCTTGAACCCTCTCATAGATTCAAGGAACTTTTCATTAATCTCTAGTTGTTACTAGTTGGAGTTCAATGTTAGGTTTATTTTTATTTATTTATTTAAACACATAAATATTGGCACAAGGAAGCATCAAATACATATGCGCCGCACAAATCTCATTCGATTTGTGTGAGGGCTGTGATACTGCCCAGATGCCCAAACTGAAGCAGGTGGTTTTCTTAGGGAGCCGCACCCGGAGCCTTCGAACTAAAGGTCTGATCCACAAGGCAGTGGAACGTCGTGAGGAAATGCGTTCCCATGGTAGCCGGTAATCAACGATTGATTCATACGCCATTTGTTCCCGCAGTATACTGGAGCCCATGTGCACCATTGGTTTGGGATCAGGGTTTTCCAACTCCCCTAGGTGGACCCTCCGTGTCCACCAACCCAGTTGAAACGCCGGACATTCGCTATTCATCCTCTCACCTTCCTAAACAACACCCGTGGTGCGAGAAGGCAGTGAGTAGGACTTCCTTGGAAGTGGTTATATGCGAGTGGCCATGTAAGAGTATTTCGAGAGGGAGAGCGGACTCTCCTCACTCTCGGCCGTACCACGGCATTTTGGGGCTAATTTACTTGTTATGTATAGTCTACATAAAAAGAATGGAGCATTTAATATGTCGAACATTATCATTTTTACTCTATAGTAACAAGAGAATAATTTCCTGATGTAATTCTAGATGTTCTAAGCGCTACATAATTATACTTCTGATGTTTTATTTACACGATATAAAATAAGAGTCATTCTTCTTCGAATTTCTCATAAAACCTCATCAGTTGCTCCCTCGATTTTGTCTCACCCCTTCACTATACTTCTACCCACCTCTTTTATTTACTTGTTCTAAAGTAAAATATACTATTTAGAGACTCGATCGTCTCCGTTGAAAATTAACTATTTGAATATACCAGTTAGTTTTTTTTACATGAAAATTGATTAATTTGTCTGTGAATTAGCCCAAGGGATGTCTTTTTTCTATCATGGAGGAAGTATATAAATGAACAAAAAACATATTTCCATCAAAGCGTCTTTAAAATTAACTTTACAATATGATATTTTTCCGCTAAGAATTAAAGACAAAATTACATTGGAGTATTCGGTAGTTTGTTTCAGTACCCTTATAATTTTCGTAGTTGCTACTATAGAGAAATAGTGGAGGTTTTTGAAATCATAGTTTTACATCATGAACTGACTTTAATTGGATATTTATCATAAACTAATCTTTACTGAAGTGTTCTATGAAATTAAACCTATTCAAAGAAGTCCGTACTAATTCCCAATACCGTTACGCAGTTTGGTAGTGAGTGATGTTAATAATTAACTTACCGACCCTTAAGTATATTCTTTAATTCAACTAATCAGTCATTAGATATCTTAATATTGCTTAGCATTAGTATGATATAATTATTTACCGTATGTTTCTTTTTTATGTTTGCTCTAGTTTGTTAAGTACTTTACTGTGTTTTCTGTACAGTCAATTTATTTCTCGTGGTGAGTCCTGATTAAATTGTTCGTTTTCATTTTGTTTTCAACGTTATAACAATAAAGTTTTGTGCTGTATACATGTTTTTCTTTGTTTTTCGGTAACCCTCTAAGTTCACGTTTCAAAACCATTTCCTTTTAAAAATCAACAAACTAATTTGACTTGCTTCAAGATGAGGCCGTGCGGGAGATCATGACTGTTGGACTTCAGCTGTACTTGAAATAAAAAAGATAGTCATTACTAGTAGCATTGAATAATCATCGCGAACCAATTGAAATTAAAATTACAGACTACTGAATCCTAACCTAGTAGCTATCTAAAGATTAAATCCTCTCCCTGAAATTTGAATCTTCGGGGTTCGATTACTGTTATTGTGCTTCATACTAGGACCAATCAACTATCTCTTACTTCCTGATTTTCAACAATATATGAAACATATCCTAAACATAATACGACTTTCAGGCTTGAAGTCTATCAGTTATGGTGTAGTGAACAAGAAGACGGATGGGGACCGTCACGATATACTACTTATGTAGATATAAGTAACCCACGCCACAATGGCACGAAATTGATTCCATGAACAACTATGTCCAGTTTTTTGTCTTCTATTGGAACAAATCACACGAAATTCCAGTAAAAATGTCTTGAATGCATCTTTTGAGGGTAAACCTTTTCTGATTGTTATTATCCTTTGCTTATCGATCTATTATTTGTAAATAAAATGTGTTTTTATTGTGGGTGTTTAACTTTAAGAAAAGTGATTTTGCGTTATCTTTTTCTAAGGAAGTTTTCGTCGAGATTTTTCAGATACTAAATAGATATTGCACAAAGGATTTTACACCCATGTGCTTTTTTCTGTCTCTATTCGAAATTAATAAATAATTATTACCAATCTTTGATCAATTAATTGTTGTCAGATATAAGGTAGTGATCGACTGACGGCTGTTCCAAAAATTTTAATCTTGAATTTTATCGTTAAAAGGTGGTATGAATTTTGTGCAGAAAGTTGTTTCCAATTGTTTTGACCATGGAATTTGGAAGGACTATAGTATTCTCTACTATCCTTTCTACATCTTCCTCTCCTCAAATCATCATTTTCTTTGTTTATCCTCATTTCATTAGTTTTTATTTTCGATGCTGAAATATATCTACTGTCTAGCTGCTTGTAGAAGTGTATGTACTTGGACTTTATTACACTCAATTCCTCATACTAAGCACGAGTTAAATCAGCACTTAAACTTGTCGTTGATTGGTTGAGATTTTAACGTTTAACCCACTGTATATTAACAGTCATGTATTACTACTGACCACTTCTTTTACTGCATTATAACAGCTCTTGAAAGTCACTTGTTCTAACTACTCTGGCTAGAATACAAATTCATATTATCTACATGATTAGAATCAGCCGATTTACCTTGTTAATTTTATTTCCTTTTCGGTTGAACATTATCCGAAAAAAATGTGGAAGTGAACTTTCTTGTTCTTCTTGTGTTATGTATCAATATATGCACATGTTCTTTTACCTCCCCAGGTAAACCATGTACACAAGTGATAAATTTTCGCAGAATATTTTCAATGTTTCGTAAAACGGCAGAAACACAACCGTATATCCTAGTGGAAAGTGAACCCGATGGTGATAATGATGATAATGATGAGAATAATAATAATACTGATACAACCAGTTCATTATTTGTGGAATTTTATGAATTAACTAGTGCTTTGTCAAAATTTGGTGCTATCATGATGTATTTCTTTATATGTGACAGGTCAGTCTTTACGAAATATTTACCGTAACATTTCCTAAGCACATATTATTTTATCTCAACTAGATTATATGGTTAGCACACATTTTGTAGCCAATTATTATCAGTAATTTCTTTCGATAACTTTAAGGAAATATCTCGTTTAGTTCAGTATTCCAAAGTCCTGTATAAGGTTTGTTTTTTGTTCACCCGTGTATCGGTTTTTTATAAGGATTTTGGGGATTTCGATTTTGAAACCTTTTTTATCTGTTTTTCACATTTACTTTTGTAAGGATTTGGTCAATTTAATGATAAAATTCGCCAACAAATGGGATGATGTGGAAGACGGAAAAATATTGAACTGTTGTCTCATTTGGTTTTGAAACCCATTTGGCAATTCTCACCACTTTCTTTTATGGTCATTGTGATTCATAAAGGAGCTGATGTTGATTTCGTTTTCAGCTGTTGATTTAATTTTTGATACTAAATGTATACATTTCGTCATTTTATATGGTTTATATGGTCTTTGCTATGACCTAATCGGACCAATAAATTATTGAGTCCACTAACGATGAGTTTGCTCTACGCTTATTAGTTAAGGCTTTGAACTTTCAATACCTAAATACCTACTTCGTTTTGGGCAACCGTGTTGTATCACACTTAGAATTTGGCCCATACATTGGTGAATCAGTTAATTAAAAAGTAATACGGCAATAACACTAATGGCTTCCACTTAGTTAATTCTTCTATTAACTGTACTGATGGTTATTGCCCCACACTTATTCACATGTTAACAATTATTGCGTCAAACGTTATTTACCATAAACCAAATATTGAATAAATACACCATACAAAGAGAGTATAATCCACAAAGTTTAGCTTTTTACACTTATTCTCCCGTATCTGAAAAGTGCCTTTAATTATTTGTATCCACGTAAGTTTGTAGTAATGACTTTTTATTTTTAAACATTTCATTAACTTAACTAAATTATGTTTTTGCCTATTACTATCGTTATTACTGACAAGTAATATCCTGATATCTATTTTGAAACATTGTAGAACAATATTATTCATGAAGGCCAATAAACGTTATACAAATTTGAGCTTTTTTCTACCGACTATCTATTGCTTCGTGTTAGGTTTATTCTTTAGTGGACCAACTGAACGAGTAAGTATTTCTTCACTATCCACATAAAACAATAAATAACTTTTGAATTGGGGTATAAGCCGGTGTTCTGATTGGCGATCTTGTCACATGATAGTTGACGGATTATAGGACATTACACGGATAAATGATTTTTTTCAACTAAGCCTTTCATTTACATACAGAAATATTCACTGTTGGGTTGAACTAATTATTAAATAACAACTGAATAGTTAAATATGTAAATCTAGGTAATTAACTAACCAACAGTTGTACTCTTTTCCCTATCGTTCAATTATTTACTTGGTCAAACCTTTCCTAAACAAAGAAATCAGTTACCTACTGACTAGATTGATCAAGTAACCTTGACTAAGTTCGATAAAGCAAGAACAGCTGAATCGGTTAATACAAATGTAATTCTCAAAACCAGATGACATATTCTTTTTTCAGGCGACCTCTGTTGAACCATTAGTTGTGATTGGGTCATCACAATATGTCGACCCGACCAACAAGTCTATGTAGCAGCTAATACTGTGGTGACCGAAATAATTCCACTAATGATGATTATGCCAACTTAAAATAATAAAAGTATATTCAATTCTATGGATGCACTACTGCCATGTATAAACATCTATGTGGAAGAAATTCCTACCTCTTATATATAAGGTATTTCGAAATTGAACTATTTCAATGATTGTATTCTTTTAACTCAGTCTATTAAAATCCAATTACATTTTAAACTAAAATGTCAATTTCAAACCTCCCTTACAAATTCCTCATCTTTTTTTATTGCTTTAAGCAGATAACTAGTCATTGATTCAGTTTACTGTCAAAACAATCAGAACGTTAGTCTGATATTTAAAGTTTTGAACTAATTCACCATCTAATAATTTCTCGTTACTTTTCGTTTAATACTTTGTTAACTGTATACGAAATTCATCATTTACACCTAATTTTGCCTTAAATATACTTCCAGTGGTGGCTATTTCATCATCTAACTTTGTCACACATTTGCTTTCAAAGATAACACCTTTGTCTAAGATTATAGAGATATCCTGAAACCATCGGCGGTTCACAGTATTAGGAAAATATATTTCTATTTAGTAGGTTTGCTGATAAAATTCAAAGTCTTCTGAATGCTTTGGGCTACAATGGAAAAGCCTTTACGATTCATTTCCATCCTCTCCTTCCCAACTATAAACTGTCATTTCAACTTAGGTCTGATTCGATAAGTAGTTTAATTGTGGGTATTGAAATAGTCGCACAAGCCTATGATTTCACTTGTCCTATGATCATGTCAGTCTTAGTGGATGATTGGTGGAATTTCGGTATAAATTTAAAGTGTTCTCTCGCCTTTCGTCATCGTGGACCATCTGTCTGTCAAAAAATAAGCATACTGTACTACAGTTTACTCTTTATTACCTTATGAATATGAAATATGGTCTTTGAAGTTAGAGGGTATGAGGATTTTGTTGGTCTTTCACCATAGATGCCTTTGGTGTTATGAATAACAAAACTTTCAGCTGCCACCTATATTGACAGACTCCTGTTAAGCATAGATGGAGGTCGTAAAAATTCTAAGTATGACCAGAATATATATAATGCCAGTTCATGAAGTCACTAACTGAACCATGACAGAAGGAAAAGACTTCTTGACTGGGGCTTGAGAAATTACCATAATTAGTGGTTAGAACCCGCCTGTATACTTGACTTTGAAATACACTTCAGGAGTAAGAGCTCTCATAACTATCTGGCTCATTTACCAAGAACACATCTAGAAAGGTTTCAATCAGTAATCTATTAGTTTATAGCTGATCACTTTGACTAATAATATGTAGTTTGTTACAGTGGCGCAGACTCATTCTACATCTAACTCTAAATCCTTGATATTATTTTATACTTTTCATCCCCTAACCTTTTTGTCTGTTTTTTCGAACATTTTTTTTGCTATAAATACTTTTTGTCATATCTCATTGACTAAAAAATTGTGTTTCTGACGTTTTGTGACTTAATCTACTCCACTTCTTCAGAGTAAACAAATAACCGAACATTTTTTAATGTTCAGTCTAAACTAATAATAATAATAATACTTTTGTTAGTATTATTTTGACTTATTTATACTTCATTTTTTTAATTTACACGCTTAGTATATGTGACCAATGTACATTTGTACCAAGCCCTACATTATGCATCATTGATTTACTGTTTTATATTTTTAACGTCCAATTCTTATACTCCATCGTCATATCATTCTAACTCATATCATATTAATAACTATTTCGATTAATGTGCTTTGTTTTATATTATTATTACTATTGTTATTATCATTGTACTAACCATCATTTGCGGTACTCATCAGTTACTGGATCAAATAATTTTATACTTCCATACACTTGTGATGTTCAAGTAAATTTAATTAAACGCTGTTTATAAAATTTCATGTCAAAGATAGATGTAAGCATAGATGGATAGTGGCTAGCAGTGCTTGTGAATTAAGGCTATATCGAGGCAAAACACACAGTATGCACATATGCCAATTACAGACTGACCAGTTGCAGTCCCAAACATCAATGGGAAGATTCAAACGAACAATACTAAGTGAATTTAAAGATAGTAGATGTTTTCTCAGTTCAGTCACAGTTCAATTTAACAATGCATAATAAAGCATCCTTGTTTGTCTGTTGTGGATAAGATTTTTAATTAATAATACAACAAAGTTTTCGACTAATAAAGTCAATGAGCAAAATTATAATCAATAGATCAATCCAATGATATAACGTGACCGAGTAATGCCTACTCATGGGATCATATAATTGACTCAAGCGCTTGAATACTTAGAAATTGAAAAAAAATCACTAGCCAGATGAATGGACTTTTTTTGTAACAATATCAACTGCTTATATACAGAATAGCAACACAAAATAAACATTATAATATATATTTGGCGATTGGAAGAAATTAACTTGTAGATTATTCCAATCAACTAGGAATTGATTGATAAGCTAAATCTGTGAGTATCGTATAAATATTGTTTTCATGTGCTACACCTTTCTTATCAATATAACAGTAAATATAGTAGATGCATTTTGCTAAGTAATCTAATAGTGCGTTTTCGAATTCTCATACTACGTCCTTACAGTACACTTCTGTAGAATAATACAAATGAGCAGTTGTAATGGATTATTTGTAGCCTGTTCGCATTAAATCCTATATCATTCTTCGACTTTTACATTATCCCACCCATAATAAAGTGTTAAATTAATGCATAATGTGTATTCACGTGAAACTCAGAAATAGCTTCTATTCAAGCTAAGAATAATAATGAACATGAATAGATTACGGATAATAACACCTTGAAAACAGGCTCTTAATGACAAAGTTTTGCACATAAAATCTAAGTTAGTAATTATATTATAAATTACCCATTTGATTTCATGAACACGTTGTTATTGAATACAGAATAAAATGATAAAACACTAGTGGAAAATTGTTAAACAAGGTGCTTATTACACAGATGGACACCAGAATAACGCCTTCCACCTATTTAATGAGATTGTTAATAATTTTTCAGTTTAACTTTCCAAGTGAATATAATCGAACCAATATTTATGTTATTTATCCCGAATTATTCATTGAAGAGCCATGTTTATATATATATACAGGTCTTTACGATCGGTAACTCGTTTCATCCTCATACGAGCTTTTTCCGCAGTGTATGCCCATAAATCGTATAATTTTTATTTTAGACCCTTTATATCTCCTATCAACCATGATGTTATCCAATAATTCGTATTCGCCATCTGTTACAAAACTACCTCACTCCTAAGTTAACTAACTTCATGCACTAAAGCTTTCTATTAGAACTTCAGGAAAGCCATCTTGGAACTAGGTACTACTGGATACACTATTGTTATTTTAGATTCAGTAATATAGTTTTACAGATAAATTTTATTGTGAATCTTTATTAATTGTAAAAAGAACCAATTTTAGACAGCTGATCACCACATGAAAGATACATATTATCATTTTCCTTTTTCTACAGTCTCAAGTTAATCATTTGGATATAACACGTGAATGGAAAGGATGGATGCAATTATATCTTTTAATTTATCATTTTACTGATTCTTACAGAGTAAGTTAACTTACATCCTTTTTCTATTATAGTTTATTTAAATCAACGAAAAATTCGTTTTAAATAGTCTATACATTTTTTAGGAGTATACAATAGTAGAGCAAAATTTTAAAAAATGGAAATCGAGAATTATTAGACAAATATGCTGTGCTTATAAAATGATAGATTAGATTTACAGTTCAGTTCGATTCTTTTGACGATGTTGTGTTCGCTGATCTAAATAGTTTGATTGCGAAACTTTCATTGTCTTTGTAGACAATATAACTTAGACGTTGATAATAATGTTCAGAATGACAATGGACATTCTGCAGTTAAATCATCTAGCTTAGAAAACACAACACCAGTAAATTCAGTTCTTATGAAATATATGTATATCGGTCATAAATATATAACATGAGTTCAGTCGAATCACTTTCTATACATACCATATTTAACTTTTCTAGCCATTGAATTCCGATATCTCGTAATTTCTATTCTAATCAATACATAATTACTGAATTCATTAACAAAAAACATACCAATCTGTTATTGTTTTCGACCGATCACTGTACAAAAACTAAGAATATACGAATATCCAAAATCATGCAATACATCAAAACTGTTCCTTGTAAAACACAGTTTAAATTTTGGCTTTCAATTTTTTCTCAAGTGCTCAAACTATTCAAATAAAAGATCTTTCGATGAAAATATTGAGAGTGTATTGAAAAATACAACTTCATCGTTAACTTTCTGTGTAATCATATGTATTTTTTTCTTAATCGTATAAACAATAGGATACTTATTATAACGCTAAGGTTTCTTGTTATAACAGTCCTTTCACTTTTTACACGTATGTGGGACGTTAATTTACCTTAGACGAATATCTACACTAGATTCCCTTCCAGTGTCTATTCTACAGGACTTCAACACAACTCAGATCAAGAACACGAGATTAGCCTGATTATGACGTCAATATATTTCCACACCAAAATCCGACACAACGAACAGTCAATCAATAACAGGATAGGGGAATATATATAACACATATAACACCCGTCATCCTATCTAATGTCTGACTCATCAAGACAACCAATCATTGTCACAGAATTTATAATCAAAATTTTCCTTTTGAATAAAATGACTTTTGTCAATATTCTGTGCTCCTACCGTATTTATTTATTCGTCTGGTTATCATCATAATAACGTTAAATCTTAATTTTTTTCCTTGACTTTTTGTTTTCATTCAAACAAACAAGGTAACTCCAATTTTCATGTCAGCTCGTCTTGTTGTATCGAGTTATCTATTTCTATCAGGATTTGGACATTTTTGTTATTTTTGGCGTAAACCTGTACCACAAATTAATTGGTTAAAATTATTGAATGTAAGCTTATTTTTCTTCCTTTCCCCCATATAGTTATACATTCTGTGTATTTCCATCACATATTGACTATTATTAAATTTCCAACTGATTTATATCTTAAGTGTAGAAATATTATGTAATTCTAAATGACTAGTTTCGAGAGGTAATTCTCGGAATTCTACTAATTTTACTCTTTAAAATATAAGATTTGAATTTCGTTATCAGGGTAAATAATCAAAGAGTTTTAGGAGAAGCAATGATTAATGTAGTTCAACAATGTCAGATGTGAAGCGGTCATTCACTAATGGCGTTCAAAGATGTTTGCTCGGTATAGTGAGTTACTTGGAAATAGAAATGTAAATCATTGTATATCAACTAGATTTTCTGACGATTAAGAGCTTCACGGCATATGTAAGTATCTTGGGCCCGATCCTCGATATGGTTTCGAGCGCGCCATGACGAAGAGTCCAACACCGGGACTAAACAGCTGTGCAGTGCTTCCTAGTTGTCAACAGTTTTTAACTAAGTTCAGCTTTCGGATATAAACCACAAAATCCCTAAACATACTAGTTTTATGCTTTTTATTTATTCTGAATAATAGTCAGATTTTAAATAAATTAATTGGATTACAACTTGACACTAATTTGTCAATAACTCGAGGCATAAGTATAATTTTCAATTCCAAAAGATTAAATTACTATAACCAATAAATATAACTAATTTGCTGAGTTAAATACTTAATCCTTCCTAACAATTTCTTGTTAGATAAGCCTTTTATGATTTTAGTATTCAGTGTCCAGAGGATATCTGCTCCATAGCTCAATATTAATCACTGTGATTTTACACGACATGTAGGAAAATAGCTTCAGTAATCAATTTATAGCATATCTGAATACTATTAATATACTCCCATACTAAAAAAGACAGTTGTCTAGTGCTTCTTGACTTTCAGTAGTTGTTTAATTAGAGTTATCCTTTTATGTAAACTATACAATGCAACGCTTCCGTTTAATTTGTAGATATAAATTTCCGATAGCTAAACTAATAAGGGCACTTGAAGTGGATTAGCATTAGATATTTTTTTAGCTTATACATATGGACATAAACACTCCGGAACGAGTTACGCATCCGCATTTGTACCTGCATACGTTGGAAATATTCCCTATTGATATATATACGATCTTTACTAAACAGCTTCAATAGATCTTAGCAAATTAATGATATTCTTTGTAGTAATTATGTTTATAGAATAAATTTTCATGACTGAAATATGATACTGTATAATGTATTGTACATGTTATCTAAATGGATAGGTGTCAGCATATACCTTTAACTAAATCATTTTTATTAAAAAAAAAACAACTCTACAGTTTGTATTCAGATTTTTAATGTACATGGTTAACCTTTACTCTAAATATCCTGTCGTTTTAACCGTACTAATAAAAGTAGTTTGCAAATTGCTTACAAGTTGCGCGATCAGATAACTTTTGATAAACTCTGAGGTGTAGATACGACAAATTTATATTTTGGTTTAAAAATTTAGTTTTACATATGAAAGGTAGTTTCCCATAGGTGGATTTTCTATTAGTATTTTGCTTGTTACTCTGATCTTTAATTTTATCAAATGATTCCCGTTAGCTATAGGTTCATAAAAGAATTTTAGGCAATTCCTAGACCTAACCACTAATAGGCATTAAAGGTTTTGTTTCAATTGAGTTTGTTAGATATCTCTCCTGCTAAAATGTTGTCGGATGCTCGTTTGTTGTTCATAAGCTGGTATATATCTTGATGTTTAATTCGCTCAAAATCAAGATTTTTAGATCTTTTGGTTAAATAATTTACTACTCTTTAAGAAATACTTGTTGTCAGATCTACTACATAGCTCTCTAAGTATAAGTTTTGGATGAAATAATATGAACCTATAGTAAAATGAATGAAAGCCAAGTGTTACAGTTTCACAAATTCTTTTTCTTTAGACTCTAAACTAGAAATCTGCATCCCATTTCTATTCCCAATATACGATATGCTAAGAAATGTTCCTCGTGATATTTCTTTAAAAAATAGAATAGTAAACTCTAGTTTATTTGTTTATGCCCAGTTTATTAATCGTTGAATAACTTCTAAAATAAACTAGAATGGCCTAGTCTTCAGAGGTCCCACTTTGAATATATTTAGGATGCTAGAACCTCAAGAATCACTTGGTAAACGTCACGTTTTATTTTAAAGATTTGAATTTTTCATTTTCGCACCAAAAGCGCCCACTTTTACCTTCAGTTTATATTTCTCACTTGGAAGAACCTTAAATGTCATTGGTTCGTTCCCTATTTTAGTATACTATTTTGTGACATTTTCCAATGACATTTTTGAACTGTACATATACGCATAAGTTGTGTGTTTGTTTGTTCGTGCTTTCGGGTTTCCTGTGTAATATACATTTCCCTCGACTGAATCTAGTCTTATCCGTCTAGTTAACAGGGCTAAGAATAGTTTAGCGTGTCCTGTTGTTGTGTTGTTAACTTTTGTTCCGTTTTCCGGTTTAAGTGATATCGTAGTAAATAGTACTTTAACTAGTAAACTTATGTTTAATGAATAAATTAAACTCATACTGTTGTAGCTATAATTCACACGAACTAACGATCTTTTTTCTTATTTTGTAGTATCGTCGTTGCTCCAGAGAATTTTGTACTGCATGGAAAGCATTATGGCAAATTTTACATCGATATTTAATTGTATGTATTCTTTTTGTTGGAAAAGTTAATTATTTTAAGATGCCTTACTATAATAAGTAGTTGTAATCTACTTAGTACTACCTTTCAGTTCACAGTTTGAGCTAATTTTCCAACCTTGTAGACATTTAATTGTTACTCAAATGCATTGCATTTTAATAGGTATATCAAGAATGTAAGATGATGGTCAGTTTTTAGATTTTGTAAATAACTTTCGTATTTAATTCACCGACAAATAGTCATACTAAGTTTGAAACATATTTTCGATGAATAGAAGTCTATTAGTAGAAATTTGTATTTTCGCGTTGTTGATGTTAAGACCTCTAATCGACCAAGTACATCCATCTGACAAGTCTCAAACAGAACAAAACACGCATTCTGGATTTCATTGTTTGCCTTTATTCAAACTTAATAAACCATTAAAGTCTGTTCGAGCACACTTTGTGTAAAACAATTATCACTTGGTTTTTATAAATTATCTGTTTATTTGAAATAACAATTTAAAAACACATATACTAGTACAGAGATAAGTACGATGTTCCGATAAAAGTGAATACATTGCATGATGGAGTTTATTTTTAGCTCAGGATGAAGATGTTAGAAGTGTGGTCCTTAACTTGTACATTTTAGTTGTGAAGGTTTCATTGTTCTACTGAAAAACATCATCAGCACGTAGTTCAAAGGGTAGTGAAGTAATGGAATTTCTTAACAATTGACTAACAGCTCGTTCTGATGACGTGGAATTCGATTGACGGTTATCCATAACTGCTTGGTCGTTATGTACTTATTTGTTTTGGTTGTTTTCTATCTCTCCTGTTACGCATAATAACTAACCAAATCCCAGGTCAACAGAATAAGCTGTTAGTCAATCGTGAAGAAATTCCAGTGGCACACTTCTATTTGAAATACGTGCTTTTTTCAGAAAAACAGTGAAACGTTCACAACTAAACCATACAGGTTGGAGACCACAACACCTCCAGACAATAATCCACATATAAATAACATGACTCATCATATATTGCACAGTTTGTATAAAATGATAATATACCGGAAGGGTTAAGTATCAGGCCACAAGTTATGTTGGATGTATGTATAATCTAACACCTATGGATACTGATTTTTATGTTAATCTACACGCTTTCAGTGCAACTTTTTAAATTACTGAATCATATTTCACAATAGTATATCTTAAATAAATATTTCACTTTGTGGATAAAGTTTAAGCTCAGTCTCTAAACCTTGAATTGTATCATAATTAATTTAAGGAAAGAATGTTTCATTGTTATTCATCTGTGGGAAAATATTACTTACCAATTAGATAGTTTTCCACGCAATATTACGGTGAACTCTATCATCTCCCTGTAATTGTAACCAGTAAAATTACACTTTTTTATATGACACAAACCAGCGGTAAGTGCAACGTTATGATCAGTGTGTAACTTCTCTCCTGTCTAAACGTAGAATGGAGTGTGATACAGAATTCAGGCTTATAACCAATTTTGCAGTTTTATTTCTCCATTGAAGATCTAAGGTCTTCATATAATTAGCTAATATTTCCTACTTTAGTGAAACCAACTGATTGAATGATTTTACTCTTCTTCTTATAGCGTCTGTTTTGTTTTATTAATCATCCCTATCAATCATATTTTATATTTGTTATATTTCATTTTTTACAGGTTATTTATCGTTTTAATTTCTTCGTCTTTGGATTATGTCTAGTTATGAATCGTGGTTATTTAGCTTATTATTTTATTCCACTAGTATCATTTTGGTTCACTGTCACACTGATTGTTTGTGTTATGTTCCCTCGTGTATCTGGCCAAAAAGTATCTGGAAATCAAAATAATCGAGATAATATCGATTGTAATGATAATGACAGTGATCATAATATCACTAGTAATAGTAGTAATAATAATGATAGTTCTACTCATGCTAACAACTTTACCAATATAACTACTACTACTACTATTCCTTCAACAACTGCTTCTACAAGTATCCCGTCCAATACAACTGCCACTTCTACCGCAATAACTGACAACTACAACTACAATCGTAACCGTTATTCTAATCAACAGTACTTTACTACTAACTATGATGAATATCCACCAAATCATCAATACATAGAATCAGATGATGAAATTTATTTCCATCAATCTCCACGAAGATCTAGCCTGAACATGAACAAATCATTCCTGTTACCCACCTCGTCGCCATCATCCCTGCTGACATCGACAAATACAGTAATTGGTGAAATATCTGATTATATTCCATGTCCTTCTTCATCTTCATATAAATTAACGACACCAATTAATTATAATTTACAAAGAGGTCATTATAAAGCATTATCACTTGGTACAGGATTTGATCTTTGTCAAACTTATTCTCTTACTACTACTGATACTGATAGTGCTGTTCCTTGTAATGCCCAATTTCGTCATTATCAAACCAATCAAAAACTTATTGGACATCGATCACATCGTTCTGTTGTTAAGTCACGTGGACGTCTTGGTCCACCGTTAACGGAAGATTTAATTCGTAAATTTCAGTGTATTGTTTTACCATTAAAAAAGAAAATATCATCAACAACATCATCAACACTGAGCGCGACAACAACAATAACCACGAATAAAAAGCGAATGATAATCATGAACCAGAAATCAAAACAGTCATTGGACTCTACTACTAATACTACTATTATTACTACTTCTACTACTAATAAATGTCGTAGATATTTCAAATCATTATGTTTCATTCATTGTAGTCGTATACGATTGACTTACCTAATAATGATAATAAAATTTATTGGTTTAATATGTTTAATTGAATCATTGTATCGTTCAAGAGGATTCTTTCATTGGTTATTTTTCTCAGGGTAAGATTTCTATGAATTGGGTCATTTTTGTCGTGTATTGATTGTTCCTCAGTTTTAACAATTTTACACTCTAAATCAAATGATAGTTTAAACCAAGAAATAACATTGACTATGTTATAATTAAATAAGAACCGTCGCATTGTAGGTTCGAAGCATAGTTTACCTAGATTTATTGACTCTCAGAATCATATCGTCACTAGACCAAAATAAAATCATTTCTATTATAATTTTACAAAAAATAATATTGCACAGGTGGAAATACATAAAGTTAATATAAAACATACACACTAACTATAGGTCACCTGAATTGGTAGGAAGAATACAATTTTCTCAATGAACGAAGTTCATACATGCCATGCTGGCTGGATTTCATAATAAATCGATACCAAAAAAACGAAATAATGTCATCTTTCTATCCCACCATATCAGATAGCCAATTCTCCTTATCCGAGACACACAAAATAGTCATGTAATATCAATGTAGTCGGACAACTTTTGCCAGTAATATACGCTCTCAGGCGTACTACCGAATTCCACTCTCCACCAATGTTAAAACTCCAATATTTGCTTGTCAATAAAAAATTAATTAATCTATAGTAAGTTGTTATTATTAGTATGATTGTGAATTCCGATTTTATGATTATTCGCAGAGTAAACTTATTAGATGATTTTATTTGAATACTCGGGTTTGATTAGGTCGTAAGTGTACTGTATTCATAATCAGTTGTGTTAATAGCTTATGGTAATATATTGAATTTTTCTTACACATTTAAATGGGCACCGTTTTTTCAGACCGCAGAAGTATATATTTCAATATCATCGTGAGCCTACGCCATCAACACAGGAAGATGTTACCAATAATGATGAAAAAGTATGGTTTTTTCGTTGGTCAATCGATCGTTATTCAGCTGTTTACGGTATGATATTTGCCTTCCTGTGTGAATCCCTACGACAAATTGGAGTATTACAAGACACTATTGATGATAACAGCGGTGATAATTATGCTGCTGCCGATTATTTACAAGGCATTAAACAGTCTGATGAAATTCATTATTCTCGATTACCACTGAGTAGTGAGAATTACAATCTTACTACTAATGTCGCTGCCAACAATAATGGTGATAATCATGGTAGTAATATCAATATTAATAAAATTAACAATGTTGACATGGATACTGATTATCATAAACGACTTCAAAAAACTGATCATAAAACGTTCCATTGTCAGAATGATTACAATAATGAGTCTTATGAATATTTAAACCACTCAACATCTTATGAAATGAAACATTATGATGACATTTTCAATTCAACTGCTCCATATTCAAATCATTTACAAAAACGAATGAATAATACTAACAATTTATTATCATCATCATCCACATTATTGAATCATTTGAATGAATATAATAATGGGAATTTTTATTTCTCTACGCTCCTATACAAATGTTTCTCACCGTTAGGTTTAACCGTATTAGGTATAATAGGTCTAACTGTGAGTAGTTTCATTTGTTTTTTGTAAAAAGTATTTATCATATAATTTAAGTATTTCTTTACTCTGATATGCTTTGTTTCATCAGAAATTGACATTGTAAATTTCTTAATCCTCCTTCCCCACTTCAGCCGATTTTGAGCCATGACACCTGTCTCCAACTATTGGTTACAACAATCGCAAAAACTCCGACCAGCTAGTTTGAACTTATCTACATAACTCGGTCTAACTTTCTATCGTAAAGTTTTAATTGAGATCATGGACCGATCAATGTCCGGCCACTGTCGAAAATTTTGAAGCATTAGACGGTCGTTTCGTTCTAGTGTGGGACTCATCAGAGGTACTCATCCACGATGTCTCACACGGGACTCGAACTCAACACCTTCGGTCTCACTCACGAACGCTTAACCTTTAGACCACTGATCCGGCATTTAACGGTGTTAATATGTAACTTCAACCAATCCACGAAATCGCACGACCATCTTCCATCGTCTTCGGTAGGTAACTGTCTCGCACCCGACACGGTAGAACTCCACTGGTCACGGCTTCTCACTAGAACTCAGAAAATCACCTCTCTAAGCTTTTCACTAGTGTAGCCTCAATTATATCATAATTTCTCGAGAATAAAGAAGAGAGAAATGATAGCTTATAAGAATTCATTTTCCATATCGGATGCTTTAATTACTAGTCTTTTCATTATCTGTCTGAAGAGATGACACCATCACCAGTACCTACTTCAAATACGCGGTTCAGAACTATTTCCATAAAATGTAGGTTAGTAACCACACTCAAGATAGACAAACCAAGACTCTATTTTCTCGCTAATTTATTGTACAATCTCAGTCTATATATTAATACACGGTCGTCTTCATTTACTAATTATAAATAAATTCATTTACCAGAGTTCGAATGTGAGACTAAGGGGGTGAAAATCGAACGCCTTAACGATTAAACCACTGCCTCACATTTTCTGGTGTTTACTTGACAATTCTAAGAATATATCTGATTGTGAAACTAGTAAAATATAAATTTAGAATACATATTTTCTTCTGAATAGTTGGATATTTTTTTATACGAGAATGTACCATAAGCTATGATCGTCAGTGGGGAAATTCAAATGAATTACAGGTTGATTATATGAATACGTTTATATAACAAAATTAGTTATCTTGTTTGTCAAATATTCTCGTAGCATAATAATTATTTAAAAATTTATAAACATGGTTTACAGATAATATAGTTGAATTTCACTCTTTATCTTTGCTTCTCCGATATTTATGTGCTTGACTAACTGACTATAGGTGAAGTCCATCTGTACCCCCTCCCCAAGACATATTTGTATATATCTTTGAACTTTGTTCTTGCTTGTCAAGCTATTTTACCGAATCGTTGTTTTCATTTAGATCTATTTATCCAGTTTAAAAATTCTCTCCTTTTCAGTTTTCTTGCACATATGTATTTGCCTGTTCGAATCGAGAAACTTGTTTACATATTCACGCATATATGTGTCTCATTCCTGTAAGTTTAATACAGTGATTTTTTTGTTAGTGTCATTCTTTGGAGAAATTGCCTATTTCGATGTTAATACAACAAACAATTTCTGATAGTCATTAAATTCACTGAATCTTTTGTGAATACCGTTGAAATTCATAGCTGTTAAATCAACAAAATTGTCTTTGACCTCATATATATGGAAATAACAAACCAATTAAGACAATTTATTATGAGTCAATAATCATGATGAAATAAATGTCATCACTAAACATAATAGGTAAGAAGTACAAATTAATAATCAGAAGATAGGTGTATTAGTGGTGATAATGATTAAAAAAGTTCTAGTCAGTAATTTAAACATGGAAGTGGATCAAACTTAGATTAAATAGACGTAAAAATAATAATCACTAAACATTATCAAAATTCTATGATAAGAAGTATGTAAATAATCAGATACTGAAGAAAATAAGTGGAAGGAATTGATGAACAGCAAACGAATATGGGATATGAAAAATTAATAAAATCGTTTATCAAATCATATCCAGCCAAGGAAGGGACAGCATAGTCACAAATTTCATCTGAACGTATACATGAGGGTTATAGGTTCGATAAAGCTGCTGATTTATGTAAGCGATAGAATCGAACCTTGTTTGAGAACGACAAGGGTATACGATAGATCACTCTAAACAATTTGGGAAAAAGATAGGACAGTGATCCACTCTTAACCGTAGGAGACTAGAACGATGGGTAGAACACTTTAAAGAACAGTTCAATTTCTCTTTAGTTACCCTTCAGTTGTCTACTTTCACCAAGCAACCTGAATGTGATGTAAACATAAGCCGCCCAACTTTCAAAGAAGTATGAAATACCACAGCTAACGGAAAGTGAGAAAGAGCAGCAAGTTCTGATGGATTAACCCCAGAGATCTTTAAAAATTGTGATCCGGTTCCAATTGTTAGATTGACTGAGATCTTAGCTAGATTCTGGAAACTGGATGTAATCTTATCTGGCTGGTCTCGATTGCTGATCGTTCTAATCTATAAGAAAGTGCAAAAGTCCTCTTATAATAACCACAGAGCAATCAGTGTCTAAAATATTAGCCCCGATATTTATCCAACGCCAAACTAGGGCTCATAAAGAGCAAACTCAAGAACACAGGCTGGTTTCAAACCTGGTCGTGGATGTATAGACCAAATGTTCACCCTTCTCCAGGTTTTGGTAAACAGATATAACTACCAACCCCTAGCTATAGTTGTATTTCTTTATCCTTGTTTTGGAGATAACGCTCCCTTCTGACTTGTTAGGCATCGACTTTCTTCTAGTAGATACACTTATTGACTTAGAATACGCAAATGATATAGTTCCTTTTGGTGAAAACAATGATAAAATGCAGTCTTCTGACCACCTTAATCAACAATGCAAGCATGTTCAGGATACGGTTCTCTTCTTACAAATCCAAAATGTTGCTTAGGGATTAGCTTGTGTCATCACTTGAATTAACGATAGGGAGTGAAGTAGTTGGACGCATCGATGACTTCACTTACCTCAGAAGTCTCATCAGCCCTGATGGTCTGGTGTCTGACGAAATTTCAGTACGGATTCAGAAGAATCGATTGGCTTTTACCATCTTACGTCACTTGTAGCGCAGACGGGATATCCGTTTGCCAACAAAACGATGAGTTTATCGAGCAACAGTTCGCTATCCTACTTTAAAGGTGTGAAACATGGCCATTAAGAATAGAAGACATCAGTAGGTTACTTGCATGCGACCACAGGTATCTTCAAAGCATTGCTCGTATGTTTTGAGACCATCAAATGCGTTCACTCTTTGTCTTCAATGTTTGATATTTTTTATTACTACTAATATTGTTACTACCTCTACTACTCTGGGATTTGGTCTAACAATTTCATCTCTCTGTGCTAATGGAGTGTGTTAACTTGAATCTGCACATTTCGTCTGACTGACTGACCTTCTTTTCAGACTATATTCTCAATGTCCAAACTTTTTCGTTAACACATATGTACCAGGTTTTACGTCTAGTATACCGACTGACTGACTGACTGACTAAGTAAAAGCGAGATGAGTTCAGGAGTAATGTTTTACTTATGATTACCCATGTTCACTTAGCGTCATTAAATTTCAACATAGTTTGCAACTCCATTTATATAGATAAAGGTAAATGAAGAAATGCACACTGGATTTACATTAACTACTATGGGAGTACCTTATTTTCATTGCCGATTACTGTAGAATCTATATACTAATCTTGCTTATATAACTGTCTAAATTATAATATGCGAATTTTTTTCTGTAGATTGTATCGTATATTCTGGTGAGAAATAGTTTCAGTTCATTACGTAGATTATATAGTATATTCTTCGCTTGGATTGGTGATATGTCATTGGAAGTAAGTTTTCAATGATTTTCATTTAATTCAAACATATTTTTTCTTTATTAATTGGTTTTTTTCTGCACAAAAAATTGAGATTGTATGCTAATAGACGAACTACTAAACAACTAGTTCAAAGCATATTTCTTTTAAACATTTTACTTTGTACAACCCACCCTCTTTTTAATATATATATACGGTATTTGGCTAGTAGTGGAATCTAGGATGCGTATTTCGTCCTATTAGGGACTAGTCAACTGGTTTCATCTGCATTCCAGTAGTTGATGTCCACACTGAGATTCGAACCCTGTTTTTTTCGCTTCAAAAACCATTGTTATCCCCTGAGCTACTGAGTTCGTATAGTCACTAACTTTCCCAACAGGCATGAATTTATATATTAGGGTTTTTAATGTCCTACTGTTAATAAGTTCCAAAGAAGATGAAATCCGCGCCCTTCGTGCATTAGCTAGCCACATACTAAATATACTAAAACTTACAACATGACTCAGTATCAAAGTAATCCTCTTAGGACGCGAATATAACTACAGAGACTGATCAATCACATTCTTGAATATCAAAAACCGGGAATCGCAAATCTTTACATACTTTTTTGTGTTTGGGTCGTGAGCTTCGTACGCATAAGTGCATATGTTTGAGATACGCCTTACAATCTTATATACTAACTTTTATATGTCTTGATACTCTGTTAGCATAATGTTGTAACACTGGTCCAAAGTATTTAGGGGAAATCCAGCAATAGGTAAGCTGAATAAGAAAAAGAACATGTGTAAAAAGGGAATACGTTCAGTTTGCTTTTCAGTTAGTTTTGTCCCAGTTATATGGTGTGTATGCTGTCGAATATAATGATGATAATTCAGTTGATGATACCGCGATCATCTAGAAAGGTCAGATATGGTGACTTGAATGTTGTTAACCACCAAGTCGTCACTTTTTCTTAATAAAAGACAGTGGCAGACTTAGCATAGTTTCCTATAACATTCCTCATAACACTAAAATAAGACTTATTAACTAAAAAATATCCCAGCCGTATTTTCGTTACGAGCTGCAACTTTTAATGAATATAATTAATTGAAGTTACAAGTGTAAGCCCTTTGACCTCAGCTTAGTGGTTTAAAGGTTATATACTTGTTGCGAAACCTGAAAGTTCTGGATCGATCTCCCGGTGGTTTCGTGAATGCACACCGACTAGATGTTCCATACTAGGATGACATAGTTTCCTACTACGTCGTGGTTACATATAAAATTGTCCATCTTAAGTTAATCCGCGATGTAAACTATAAAATTTGTCCAAGTCTTATCTTCGTATAGAACTGTAACTTATTAAATACTATTCTTGTTCACTTATCTATTATCCGACCTTTCTCTTTTCTATTTGTTCAAAATTTTATCATATACTTTTTTAAAGTTCCTATTATTCTAAAAGCGTACACCCGCTGACGAAATAAGGTTATTGATGCGGTTTGAAACTGTTCGGATCGAAATTTGTTTTTGATATAAATAACCATTTGAAATTTTATTTTGCAATTCATATAGAAAAGCGCGTTTAAACGGATCATTCATAATTTGAAATATATAACTAATTGAAACCGTAAAAAGAGAAGCATTTACTGTGAAGAATGTGTAATAATGATTATTAAGAAACTAATCATTCAATTGATAATGAGTCTTATGTTGAAATTCGGGTTAATTCAAATGAGAAACCGTACGATTTATAGTTCAATAACATCTTGAGTGACATCCATTTACCAATTTAACGAAGTACCTAAAACTAGAGGTTAAGTCATATTATTTCAAAATTTGATCAAGACTATTTTGACTTCCTAATATATTTGTAAATTAAATTTACTTATCAAAAAATCTGATTTCTTAAACTAAAGAAAACAACTAATGCGAAATCTTACAAAATGAAATGAAACATGTTTTCATTATGCCTTAACTAACGATGCTTTTTGTTTATAATTGACATTCCCAACTGAATTTATCTAGAAAATTATTGATAGGTAGGGAACACTAGATATCTGCTTTATTTTAGTACGGAACGCTTTAGACATATGTACCCATATCCCTCTCCCAAAGCAATTTAATATTTCGACGATAAAGAGTCTTATGACGAGATTATAATTTATGGACGACCGTTGAACGAATCTTAAGTGACCTTGAGAAATGATAGTCACTCAGTGAACAGTCAGCATAGAGCAAAAATATATAATACAAAACCAAATAATTAAAGTGGATACATTTCTTTTATATGGTTCAAAAACTTGTCAAGGTTAGAAAAAGGTTTAAAGGTCCAACTCATCCGTATGGCTCTATAATAGTTGGTCTCTGGAGCCATGATAAGGTCATAAAAGCCCTCTCAGCCTCGACCACATAGTTTCATTATTGTTTGTGTGTACTCCGGTTGTGTAAGTTTATCATTTTTATTTTGGATATGTCCCTACAATACTCATACCACTGAACAGTCGAAGGTTCAGTAACATCTGCGATTATTGCAGCCAATGTTACTGGTGCTTTTATTACACAGTTGACGACAATTATCATAATATGCCTTAGTCTCAATCTGCATCGAACGATAAAGGTACCTATTCTGGCAAACATCTTCTTTCAACATATATTTCATCGAAGGACAACATCACGGTAGTTTGCACAAAGTCTATAAGTCATTTAATACTCGTAATTACAAATACAGGAACTTCTTAGTAGTTTCATTTGTTGTAGCCACTGTAAACCGATCGTACATAAGCATCAGGTACTGAGATTGGCTCTGTGACCTTGAAATTCCTCAAACGCTTCTGATTGGCTCGTTCATAAATTATAGTGTCGCCAGTTTTATTTATACCACTAAATTGACTATAGTAATACGAAATGATACACAATATCTTTGAATGTTTACTAAACAATCTTATCCATTTTAATCTTAACATTCATTACTTTTTCCATATATGATGTATCATATTGTAATTGTGTCTATGTCCATCATTTTGCTTAAATTCCTATTTGTTTCTTTGATTTATTTTTCTTAGTTATTTATTGCTCAATATCATATTTGGTTATCAGCTGATGCTTATGGTATACTTGTTCTATTACCAGGTTTTCCATTGATCAATTTAACTTTAACATCATTTATTTTTATATGTATATGTCATGAAGTGCATACTTTAACACGTCGATTACAAAATTACATTATTCCTAATTCTCCATTAAAACTTGTACGTAATATTTTAATTTTTACATTAGTATTTCATTTAATAACTAATTCAACATTACAAATGATTCAATGGGATTTTTCTTAATTATTATCCTGATTATTATTGTTATGTTGTATTTCTAAATTCATTCCATTTTATACATACTTCATTTAAATGGGGTTTTTTTGAACTGGTTCCAATGAACGTTGTTGTGTTGTTTTCTTTTCTAGCTCTTTTAAGGTGCATTCATTCCTTATGGATATATTATTTTATTAGGAATAATATATTTACAAAATCTCAGCGAATGAATTTGAAGTAAATCCAACGTTTCCCCTGGCAATCTGGTCTAAGCTTTTTCAAGGAAATATAATCAAACATCAAAATTATCGAATATAAATAGGTACATGGTTCTTCCTTGAAAAAGCTTTGACCAGATGGCCAAGCGAAACGTTGGATTTACTTCAAATTCATTCGCTGAGATTTTACAAATAGTTTATTCCTATTTAATGTCTTACATTAACTCGGCGCTCAAATACTGTGAAACTATTCGTTCTAATTTAGACGAAAGTTCTTACATATATTAATTCATTTGATATAAACATTCCCAGAAACAAAATGAATGTCATGTGATATCATTTCCATTTTTTGTTTTCCTTTTGTTTTCCCCTGAATAGACAGTATAATAGATCTCAGTTTATTATTATCTTGAGGGAATCATGTCAGTTGTTCTTATGATCAAAATTCTGTAATATTGTTATTGAACAATCATCAATGGTAATTTGAGTACTATATATCGATTTTTAAAATAATTTTCTTATTTCTCTATCTTTCTCTTTTTTCAAATTGTATATTACCTTATGTAACAATAGAGATCAGGTCATAATTGAATGAAAATGAATAAAAAATCTATGGTAGAAAAATATCACAAAAGCTAAGATAATTTTCTTATTTGTCATATAATTTTTAAATCTGTACATTGATATTTATATTTTTATCACATAGAAAAGAATAACAATGAATTCTATAAAATTACTATGTAATAAAAGAAAATGGTTTCTTGGTAATTGTTATATTTTATAATTTACATCACGAACTAACCTTCGCTGGACAATCAATGACAACGAAGAAGGACTAGACAACTGGTTTGTCCAGGTATTTGACTCATCAGCAGTGTCCAATCACAATCCCACACTCTCGTCGACTGAATTTTTCCGGAATTTATCTCCTACCAGGGGCTCCACTAAGCGACTTAGAATACGCAGATGACATAGTCCTGTTTGGTGAAGACGCTGACAAAATGCAAAGTCTTCTGTTAGAACTGATTAATAATGCCAGGATGTTTGGAATACGTTTCTCCCCATCCAAATGTAAATTGTTACTCTAGGACTGGCCTGTGTCAACACCTGAACTAAGGATAGGGAGCGAAGTAGTCGAACGAGTCGACAACTTCACTTACCTTGGAAGTCTGGTCAGCCCTAATGGGTTGGTGTCTGACGGAATCTCAGCATGGATTCAAAAAGCTCGTTTGGCTTTTGCCAACTTACGTCACCTATGGCGAAGACAAGATATCCGTCTATCAACTAAGGGACGAGTATACTGCGCATCAGTTCGCTCTGTTCTACTTTACGGCTGCGAAACGTGGCCATTAAGAGGAGAAGATACCCGCAAGTTACTAGTATTTGACCACAGATGCCTTAGAAATATTGCTCGCATCTGCTGGGATCACCGGGTAAGTAATAGTGAGGTTAGACACAGGGTATTAGGGAATAATGGTAAATCAGTTGATGAGGTGATGAATCTTCATCGACTGAGATGGTTAGGCCACGTTTTACGTATGCCTGAACACCGATTACCACGACGTGCTATGCTGATTAGTGTAGGGGATGGTTGGAAAAGAGTTAGGAGCGGCCAAACCAAAACGTGACATCAGTGCTTGAAGTCACTAACCTTTAGTCTGAGCCATATTGATAGATGCAGACTACTTGATTGGGGTCCGCGTGACTATCGTAACCAGTGGTTGAAGACTTTGGGTAATGCAGCTCAGAATCGATCACAATGGTGTAGGTGTACACACTCTTTGTCTTCCTTAAGACCGTGAGATTAAAATTGCTTCATATCTGTCTTTCTTCCTATAATATATCCTTATATACAACCTATCTTTTATATACTACCACCACTAAATTAACTATTTCTATGAATCCGGTGTTCATCTTGTTGTTCTAACGAGGTATGACAACTTGGACCGATGCATAAATGTGTCTGGTCCTACGTTGTAGCTGACTGACTGACTGAATCACAATCCCAATGAGGATATTCAAGTCTTACAGAGAGCATTTAACCTTTAAACTACTGAGTCAGTACCCAATGACTCATAATTCTAACTCCAATCAATTAGCGATATTGCGCAGTCACCTTGGATTGTCTGCAGTGGATTTATTTTATTTTATTTATACACATAAATATTGGTACAAGGAAGCACCAGATACATATGCGCCGCACAAATCTCGTTTGATTTGTGTGAGGGCTGTGATACTGCCCAGGTGCCCAAACTGAAGCAGGTGGTTTTCTTAGGGGGCCACACCCAGAGCCTTCGAACTAAAGGTTTGATCCACAATTCAGTGGAGCATCGTGAGGAGATGCATTCCCATGGTAGCCGGTGACCAACAATTGGTTCATACGCCATCCGTTCCTTCAGAATACTGGAAGCCCATGTGCACCATTGGTTTGGAATCAGGGTTTTCCAACTCCCCTAGGTGGACTATCCGTGTCCACCAACCCGGTTAAAACACCTGACATTCGCTTTTCGTCCTCTCACTTTTGTGAACAACACCCCCGCCATGAGAAGGCAATGAGTAGGACTTCCCTGGCAGAGGCTATATTACGCATGGCCATATGAGAGTATTTCGAGAGGAAGAGCGGACTCTCCCCATTCTCGGCCATACCAGGGCATTCGGGGGCGTCTGCAGTGGATAGATGTTTTACATCTAGCATGTTTGAACTCTACTAGTCATGGCTTTTTCCTAGGACTCCTGGAATTAGGTCTCGAAATTAGTCATCAGTGAACATAGGGTTTGCACCACAAACTGACCTTAAATGACCATTAAAAATGTCCTGCATTCAATGCCGGATAGGATCGTGAATGCTCACTCTCAGAAAGTCTCATACTATAACGAAATATCTATCCAGTGTTTCCTGGTTTTCAATGGTTATTTAAGTGAGGTTAGTTCGTGATACAAACTATGAAAAACAGTAAACAAGAGAAATAAAGTGTCACCCGGTGGAAAGCTAGTATTCACAATCTATTTAAATCATCTTGTTAAGCTTATATTCGCAAAAGTTAGACGAGAATCATAGAAAGATTAACAAATAAAGATGCTACTTTTGTTTCAATAGCCTATCAAAAAGGATACACCAGAATGGTTTGGAATAATAGTATTGTGTAGGAAAAGTAAGAAATATATAATCAATGAATGTATATGCAAAAAGTAGTATCACTTGGGAAATACGATTGAGTTTGGAAAGCAACGAGAGTAATCCCGTAAATGCATCATGGTTCACTCAAATTGACATATACCACTAGTCATATATTGATTTCATCTACAATGCGGAGATTTTTAGTTCGATGTGCAGAAATTCTGTATCAGTAATGAGAAATGACTAAGGAAGACATCTTTTTTCTCCTACTATCCCTTAGCTATTCAAGATAAACTCTAGAAACATTTTTATGAACTTTATATACAATCAATATAATGTTAAGATATTATCTCATCAATTACGCATTACTGAATTAGGTGGATATGTTTTTTTTCTGAAGAATCTCCGGAAACAACACATTTCTACTTCGGATAGAGCTTCAGTACATTTTATGGTTTATATTTATGATTTTAAGTTGAAGTTGTTTACCACTACATGCCGGATCAATAGTCTAAAGGTTAAGCGCTTGCCATGTGACCTGAAGGTTTTGGGTCCAATCTTTGGTGGGGTTGTGGATGAGCACTGCTGAGGAGCCTCAAACGAAGAGGAAACGGCTGCCCAGCGCTCACTAGTTTTTAATTGTTGTCTAACGAAAGTCAGTTCGTTATGTAAACTATAAACAATTTAAAACAAAAAGACTTATTATGATAGCTACAGTTTTTAAATAGCTATAACAGGACTGATTTGTATGAACGTGATGATCAATCACATTGGGCAACATTACAGCATTTTAAATATGAAACATGGCAGAGATAAGAATACCTGAAGGCAAAAGAAATCGAGAATTCAAAATTTTAAAAATAATCAGGAGAGAATATATGTTCAGATAGTTAGCTGCGAATTGGCTTTACCTAGACTAAGCAACACTCCTTCCAGTTTATACAAAAAACAGGCAAAGCCACAAATGTCTGTCTACTCGTTCGACTCTTATTTGTTGTACTACGTGTGAAAGTTCGTCAAATTTCTACGAAATTAAAAGACATAAGTTGCGAATATCCGATCATAACTCAATTTGAAAAGTTCCTCTTGTATTTTATAACGAGCCTGTGTGGAGTAATTCACTTCAGTCGTAAAAATAGTGATGAATACTTTCCACAATCATAAATACAGGGACGAAGTCAACAGAAAATGTATAACTTCAATAGAAGGTTCTATAAACCAGTAGATCTCACCCATCAATTGTTTACCTGGCTTAATACTCCCTTGCTATTTGTGCCACAACCATAAGGGACCGATTATCGCGGAGGTATGACGGTCATTAGGTGGGTATTTATATTACTAGTGTTCAGAGATACCGCCCCGATTAATTAAGGAAGGTTATAATTAGGTTTATAAGAAACGTAATTATAGAATTTCCCGTCGATACAAGCCATCCAATCAAAAAAGATTTATCGTTTGAAATCCTCTACAACTTGAACAGAGAGCTACCAAAAAGTAGTACTTTTCATCTTTTTACTACTGAAGTCCTCGCAATAGACAACTATGTATCTAGGTGAAACCAACTTAACTTCTTATCTAATCATGGACTTTTTTACATTTTATTTGTTAAATTTGTAAAGCACCCTCTTTATTACGCTGTCGGATTCGCTCTGGTTAACATCCCCTTTACTATTACATCTTGTTTCTAATACTCATCTTGCTGTTATATATATAAGGCTGGAAATAAACTCAACTTCGATTCGTAATTTTGGCAGTCTACTTAGCGACCAATTAGAATGAAGTGGGAATTATCATTTCCACCATCTTTGCCAGCACTGGCATCCGGCTTGCCTCATTCTGTGTTCGTCCGCTGTCGTTTTGGTGTGGCTGGAAAATTTATTCTTTGAGTATGCTGGAATTCCACAATTCATGTGACACTATTTTTTTGAGTCTGTTTTGTTTTCTCGGTTTTCGCCACTGCTACTCAGGTCAGTATATTCAATCCGGCGTGCTTATGTACTTTGTATGATAAAATGTCTATCCGTTTTGTTTTGAGTACTATTTTGTAGATGTCAGAAACCAGAGTACGCATTTTTTAGCCAAAATAATTGTTGCTGCCGCCCGGGATTTTCTAAATGGCCGCATGTTCGTTTCTAAGTGTAATTTATGATGTTATTGAGAGCAGTAAAAGAAAACGACCTCTGGTTAGCTATTCTCTTCAGTATTATGATAACCCTATCTCATCAACGAGTCAAACTAATACTGAACGTCCAGCTGCTGTGTATACCAGTGATGTTTTCGAAAGGATTATGAGACCTAGGCACTTGACAACACGAGACCAAGTCAGAGATGATATCGATCTATTGCAGAGGGTTTGTTATTGAAAATGTACCGTCACATTATTAGATGACTTGGACGCATTACTTCGTGCATGATAGCAAGCTTAACGTTGGAAAGTCGGAAATTCATCACCAGCATGTAGTGAGTGTCTATTGTTTTGCGCATAAAAGAAAACCGGGGACCGTGGTGAGAGTGAAAGGGCAAATAACTGTTATTATGCTCACTTCTTTATACATCAAAGTTTACCGGTTGCAAAGTCATGTTTTGTTTACGGTATGATCTCAACCGGTACATAATAGCTTCATCTAAAGTGATCCAAACATCCTTGCGATGGAAAGTATCTGACAAATGATGCGTGGTTCAGGAGATTAATTGATGACCAGTTGGAAGTTGTTATACCAATGATAACAACTGTGAGTGATCATGAGCTGACTGTTAAATATGTCGAAGAGAAATACGGAAAGACCATTACTTTTCACTACGTCAATAATTCGACACATAAAATAGTCAAAATTAAGTTTTTCCTATAGACCTACGGTTTGTTAGGTTGTGGGATTTTCAGGCTAAGTTAATACTATGGTCTGATATCACTACTATCTTACGTTTAATCTTTTAATAAAATGAATTGGTGGTATGTTAAGTCGAGGAAAAATACAGTGAACATGATGCATCATTATCACATCCTACCGACTCCTCATGTACCGCACAAGTTCTCCGCTTCAGCTTCCGCAAGCTAGTTACACTTTAGTGTATACATAATTTCATACTGACCGTTTTCTAATTTCGACGCTTAGGCTCACTAACGGGGATGAAAAATTAAACAGCTCTACTTACTAAACTGATGTGTTTCGTTACTTCATTCAAGCATTATAAATATATTGACTAAACTGAATTATACGACAACAATGTATACTAAACTAAAGAGATGTCGTGTTTCATTTTAACAGACACGTAACCTAAAGTAGCTGACTACAGATAATTAAGCCTATAAACCCAAAAAGCAAACTATAGGCCAGTAATAATAAATGTATTTTTGTCATATCTCAGTATGTAGAAAATTGTATTTCTGGCACTTCGTGACTAAATGTAGGCCACTTCTTCAGAGTAAATAAATAACCGAATTAAATTAACACAGTAAGACTAACCCAACAGAGGTCAAACGATAGTGTTTCAAGACTCAAGGCGAGTTATTTAGGCATCAAAATATACTTTACAGCTATGACTTGAAATATCATTCCAGCATGTAATACATATCTAGCGTAATGTAGTCTCACATGGTGAATAAAAATTACATTCATATCAAAATTCACAGCATAGTCTAGTTTTCTAAGAAGAATTACATCATATGACAAACCTACTGACTGCATAGACGTAAACATAACCGTTATTACGGCCTACGATATACTAAGTTGACGTGACAAGGTTGGGTATATTTTCGCCTGTGAGTGGAAACCAAACTTCCTGACCACAAAGCCGCTAGTCCATTATATATGCGACTGAACACCTAAGGATGAAATCTCATACGAAAATTCAAACCACCTTTGTGTATTAAAAAACAGTTTGTTCTCACCTTAAACCTACCCTGGTAATATTAGCTTATTATGCAGAGTGATTAGGTTTCAAATTGTTTTCACATTATTTTGACTATTATTATTATCGTTGTCTACTCCTACCCCCCATTTCCAGTCTAGTTGACCTTTTATTTTTATATATGAATGTTCTTAACAATTATGTGACCAGATTGTTCGAAATGTATTGCGCTAATATATCATCACATAGTTCTGATAATCTTCGTCTTCTTATTACACCATCGAAATTTATCGAAGGGACTAATTGCTTGATTAAATTTTTTCTTCATTACTTAACCTTTGATGACGTTCACCAACAAGTTCACTAATGGTGTCAGACAATCGACTATACAGGTGATCCGAGACGTTAAACTTGTTAGTCCCTAGCCTGTACTCCTGAAACATCAAGTCAATAGACATTCGGAACAATAACATGGATAAAAACAGCCTGCTTATCAGTTTTACCTCATTCCAAGTTGGTATCATGAATGATGCAAAAAAATGAACATTCAAATAAAACTGTCAAGAAACCAACTACATATTTCTATTAAACATAATCAATGTTTCGTGTTTAGCATAAACAAAGTCTGTTCTGTTGGTAACAGGTTTTCTTGAAATATGAGAACTTCATAACTTAGCATAACTAAGAACGACAGAATTTCTGAAAAGCAACAATTTTTAAAGCTTTATTAAAACAATAAAGATCTCTTAGTCAGTCAAATAAAAAAGGAGACAAGCAAAGTAAGTAAGACAGAACCTTAGTCTATGAATGAACTATTTTTACGTTGTCGTTACATTGATACCAAGCTGTTTCCAGGCAGTTTCATACTCCCGTAATTCCTCGAATACCTTCAGAATATATTTGAACCTTGAAAGAGATATTAGCGCACCAGCCCAGTCCGATTTTGAAATCAAACTGATTATTATCTTTTCTTCATCATCTAACCTTTGACGAAGTTCACCAACAAGCTCACTAATGGTATCAGACAATCCGCTAACTGTTTTCTCAGAACGACTGAGATTCGAAACATCGTGAATCACCTCCTCAACCTTCTCCCTTATGTTCATTACTTCTGACAAAAATTCCGTATCATCCGATTTTCTGAAATCTACGTCATCAGTTGATACACCGTGAAGATGAAGGAGATATTCGTAACGTTCAACAGGCCTTTGCAGACAGCTGTATGCTTTGTTTACATAGGCTGACGCATCTGAAGCAAGTTCTTTTTCATATTGTGTTTTTGCACTAAATTTGTCAGGGTGCAGCAATTTCTGGGTTTGTCGCATCCGATCTCCTAGCTCGATTACATCTATCACAGGTTCCGGATTTGGATAACCCAGAACATCGAAATAGGACCAATTAGAACTAACCGGCTGCACTTTTCCACATTCACAAAAGAAAGCTAGGTCTTTTACTAACCTGCTGCAGCTCCAGCATGTGCGAAAACTTGACGCAGAGCTGTGAACATGTGAAGTGACGTAAATACAATTATGCCTACTTAAAGATACTGTGACACGATTAGTATTGTACAAAAAATACTTGTGACAGTGACACGGAATTGCAAGACTACGGCATCTGCATAACTTTGAAAACTCCAAGAGCGTCAAGCCACTAAAGAAACGCAGTAACGTAAACATCAAGAAAGCCGCCTTCAATACTCAAATGTTGAGAAGACATAGCCTATTATACTAGTTTTCATAATTAAGAAAAAGAAACGCGAATATATATTTTGACCGCTGTTTTTTGATACCGTCGAGATTCGGCCTGTAGTTAAAATTGTCAATAGAAATCTCGGACACTTTTTGTTGATAATTCCAGGTGTTCATGACTAATATTTATATCTGTACTTTATGAATAGATGAATAAGTAAATCTTTTAGTTAGTTTCTCGGAAAACTTTTGTGTGCGTTTAATCTCGAACTGTTCAGATATCACTTTTAAGAGTTAGGATATGGGGACTGTAGTTTTGGCTTAGCTCGTAAATTATGTTTATCATTATTCGAACACTTCACAACTTCATCTCACTCTTATATTTCTGATTGTTGGCAACCAAAAGTCACTTATATATTTGTTTTGTTGTATATCGTTGTATATTGCTTCAATACCTAACCTTTGTTCTTCGTTAAGTCCTTGTCATACAATCAGAATTCTAGCATGACTATCCATTGTTTTTCATCTGATGTTATAAGCGACGCAGAAGACGTAACAGATAAGCTTGAAAGCCAAGAGTAAACTGAATCCACAAGCATTCTTTTGTGAGTAATCAATTTTTAGAACTGATGGTAGACATGAATGCATGGACACAAATATTTTCAATGCTACTTAACGCGAATGCACGTTAAACGAGCTAGTAATGCGTAAAACTAGTGCATGGAAGTTCCTAAAAGAGTTAGAGGTGAAGATGGATGGCGGCTAACAGTGGAATCAAGGATGCGTGTTTTGTCATATTTCGGACTCGTCTATTGAGTGAACTCTGAAAACCAGATCCAGTGCCATTCACTACAAACGCCAACGAGTTACCAACTTATCTGCTAAGTTTATATGCGTTTGTAATGCTTTTAACTTAGAGATCATACGGCTCAAACAGCACTGTAGAATTATGGTCTAATTCGTCATTAATACGGCTCTAATAATAGACCTATCCCTAAAATTGTAGATTTGTCGTGGTGTGACTGCCTAATCTATGAGATCTCACGGGAAATTCACATTATTGTTTACACTGACTCATCGTATTGTAACAACCACCAATATACGATGGGAAACACATTTAGGCTGAAGATAGGACAATATATTTAATATGAATAAAAAGTATAGCCTAAACAAGGATGATCACGCCTTTAAGGCCGAGCCATGACATTGGATGAATTTGAATTCATTGAATTCTTTCTTTCTGCCTTTTTCATGGTTGGATTTTTCCCTGCGTTAAGTGTTGAATATCTATTTTCCCAGTTATCGCGTGTTCAGCATTAAAGATTGTGTTGTTAGAGTCCAACTTCATTACTCGTACAACAGAAGAAAACGAATGAAGCAAGGTGTTGGGACTGTGATGTGTAGAATTTGAAATTATAGAGCTTATTCAGGGGTCAAATATTTAGGGTTTTCGACATGGTCACTAGGTGCCAATTGGTTATTTGTTCACAATATTAGATTTTGCACGGCCCATATGTTAAATCTAAGTTGACTTATGGAAGCCTCATCGACCATGTTGGAAACTCTTAATTGGTCCACAAAATAGTTTATGGGAGATTTAAATTCAGTAAGTGTTTGAATTGACCGGATGTCTACTGGTAACCTATTCCGGAGGCTTGCAGAACGTGTGACATGAGATTTGATTTCAATTCGCTTGAAGTTCTCGATATTTTTAGCTCAATTTCCTGATTTCGAAAGTTACAATTACCATTTTCGGTAAATTTTAATGCCACATAATTTAGTGTGGTTTTGTTATGTAGAAAAATGTTATGTAGAAAAGTAATGTAAGGTCAAGGTTACTTCGTCTTAACCATAAGGGATACAGTTTCCATGCTCCATATCCACCTTTATATGATAGATCTGGTGTGAAAAGTCTCGTAAAGTAACGTTGTATTTCCTCAATTTTCTGTCCATCTAGGGAGCGTATGCAACAGAAAATAACTGGGCAGTATTCTAGTAGGGGTCAAACACATACTTTATAGATAGTCCTTCTGGATTTCTTGAAATGGGAATTACGATTGATAAACCCAATACGTCTATGAGCTTAGAAAAGTTGATATATATTGCTTGCTCGGTGAAAGAAAGACTTTTTGAATATTTTACTCCTAAATCACAGAAGCTACATAACTGTTTAAACTCCACCTTGCCCAGCTTCAAGTTGAACTGCGAATTAAAAGTGCCGAAACTCACATGCCCAGATTTTTCGGTATCAAAATGGAAAAGCCATGGGTCACACAGGCCTTAGAGTTTAACAAGATCTTTTTGTATCATACGGCTGACATTCAAACTGGGACTTGGATGGAACGCATGTATTACCTTAAGGTCATCAGTAAATACAAAAGTTTGGCCAAGTGTAAAGCACTTGCATACGTTCTCAACATACATGGCAAACAATAATAGTCTAATGTCTGGGCCCTAAAGAAGACCACTAGTATTGTCCTGAGGGTCGGAAAATTGTTGTCCTATTTTCACTGCCTGTATTCGACCCTTTGAAAAGGTTGAGATCCAATTATTTATTTTGACTGCTAGACAGAAATCGATAATTTGAATATATAATTGTTGTACTTTATCAAACGTTTTGATAAAGTCGAGTCAAAGAATGACAACTAGCTTCCCTTCTTCCCTATTGTTTATTATATAATCAAAGTATTCTAGATGACAGGTTACTCATGACTCTTTGGTGATAAATCCCTGTTGCCAAGGTATAGTCAACTGATGTTTATCTAGACGACTGCTAATCGCTTTCTTAATAATCTCTTCCACAATTCTAAATAAGACGAGGGCGCGGCTAGTCGGGCGATAGTTGATTACATTCAGATTAAATCCCCTCTTGAAGTAAGTGATAATGTGTGTAGTTTTCCATTACCAAGAGAAAATGCCTGGATGAAAAGGCAGATTAAACGTTTTAGTGAGAAGAATAGGAGTATCAGAATTGCCATATTTAATTAAATTAGCCGGTATTCCATCACAACAACTTCCAAAAGAGAAGGTTTTAATGATCTTAATGCACCTCTTACAGTACTCGGCATGAATTCTAGGTCCGCTAATGTATACACCTTGAGACTGCTGGGTAGACGTTCATTCTGATTACATTTGGTGAATGCCTGTGTATAAGTGTTGGTAAGCAGCTCACATAGTTATGCTGAGTCTTGTACAAATTCACAATTGACCTTTAGGACAGTGGGAATATTAGATTGGATACAGTTTCTTCTTTCGAGTAACTGCCGAATAACGATTCTTATTTTGTAAATTGGAAAACCATCGCTTGGCTTTTAATCCCTTTGTTTGCCTGAAGCTTTTATATTGCTAAATACCGGTCGGATGTTGAGAACAATCGAAAAGTCACGTTAAAAAATGGACCTTCTTCGCGAATTCTTCAGTTTAGATCTGAAATCACAGGGAATAGAACTGGTGCGATTAAGTTCAGACAAGTCTTGGGATTATGATGAAAAATTCTGATTTGACACTGCAGTTACTATAAGAAAAAACTTGTCACAAATAAGACCACGTGGTAGAATTTTGGAGCAGGACCAGTCTGTGGGTGCAAAGTTTCTGACAGTAACGTTCGTAAGAACACTTTCGCGCAATGAGTTGACAGGCTACAACTTTGTGATCTTTGCCTGAAAATTAAGAACAAGTATATTCAGTCCATGCTGGGGCACTGTATACGAAAATTAAGTCTGATAGGCTAGTTTTTCTGGTAGACTTATTGACTATCTGTATCCAACTATTTGAAAGCCAATGTCCAGCCTCTTTTCGTAAGAATTGGTAGGAGGGGCTCTCGCTACTGTTTCCGGGAGAGGGTTCCACAGCCTACCCGTTCTAACCACAAAATAATTCAGAAAAAGTTTTATGTTAGTTCTTTCTCGATCTCCCCTAAACGGATGACGAGTCATTGAAAAGGACTGTTGACCGGTAGATAGGATTTACGATAGAATGTAATTCTCGACACCCTGATGAGATATAACAAATGTCCCACTGGATACTTAATACTGTTGCACCAAAACCAAAATTATTGAGAATCAACCTCTGAGCAGCTTTCAAGTGACACACATGTCTCCAAGACAATTTATTAATATAGTTTGAATAATATAACAAACAAGATCACAGTTTACGGACGAGTTAATCAGATTTAGGGAAGCCAATCTTGGATGTTGGCACAAAATTCATTCAACCATGTAATACAATAGGAGTTCAGCATTATAGCTGAGGTCATTTTGTGCTTGCTGACTTCTGATTGACTTGAGTGCCAAGCTTCTAAAAATACTCTGTGCCTCTATCCAAGATCTCAACATTTTCGTAGTCGAATATTCGTCCACTGTTGTCCACATGCATTGATATAAGTGAGGTTATGTAGTGACATCTACAGGACAAGCTGTGAGTCATATATGGAGGGATTGGAACACTGCACTTCTACTTGAAGTCTAGGCTGATGATATTGTAAGGTCTAAACTAAGATTTGGCTGAAGAACAACTGTCTGGGTAGTTTAGGCACGCGCTATAGCCCAGTTGAAATCAAAACAAGGTGATCGGGAAAATAACGGTTATAAATTTCATTATAAATACAAATGTACATTGCTACCCAAACATATATTACCGCTCAGTTATTCAACCAATAATTGCTCCCTCAATAACCGATCTAAATTACAATAAATCAATAAATTGATAGGCAATGTAAGAAAAATACCGAGCGCACCAAAAATAAGTGTTATTTCATCCCTTCTAGATATATAAAGTAAAATCCGTTCAAAAGATAATAATTTGTTGCTTTATAACACAAATTGTTTCCAATTCTGGAAAAGTGCTGAAATAAAATATTGCCATGTTAAGTGGCATCAAAAACACTAACAAAATGTATAACTAAAGAAACCAATAGGAATAAGTTGCAGATGTATGCATGGAGGGATTTTCCCACACAAAACCTTGAAAATGGATCTTACAGATATTATTCAGAAGAACGATGTAAGCTCTGCTTTCAACTTATCCAGCTCAGACAACAAATTCCACCAAAATCATTCACCTGAGCTACAAATCTTCACCATTTAGGAATATTTTTCTTGCCCTTCGAATTTGTCCCGTTATAGATGCGTTTGATCCTCTCCCAATCATATCGACGCTCATGTACGTACAAGCTTCTGCATCATCTCAAGCTTTCCTGAAATAGGTAGGTCTTCAATAATGGGTCAACAGCTGATAGGAAAAGTAAGATCCAAAGTATACAGCTTTGCATGGCATCAGTCTCCAATCTAAACGCATTTGTGAGCGACGGATCAGATGCTTTGAAAATTCTCATAAAGAATCCTACCTGACATCATAGTTATTCTTCTTGGATGCTTAGCTCTGTTTTAATTATATTAGTTTTCATTCGGACTTGATTAATCATAATATGGCAGTTGTTTTTAACGAAGATTTATGATTGCCTTTAGTGTTCTGTTTTGTTCTTTTATGTTCACGGACTTTTAGCTATAAGGTCTTGTTTGACTGGACTCACTGGTGGCACGTGAAAGATTTTTTTATGCTACACAGCCTTCTATTGGGAACATTCACCTGTAAACTTGGTTCGTGCAATCAGAATTTTGATCCCATACCACTGTCTATTCCCCACTACGTAGCAGAGGTATTTAGTTGCTACGTTTTTACGATCCTTTTCACTAGAGAAGCGTTTGGCTACAAAAACGATGAAAAATATCGTAGATGTATTTCACGTCATTTGATATGACTTTTTATTGCTATTCATTACTACAAACATCACCCACGAACCTTTTGTTTTAATATGACTGTCGACTTTGGGTGGCTCAAGGAATTTACGTGCATTGTGCAAAACAAGGCAGTGTTTGGCTTAATCAGATTGAATTTGGTTTTGTCTAGTTGTATTCTACATTCGGTCCGTATACCTGAATTTCAGCCGTTACATTGTGACGGACTTCTTAGAGGTGACCTTCTAATGACTTATATCATTCTAAACACTTCTGTGCATCCCTTTAAAACTAACTTCAGCTTAGTCTAGATACAAACCTTAGTGGTAACACCCAGAAACCGAAGATGCAATAACCTAGAACGGACCGTAGGCACACCTTACACTCCTTAAGATAAGTCAGATGCTGGAATTCGCTGCCGACTGAGCTAGTTCAAGCGACTTCCCAGGAGTCCTTTAAGAAGGGACCTAACATATTTTCAAGAACTAAGAACAGAACCTCATTATGATTCACCAATCCCTTTTTCTACATTATCATTAAACATACCTAGGTTCTGACCTGGAGGTTTCGGTGATCCACTGCGACTAGACATGGAAGCCCGTTAAGCGAAAGTCCATTCTATTCCTTCCAGAACCATTTGAGCCATCACTATGATGCGAAATCTAAGTACTAGCAGTTCGCTAATTCTCTGTTTAAAACAATTCCACTTCCAAACCCTGAAAAGCTCTACGAATGACTTCAAAACCGAAAATCTAATAGTGCTTCTTAGTTATCGTTTTCTATGATAAAGACCTTCAACATATGCTAGTTTTTAACTAACTGTGCTATTAAGAAGACAAGCTTCAGTACCAGACCAAGCTTATAGATAAATTTGTCTCCAATCCGAAAAGCTTATTCCGTTACGCAGCTTCTCTTCGACAAGGCAAAACTGGAGTTTCCCAACTGCTAGGTCGTAATGGTCCGACCAATAGCGACGGTGATGCCGCTAGCCTTTTGTCTGAACAATACTCTCAGGCATTCCAGCCGACCCCACATCAACTATACTGACGAAAGCTTCACCTGTACAGGATTTTCCGAAGTGGACCTGAGTGCTGACCTGGTGCTCCGTAAACTGCAGCACCTAAGAAAAGACACTTCTCCAAGTCCGGATATCATTCATTCTGCTATATTGAGGGAAGCAGCTTCAATCCTGGCATCACCACTTAGCGCGATGTTTCCACACTCGTTAAGCCGAGGCAAACTACCGGAAATTTGGAAGCTGGCTCACATCACACCAAGTTTCATCTGACTTATTGCTTTTGCTGATGATGTGAAACTTTGGAGAGAGATACGTAACCATAAGGATATACTAGTACTTCAGGAGGATCTGACTCGACTTCAAAGTTGGGCAGACGATAACGGACTTACCTTCAACACTTCAAAGTGCAAAGTAGTCCATCTGCGACATGTTGCAGACTATAGTTAAAACTTAGGAAACCCCCTCCATAAGTTTCTCAAGTAGAAAAAGATTTAGGAGTTACCTCCTACATTTCAAAGTGTAACGTAGTCCATCTGAGACATGTTGCAGACTACAGTTACAACTTAGGCAACTCCTCTCTAGAAATATCCCTAATTGGAAGAGATTTAGAAGCGCTGTCACCCTACGACCTGAAGTCGTATGCGAACTGTGACAAAAACGCCTTTCAAGCAAACCTTGCACTGGTAACATTGAAGCTCAGTTTGATGGAAGAACTTTCCACATAATCGTCAACAGTTTTATTCGCCCCCATTTAGAGTACGGAAACATAGTATTTCCTACCTCCCTCCAAAAGGATAAAGACACTCTGGAACGTATCCAACGTCGAGCCACAAAATCAGTTCGGGGACTCAAATTCAAACCTTACGAAGAGCGCCTCCAATCACTTAACCTCTACCCGTTAGAGTACAGGCGTCTTAGAAGTGACCTTCTTATGACTTACAGTATCCTTGATACTTCTGGTCATCCCCCTAAACATCTTCCTATGCCTAGTCACAATACTAACCTAAGAGGTAACACCTAGAAACTGGAGACCCAACATAGCAGAACAGACTGCAGACACAACTTTTACTCCGTAAGAGTTGTCAAATGCTGGAATTTGCTGCCTACTGAGCTAGTCCAAGCGACTTCCCAGGAGTCTTATAAGAGGAAACTTGACTTATTCTTAAGGACTAAGGATAACATATTATTTTGATTTACTAAATTCTTTTTTTCTCCTCTATTATCGTTAATATACCTAGGTACTTGCCTGGAAGTATTGGTGATTCACTGCTACTAGGCATGGAAGCCCGTTAAGCGAAAGCTCATTCTATTCCGTCCTCAGCCATTTGAACCATTTGAAGTGACAATATGCATCGACATTGGGCCTACCGAAAAACGGTGGTGCCCGTAGCAGATATAATATAAATGTTACAGTTTCGAAACATTAATATGTAGTAAATATTCTGTGAAACATATCTAATTGTTTAACATGAGTAAAACTGACGAAGGTCACTTGGGAATAATTTCCACAGCTGTCTCTTGAAGGTCATTACTGCCAGAAATGGAACATGAAGTTGACGGTCTGTTTTGGAGACACAAAGGTCGTGGTTCCTTGTGGTTTAGGGAACTTAACAGTTAGAGACTTGACTCTCAGTGGTTTGAGGAGAGTTAGACATACTTTACCGAAGGTTTGTTTTCTTATTTCCTACATGAACATTTTATCATTACAATGATTCATTAATACTTAATTGTTTCGAAATACACAATCTATCCTTTATGATAACTTATCACCATTAAATGATGATTTTGTAGCTCGGACCACAGGATCGTATTGTCGTCCACAGCATCAATGTTGCTAGAGATGGTGGTATGCTTGATTGGGATGATTTGGTCTGCGATGTAGTAGACGACCGTGAAATGGTACGTTTCCCACTAATATCCCCGTCATAAAATTTTGTTGTGGCTTTTGTTACTTATTTGCTACCATAAGTTCCTCTGAATTCTGAGAAAATGCGTAAAAATCTTGTAAAACACGTTTTGTCTGTTTGTTACTTATACTGCAACATACGCAGATATATATATATATATATATATATATATATATATATATATATAATGTCTGAGTGTTTCTGATGGGATGGTTCCTGTAATACTTTTCCATTGCCTGAGTATTTCTATATGGATGATTAGCATTACAAATACCATTTAATAAACAAAAGGTATTGTCAATCTTTGTCAAGTTAGAGTTTAGTAGTTCCCACCAACTATTCGTATATTTTTTAAGTATAATTCGACGCATATCTTAAAAGGATATAATGTATGTTTAAAATCTAAAGCCAGTGGTAGGTGTTTTACAGTTTTAGTCAGCCTCCTAACGCAGTCGAAAAAAGAGCTGTAAACAATCTTAAATAACATTATGGTTTTTTTCTCTCCTACCTATCCCGTCATCCTTCTTACCTTCCCTTATGCTTTCATAACATCATGTAACCAATCTCCTTGTATTCATATTGCATCGATTTTAAATTCGAATAACATTGCACGACATGTAGTAACTTTCAAAGTTGTTGGTTTTTCATCTTTTGGTAGGTTACTGCTCACTTTTCGATTGCCACTTTATCAAACAATGTCAAGGATTCTTGTCCAAATCGACCCTCAACTGGTCTTGATTCGATATTTCAATCACTTTCAACACCCCTAGTTGTCGATTTATGTTCTGATATTGCCCTCGAGCCTTCATTTCATAGCCCCATCCAGTCTAGCGGGGCTAGTGAATTTAGAGATAGTGGGTTGAATCTCGCACCTCCTTGCGGAATCGGATTAATACAAACCGATATCAATGGTCATATCGCAAACAGGCTTCTGCGTATCGGAGATGGAAGTACAAGCAGTAGTAACTTAAGCTTAAATCTAAGTAATGATAGCTGTGGATTGCATCAACCAAACGGAGCGCATACATCTCAGTTCCCTGGTGATATCCACGAATGGTTTCTGAATGAGTCTTCCCATGACTCCAATGTAGCGCTACGTAAGTTGTTGATATATATTTTGGTCGTTTGTAACACTTTATTTTCGCATAAAAATAATGGTGGACTTTACGTGTGGAATTTATAACTGTTTGATATGCTAGCTAAAGGTTGTAACTTATTTACCAAGTAATGTTTATATTCTCAGCATTGAACTTCACTCCTTGATGAACAGGTGTACTATCGAGCTAATATTTAGAGGTAAAATTTCACAAATCTACTATTTATTTGAGCCTTGTGAAGAGGCTCATGCTTACTGATCGGAGTCCACAAAATAGCTCTAGTCGTAGTTAAAGCTTCATAAGATTTGGCTGATACTCAGCTACGGTGTCACATGTGCAAACATTCCCTAGCCTTTCTCAGAAGTTTTATTAGTAGACTGAATTTAACAAACGCTGATATTTATCTGTTTACCTGATCAGTGTAAACTCTATGTCTCTGATCATCGTTGATAGTATATCGTACTGATAATTACAGTGTTAGATAATTCATAAAACAACCAGTGTACCTTTTACATTTAAGAGACTAAAATTCACTCCGTGAATTAAATGAAACTGGGTGACAAGGACCTGGTTTACGTACTTGGCTTCAAGCTTGTATCAGTATAATATCTAGCAATATAAACTGTAGTGGATGGGTGGGTATTCAAACTTATAGCCCAACGTGTGAAAATCAAGTACTTTAAGCATTAGATCACCACTCCATTCGAGATAGTAGATAGACCGATTGATTGCTTGTTGTAATAGTTACCTCTTTACCTCAATCTTTTGAAACACTATTAAATATACTCTAACTAGGTGCTCTTATTTATGGTTATAAGGGAATACAAACTACGAAGTGCTGGTGAGGGCGTGAGTGATGAGATTGATGCACGTATAATGAAAGCCAGAGCGGCTTATGCCAATCTGGGCCACCTTTGGCGCTTTCGAGATGTTAGTCTGGCTGTAAAAGGTCGGATCTACAACGCGTCGGTGAGAGCAGTTTTGCTCTATGCTTGTGAAACCTGGCCTCTCCGAGTTGAGGATGTTAGACGTCTCTCTGTGTTCGATCATCGTTGTCTCCGAAGGATTGCTGACATTCAGTGGCAACACCATGTTAGTAATGCAGAGGTTCGGCATCGTGTGTTCGGGCGCAGAGACGATAATTCAATTGGTGTCACCATCTTGAAACACCGACTTCGGTGGCTTGGACACGTTTTACGAATGTCGTCCCAGAGAATTCCACGTGGTGCATTATTTGCCGACTCTGGAACTGGTTGGAAAAAGCGGAGAGGAAGTCAGTGTATGACATGGTGTCGTGGTATGAAAGAAAGCTGCAAAGGACTAGCTTCTGTTGGTCCTTAACGACTCACTGGCTGGGGTCCGAGAGATGGTGCAACACAGTGGCTAGAGACGTTATCATATATGGCTCAGAATAGAAGCCAGTGGCGATCCTGCTGTAACCTTCTTCTACTTTCTTCATAACGAGTGACTATAACTTTCCTAACTGAGAGAGCTCCTCTGGTTGTACATTTCAGTTCCCCCCATCATTACTCTTCTCCTTTTCTTTTTTTCCTTCTTTTATATGTACGCTTCTTCCTTCTCCTCCCATTCTCATTATTTTGTGTGGCGCATATATATCCGGTGCCCTTTGTACCAATATATATGTGATTAAATAAATAAATAAAAATAAACAAACTACGAATGCATCTACTCTCATCGCTATCTGTTTCGAGCCATGTCATAAACCATAGCTAATTAATTATAAACCTGTTACTCAAATTTTTGCCTCAACCTTCGTTTGTACATATTGAGATTAGTTGTCTTTTGTTGTAAATGGAGTAAGAGTGGCTACGGGAAAAGCTTAGGAATATGAATGCAGTGATCTTGAGTGCTGTTAGAGGTATGAGGGCAGTTATCACTTCCCGGTTGCCCACACCGTGGAAGGGTTCTTTTAGAGGTAGCTGAAAAGGGAATTGGATTAGAAGTGGTCTTATTGACCTGAGAGCGTGACCGCAGTGCCCAAGGGACAACTGCTTGAGGTCAGTCACACACAACCTTTTTGTGGGTAATTTTTGTGTTAGCTCCGTACTTGTTGGGACCTTACTGCCGGAGACGGATATCCGTGGGATAAGGCGAGGCGTGCACTTTTAGGATCGACCTTTTCTAACCCCACCTCTCCTTGTAGAAAGGCAGCATCGCCGTTATGCTGGTTGTCTGAAGGAAACACCTTACTGCCGTCACACTTCTGTACAGTCGGCAGTACGACTTCGCCTTCGGACCTTTAGTTTGCTGATTTTAGTCATACCGCTCTTCAACCGACCTGTCTGTACAGCCAGTATAGCTCGTCAAAGTAGCAGCAACGGTCGGGACGGGAAAAGCTAGAAGCAGCCGAACGATGACGTGGAGTTATTCCATAAAGTCGCTGATTTTTTTTACTGAATCGTGTTTGTTCACTCTGTCTCCGCTCAGGTCCTAAGTCTCAAGACTATCTTGTACATTTTATTCTAAGATCCAATCCTTTTTTCTTGGTCCCTATTGTCTACGCCTAATCTTTTCTACTGATATTTATATTGATACCTCTGCTACTCTGGCATTTGTCCTGATCATTTCTTATCGCTGCGCTAATGTGGCATGATAACTTGAACTGGCATATATGTTCTAAGTCATACGCTGCGTATGACTGGCTGACTGACTGACCGTCGGTTGATACAAACTGCCTCGTCTGGGTCCTCACGACGACCGTGTGCACATTTGTGCAATATCCTACATCATCACAACTGTCTGACTCTATTGTGTTACACTAATTCTCATTTGTGAGTTACCAGGTTTTCGTTTGTAATTATTGTTTTCCTTTTTACAGATCCCAACACTAAAGTTAATTGTGTTTCAGTAATATCCTCTTCCGACAATAATAAGAAATGTTTTACAACCTCTCCAGCTTCTCAGTCACCACCTACTTGCTTCAATACAGCATCAAGTACATGTGAACAAATGAAAAGCTCTCCTGTTTCGTGCAATAAATCCTGTTTGAATAGTATCACCGTAAATGATACAGCGAAGCACTGTCAAAGAACACTTTCACCAAATGTCTTTGAAATGGTTAGTTCGTTATATATATATATATATATCATGAGTCGATCAGATTTATTTTTATGGATACGTTTAGTGGTTTCACCTGTCGATTTTACACCAGTAAAATTGCTTGAATATCGGTTAGCTTTGGTTTTTATGTCTATGAACTACTAAACCAGGGGATCTTTTAAAATGTAGTTGCACACTAAATCCATACATATTTATCCAGCAATGTATTGTCAACTTCACATTTAAACTACAGTACATATTAATGGATATAATTATTGGGGTTTATTTACTTTTTATTTCAGTCCGCTTTGATGCATTCATCAAGTTTAATCGTGAACCTTGCATTTAAACACTTTAGTTCTGATTTTTCTTAATGATATAGATCTCGTTACATATTTCAGTTTACAAAAACATAAGTTGTCATTTTTCTTATCTGAAATAGAGTGGAACTTTACATTCTGTTGAATTCATTGAAGAATCCATATTTGAACAAGAGATGTAGCGAACGATTAAAACTTATAGGAAAGATCTTTAAAAAGGTGGGATATACATATATGACAAAACGAATCGTAGACAAATTTTAAGCAGCTAATCATTAGTAAAGCCATGTTGTGTACCATGTTTTACCACAAACTTCAATTATCTCCGAAGAAAGAATATTAGTGTACTGTTTGTTGTTCGTTTACTGATCGTTCTAGTATCTTAAACAGTTTAAGTTGTTGATTCTCAATTAAATTTAACATTTTAGCATTTAATAGTAATAAATATGAAATAAATCCATCTGTGTTAACCTTATTTGTCTATAGTGCTCACAAACTAATTATCTATTCATAAATCACATCGTCTATGGCCAATTTTTCCACTGCTGGTGATACTTTTACTAATTATGCTGTGGAATTTGTTTTGGAAATTCACTTCATTTTACTGAGTCAGTCGATCATTCAGTCACAACGTAGAACCTCCTACTTTTGTACATAGATTCAAGTTGACACACTTCATTAGCACAGACAGATGAAATCATCAGACCGGATCTCAGAGTGGTAGAGATAATAACAATATTAGTGGTAGTAAAAAAGTTCAAACATCGAAGATAAAAAGAAAGTTACAGCCAATTTACGAACTTAGGATCTAAGGAAAGACAAAGAGTGAATGTATCTATGCCATTGTAAATGATCCCCAGTCATATCACCCAAAGTATCTAATTATTGGTTATGTTGATGACGTGAATTCTGATGAGGTAGCCTGTACATATTTACATGGTTCGGTTCAACAGTCAGTGTCTTCATGGACTGATGCCATGTCTTAGTTTAAACGCTCATAACTTTCCTCCAACCTACTACCATATTAGCCATAATCACCTATCGATTTAATCTATGAATAAGCACACATAATACATGTCCCAACCATCTCAGTCAATAAAGATTCACTACCTCGTCAGCTCATTTGCCATACGTACCTAGTACTCTGCATCTAACCCCATAATTGTTAACTCGATGGTCTCAAAATATACGAGCAATGTTTTGAAGATACCTGTGATCGCATGCAAGTAACCTACTGATGTCCTCTATTCTTAATGGCCATGTTTCACAACTTTAAAGTAGGATAGCAAACTGTTGCTCGGTAAACTCATCCTTTTGTTGGTAAATGGATATCCCGCCTACGCCACAAGTGACTCAAGATGGCAAAAGCCAATCGATTCTTCTAAATACGTACCGAAATTCCGTCAGACACCAGACCATCAGGACTGATGAGACTTCTGAGGTAGGTGAAGCAGTCGATGCGTCCAACTACTTCACTCCCTATCGTCAATTCAAGTGATGACACAAGCCAATCCCTAAGCAACATTTTGGATTTGTAAGAAGAGAACCGTATCCTGAACATGCTTGCATTGTTGATTAAGGTGGCCAGAAGACTGCATTTTATCATTGTCTTCACCAAAAGGAACTATATCAATTGCATATTCTTAGTCGACAAGTAGATCTCGTGGTAGAAGATCAACCCCCGAAAAGCCAGTTGGTGAAAGTGCTATCTCTAAAAGCACTGTGCTGACGTGGTATGGGGACTTGGACGGATGCAAATGCATTCCAGGTTCCACTTCTTATTACAGATTTCCATTATCTTTTAGATTTTGACCAAAAAACCTGTAATGTATCATTAGACTTCAACTGATGTCTACTAACTTCATATATTTGTTTATCACTTGGTTTAGCCGAATTTTCCCACATCATGTTTCTAATCAATATCACATCGAGTTTATTGGTGAATTAGCAAATTTAGCCACACATCATAGTTATCTCAGACGATATCCTTTTTGTTTTCTTAACTTAAACTCAACACTTAAATTAGTAATCAAATCATGTGCTGTTTGAAATACTTGTTTCATATATTTATGTCCCTTTCATTTTAAGCTCTCAAATGTCTTATCTCGCCGTCGTGATCTTATCGAGTCTGGTTGGGATTCTGATGATGAAGATGAAGATGTATTTGATCCCGACGGAGGTTATTCATACGATTGCCAAGTAGGTAAACAACAGAATGAATTAGTGTCACTACCCAACGGTGATACTACCCTTCACTTAGATACCATGAACAATAATTCAGATATAATACCTAACTCTTTATCTGGAAGAAACCACTGTTGTTTAGATGTCACAGAAAGTAATAGTCACCATGAAAATATTAACGATAACTTTCCGACCGTAAGATATATTTCGGTGACAAGCGGGACTTGTGATAGACCAAGTAATCACCCTGTTATATCCAATGCAGATATTTGGCCTCTCCCACCTCCACCTTTTTCTGCTTCCGATGTCCCACACGTTAATATTCCTACTAATCTCCCGTTCAGAGTACATTCTCCAGAAGACGAATGTCATATAGGTATAAATACTGAACGACTGATACGTGCAGTTCAAAGTCATAATTCATTTTCAAATTCGAATGGTCCCGACCGATTCTGCACAACTTCAGACATAGAACCTAATTCATTAGTCAACCAATCAGAACTCCAAAATCCCCTCAGTTATTCCCAGGTAAGTTTTCTACTTTCTTTCTAATGATTCTTACTTTTTTAAAGGAGAGAATATATCTTATGAGTTTCACCTCTTTTATTCAAATAAGTAGAAAGATCTAGACATTTCACAAATACTATTAGAATTATACTATAAGACAATACAAACTGAAAATGATAGTATGAAATGAATGAACTAAGCAAACCAAAATCATAAATCCAAGGAATTGAGATTAGGTAACTAGCTCTTATGACCCATCCACTTGAAATTTGTCAAACAAAACATTCTGACATTACAGTTAATCAATGTTTCAATATCATGTGCGATTGCACCAATCTTATCCGAGCAGCATTTTTATTAATATAAGGCATTTATCAACATAGCAGTTTGATCAATTATGATATATTCTATTCTTTTGTACCGTTTATTGACATGGAGTTTGCAATTTAAATACTCTCATAATTAAGACAATCGATTGTATCAACATAGAACGTTTATTAGAAAAATGTCGACATCTTGGTCAACAACATTACCTTTTATCTATTTTTCTGTATATATATATATATATATATATATATATATATATATATGATTGCTAACTAAAAAATTGTTTTCATACTAGTTCAAACTTCAAAGGATTATCGATTACCTGGATGCACTCAAGGTTTGTTCAGTTCTAGTTTAGGACTGGGGAACATTTGTATCGTCATTCGTAACAAGATTAGACACGGGAATCTCAGTTTTGCTTTATTCGTATGATCGCTTAAATCCACGACCGCTGTTCCGATCGTCTACTGTTCTAGTTTTCGTTTTTTTCCCCGAATTTATTTGATCCCTTAAGTTTCTTCATTTTATGTCGACAGATCACATTGCTACTTGATTCATACATAAAAGTAATCGAATGACAGCAATCACAAAAGGTAGATTAAGGTATCGTCATCTGTTTTTTCTTTCAGTTGTTTTACGCCAAAAGTCAATTTTCAAACATCTATATTCTTTATCGGTTAATAGTTTGTTTCATTTTACTTTTTAAGCCTAATTCGGTCACGCAGTATGACAATTCTATTCGACAACAAAATGTGCAACATTTATCGAATACTCATATAGCAGAAAATAATATGGTTAGTAATTCATTACATCAGTCAGGACCGGACCATGTACAGTCTCGTAAGTATTTAAAAATTGTATGGCTATAATTGTATAACTTATGATTCAGGATTTTATGTATGCACTTAAAAGTCTGGAGGTATACAACCGTAGATATGCAACAATATTCATGCCTCATTTTTAATTGATAAGACCAAGTGCTCAAATGATATAGTTCGATGCACAAGCAGATTTATCACCTAAATCCCCATAATTCAAGTATCAAGTTCCCCCTTGACGCAAGTAACTTTGTGTTGTACCTATAAATAAGAATCTCACTATAAAACAGCCATTTTTTTAACAAGTTCAATAAAACGTGGTCCAGATGTTGATTTTGTATACTATAGTAAGGTCATGAAATATTTGATGTGAAAATCGTTTACAATGTGATTACGACGAAGTATTGGTTAGCCGCTTTTTTATTACAAAATAAGTAGTACATATCAGTAAAATAACCCAGTCGACGTTTGTGTCAATTTCAAATAGTCTTATAGTTACTGGGGACGTTAAACAAAAAGCAACTACAAATAAACCCGAACATTATGACTAAATAAACATTCATCTTTGTTGGGATCAAGCTGCGAGTGGTATCGACAACAGATTAGATATGAAGTGCCATGTATTTATCTGTTAACCGTCAGTGACTATGGAGTAGCCGGCCGTATTCTGCCTCCTCTTGTGATACAAAACCTCAGCTGCTAATCTTCCCTCATGAGAGCCATAAACCTTCTGAAAATACTCTCGTTCCTTCAAAGTTAGTCTTATATCCCATTTCTAATTAGTATAGTGTTATTGCTAATCTAAGATTATGTTTCGAACAGTTTTTCTTTGCCATAACATTTAGCTTCTCCCACATAAACCACCCTACTCTCATGGTGATTTATTTCATATAGAATCCTGTTTTCACTCTTTTGATATTCTACACTTCACTTTCAGTAATGTCTATAGCATCACTACCTTGGATATAAACTTTTATGTCATGCATATTTAGGATATTTCTTATCATTTTCGAAGTTTCTTTAGCATATGCGATGACTGCAGTGTTTTTTCATTCCCTAGGTGAACAATCTAATTTTGCTTTTCTTTCATTTTCAATATGATAATGTATTTGTCACATATATCGGGGGTACTGGTCACCACATCGAAACGAAACTAGTTTTCAAAGTTATTTATAGAATTCTATTGTACTCGCCTTGTGATTCTTTAATTCGTCTTTTTACGTACAGAAGAAGCTATTGAAATACACAAATAAATCTAATCTTTGTATACAAAAAACGTTTGTGCAACTTCTCAATTTACTCTGACCTTCTACTTAATTATTCCTACTCTTCTCAATTTTTAAAAAATCTTGTTTGATTCTAATTTCCAATCCTATTCGTACTTAATCCGTTCTCATAATCTGGCTGTCTAATTTTCATGCCATCCGTTTTACTAATTGCTTATTGTTTTTTCTGACTACAAATAACAGTAAACATTCTTATTCAATTGCTTAATTTTAAACTTACTCAATTCCTTCCACTCTATTCTTACCTAACTAGTGTTGCAACAATTCGTATGTTTTGTAATTTAGTTTTAATTTTGCATCGGTCAAGTTAATGACTACTATCTTTGGAGAAAATATTGATATTGTTAAGTAGATCAGCCACTATTTATTTGGTATTGGTTCTACACTTAGTCGTAAAACCAAAACTATATGACAAGTTAGAATTTGTAACAGGCAGCACATTATAACATAAATTTGTAAATTACGTTTTCCTTGTGCAGTCTAAATCCCGATCTCATATACACTACCTCAGTTTATCAAACTTTTCAGTTGTACGGAGGAAAAACTCAATAAAAATAGTATATTATTAAACGAACAAGTATAAAGACGATATCAAACAATCGGGTAACCTATCAGTTTTCTCTCCAGCGTAATCCTGTATTATTTCGACAAGAAAATCAAAATAGATAGCGTGATACAATCTGAACAATTTTCCTTTTCTCTTAATAAGCCAAAAAAACTAGATGGTTTTTGTTGTGCCGTGGTTATAGTTTGCCTGGTAATAACCAGTCTACTTATAACTCATAATCTCTACCTGTGTGATAATTAAATTCACTAATTATGAATATTCTGTGTCATAATCATAATTAGTTTAATGTAAAGTAAAATTGCATGTCACTCCCACTGTATACGGTGTTTTGAGTAGTCTCCTTTTTCAACTTATGCTCCTTGCTATTTAATTACTTCCTGATAAGCATAATTCATTTATCGATATGGGTTTTTTAAGCCATCCTAATTTTTGTGAAAATCCTTTTCCCTTTTGTAGAATACTCACACACATGTAATGTCAACTCAACAAAATCCCTTGTCATAACAAGTCGTCCTGTTGGCGGTCTGTCCTGTTCTCGAACAACAACACGTTTAGGAATAGCATTTCAAAGCAACTTAACTGTTCCAACTATAGTTGAAGAAGAAGAAGAATATTCGGTAGATTCTGAAAGACGACTTCCGAATTTGCCAGAAAATGAAACAGAACACCAATTTATCGACATGTTAAGATCCAGAACTAATTCTCTACTTAATAATAATCATATTGATATTAATGAAACAAATGAAGAAGACTATCCACTTCTACGTAAAGATTATGTTATTGAGTGAGTTCTAATACTGTTTATAGTTTTTCTTCCATGTCAGGTTATTGGGAATAATATTTGAAATCTTTGAGCTTAGATTTCGCTTTCGCTAACATTCATCAACACAGCATACCTGTAATCTTAAGCGAACCTGTATTTCATTAGAGTTTTAAATATGCGTCACCTAATGTTAAAGCTATAAATGATACACAAACTGTTCAGTCTTTAGGTTTTCAACTGCAAGATCGCATTTCAGATACACTTTGTTAACCAAGAATTCGTTAACTCAAGTCCTACTTCGGGTGGGACGTCCACGTAACGTTACTAGCCACCACACAAAATATTTGGTTCCAAACTGAGAACTGAACTTGTACCCTGTTACCAAGTCGTAAACAAAAAGAAACGTTTTTTGGCCAGATGGGTCACAGTTCACATAACTCACTGCAACAATCAATAATTTAATCAAATAGTACCAAAGCTTGCTTTCATCCCTACCCATTATGCCAAACATTTCTCGTCAGAGTAAGTGGTAGCTGGACATGCGTAACACTTGTTCTATCCACCTCTGGAGAGTTTCACCAACTGACCTCCCATATTTGTCTAGTATCCTACGATTAATCTCAATCAATTAATTTCTAGTTACAGGATATGCAATCAATAATTTAAGAACATTCATGACGATTTAGATGATCCCAGCAGTAAAGTGGCGTTCAATGTGCTACATTTGTTGTAATGTTTTTTACCTACTAACTGGAGACATTTATCTGAATTGAATTCCATGACTTAAAATAATCATAATGACAAGGATATATATTACTTCACTAACATGTTACATGACCAAGAATCAGTCACAGTGGTGTGGTGATATTCATCCTCAACCATCTTCTAAATCCCAACTATAGTATCATTCCACTATTTTAATTCTTTGGTTTCGTTCGTATGCTTTGAAATGTCTTCCATATTTAGCTTCCAACTCAAATAGATGTTTTTTTCCATTGCTTTACTCTTTACTAATTTCACAACACTATTTCCATTATGGGGTATCCCACCGTAGACTGATATGCATTCATTCTAAGTCCTACCCTGTCTATAACTGACTGGTAGTTTTCAAGTTACTTCTCAGCCAAATTGTATGTGTACAAAAGTTTGGTAAACTTTTTCGTAAATACGTTTTGTGTTTTGATTATCACACTTTCCAAAGAGTGACCACTATATTGAAATAGTATTCAGTACTTCATATCATGATAAAAGTTACTTAATTGTTCCTTGAAAGTTCATCAGGCTTTCACTTTTCGTGCTTTATTCAAATGTTGCGGCTTGAATCGATACATAAGCACATTTTACTTTTATTGTTTCTGTTATTGATTACTCATCTTTATCTCTAATTTTTTAGTACTAGCGTATGTGTCCGTGTACTTATCATCATTATTTCCCCATTTCATTTCATTGTGACTTAGTTTAACAATCTCCCACCGTCATGTATGGAAACGACGTTCTCGTTGTCCTTTCGATTCACTTTTTTAATCACAATTCTGTTTTTAAAACTTTATAATTTACTTTCTTGAATTTGGTCAGTAATAAGGTTATTATTATTATTATTATTATTATTATTATTGTTACTGAAATATACATAACCAAATTGAAATGATTGTAAATTTAAGTCCTGTTTTATTTCTTAGTTTCTTTATTCTTTCCATCCCATAATTTGATAATTTACAGAAAAGATCAAACATCTGTCCAAAAATGCGGTGTACTACACGTGAATACAATTAATAATGATAAATGTAATCCTAGTTCAAATGAATTACACTTGTCTAATGTTCAGTTGCATTCAAATGATAATCCATTAATAACAAATAATCATTCTATTCGTGGTCTACCTAAACCAGATGTAATTCGTTGGCTTGAAAATACCCGTGATGCTACCATGAGCAATAATTGTCAAGTTGTAAGTCAATCTAGTTTATCACATCTTTCATCATCTGCATCATTAAATCAATCGGATTGCAATACAGATGATCACCGACCAATTGATGCAGTACCTGAGAAAATATCTTCGAATATCGTTGAATCCCCTTCAGTAAATAAATCTCAGGAATCAATAAATAGTAAAGACTCAATAGTGACAATTCGTCTGATAAATACTAAACGTGGTGAAAATTTAGGCATACAAATTAAACCTGTCTTTTCGGATACCTTTAACTCTAGTAATGATAATTGTTCAGATAACAATGGCGGATCGAGAATGTAAGTGTCCAGTAATATTCACTTATTATTTATTATTATTATCATTATGAATTATGATCAAAGTACATCCGGGTGTCAACCATTAGGTTGTAAATTTGAAACTGAATTCAGTTTAGGCATTTTTGGTAGTACCACTGGCTCAAAGCCGAGTGTGTAGACCTGTTTTTGTTAAACAAGTTCATAGTTTCTCTAAAAATATTTTTAAATTATTTCTCAATTGAGATTTTAAATTGTAATCTGATGTTATATTGAGAAATGCTTAAAATTAGATACACTACTAAGTTGTTTGTACTATTCCTACTCACTGAACGCTCCCAACTAATTTTGTTATCGACTCGATGCTAAATCTTCAATGTTTTTCAAAGAGAACATTATCATTGAATCATGACTTTGAAATCTCTCATAGTTAACACGATTTTTTCATTGCTAGTCAACCTATAATTTGAATTTGTATGTTTTCCAATATCATTAACACGTACATCTAAACTTTTTTCAATCTGGTTAATTTCAACCAAATGGTACGGTTATTGTTTATTGGTCAACTTAACTATTTGTGATTAGTAGTCTCCCAATAATTCTCTAATTCATTCCAAACTTGGATAGTGTGATAAGAAGGCGTAGGTTATCAGAACTACGTGATATATTAGCGCAATACATTTCTAATAATCTGACAACACTTATACTGATTAAGAACATTTATATATAAAAAATTAAAAGGTCAATGAGACAAATGGAAGGTTAGAAGGAACAAAGATAATGAAGATATTGCGAAAAAACAGTGTAAAAGTCACGACACTGGATATTAAAACGTCCCAAACTGTTTAGAAATCAATCTTCAAATTCACTAGTTCAATAATCGGTTTGGATATTTTATAGTCAATTTAGTTAGAAGGACTTTGAAAAACCCCAGCGGGATTAACGGTACACATTTCGACTCGACCCTGATTATAATTTAAGGTTATTTATTTGAATTCTGACCAACAACTGACAAGGCTTAATTTATCTTCATTGGGGTTAGTGGAGATTGTAGTAATTTTAATGGTTGAATAATAAGTTGATTTAAGCTAGACCACTATTGAAAACCTGGAAGCACTGGACGGCCGTTTCATCCTAGTATGGAACTCTTCAGCCATTAAAATTACTACACTCTCCACAGACCCCCACTCTGATAATAATAATCATATGTTCACCAGTGACCGGCTTCAAGATAGATTTCCTGGAGCTCTAGTGGGAAGCCGTGACCAATGGAGTTCAACCGTGTCTGTTGTGAGGCACTAATTGAAGACAACGGTGGATGGTCGTGCAACATCGTGGATTGGTTGACGTTAGACATTAACACCGTTAAATGCTGGCTAAGTAATCTAGAGGCTGTGTTCGCTGGCGAAACCAAGGGTCCTGGGTTCGAATCCCGTGTACAGCAGGATCGTGGATGCGCGTTGCTGAGGAGTCTCATACTGGGACAAAACGCCCGTCCAGTGGTGCCAGGTTCTCAATGGTGATCTAGCATTATGAGTGGAGTCTTTCATTCTGAATTACTTTTGATATGTATTAAACCATTTTCCTACCTTGTTTTTATTGCATAAATAATCATCATCTTAAATTAATCTTTAAATTGACATAATGAACTGGGTTATTTTTTCTCTCAAATGACTATTGTTCAATCTTATTATGATTCATATTTAATATTTTATCCCGATACTATCCTGTTTTTCAATTATCTATTCAGTATTATTCCTAAAATAGTTTAATGATTTCATATACGTTTGTCTGATCAATATGATTATTCTTTCTGTAAAAATTTTTTAAAAAAGTAAGAAAAAGTAACGATTTGATTTCGAGAGGACGAAAAAAATGGATATTATCTAATTTCCTGTACTTATCATGTCTAATAATGAAACATTAGTACTTATAGTAGTAAACACTAAGTTCTAGGAAATTCACTCAACTAGATATGGTTTTCAATTTGTTTTGTTCTTGCCTGGTTTATAAAATGAAGTTTTTCATTTCATATAAATAATTGCCTAATTAAATTACTAATTAAAATGATTTACGAGTTGTTTGTTTTATTTCGACTTTGCAACTGGAATAGTAGAATATAAACTACCTAGTTGGGGTCCACCATGATTATCATAACCGATGGTTACAGAATTTGGGTAACATGGCTTGGCATTGCTTACAATAGTATACATAAATTTGCTTTGTCTTTCTGTAAATTCTAAGTCCCGAAATCTCATACTTTGTTTCTTCTTTCTACGCTAGATCCTTTATACCACTACTGATAATATTGTTAATTCTACTATTCTTGAATTTGTCTTGATAATATTATCCTGTGGAGCTAGTGTTGTGTGGCAACTTGAATCGATGCATGTATGTGCTAGGTTCTATGTTACGTATGATTGACTGACTGCAGCTGGAATAAATCATATATAAGAATTAAGGTAATTGTAATAAGAATTAAGTAAAATAGATATAGAGGAATATGTGATGTAATATTTTTTCAGTACATCAACCATATTTTTATGCAGAAATTAACCTGTAATTTACACCATACTACGTAATATATTTCGATCGAAAACTTAGCTCAGTACAAAAGGGACTCGGTCACTACATTACTGAATTCCTATCATCAGTCAAACAGCTGTTACTACTAATCGTCACTAGATTACCTTAACTCAGTAACTAAGTACAAGTTCAGCCCAATTTTTGAATCACATGTTTTACGAAAGCTAACAATACTACACGACTCATCTAACAGTAGTTGGTGTAAGATTCGAATCTGGGTCTCATAAATCGACATTTAAGTAATTTAAGCACTAACTACGGTTCCTAACTTAAAAATCGATAGGGAGTAAATGTAAGGTAAAGCTTTTATTCAACTTAAAATAGAACTAGGATAGAATTTTCAACCAAAAAGTTACAAGAAAACTATCTAAACACCTGACAGACCAGGTTATTTATTTATTTGGAAACATAAATATTGGTACAAAGGGGTACCGAATACATATGCACCACACAAGTCACTTGATTTGTGTGTGGGTTGTGATACTGCCTGGGTGCCCAGACCTAAGCAGGTGGTTTTCTTAGGGGGCCATAGCCGGAGACTTCGACCTAAGGATCTGGTTCACAAGGTTGTGGAGCAACGTCAGGAGATGCAGTACCATGGTATCTGGTGACTAACAACCTTTGTTTCCTTAGGATCCTGTAGTCCATTGGTCAAAAAACATTTGTTGTCACAAAACACGACTTTGCAAAGTGTATTGTCGAAGTTTCATCAACTTCTCCAACATAAAGTTTCATCACTCTTAAAGTTATCGCATATTTTTTAATGTTAATGTTTCACTCTTCCAGATAGATGGTTAAATGCTTCACCATTCTGAACAGTATCATAAGTGTATAATTCTAGTAAGTTTAACATCTCCTGTTGATGTATACAAATGAAAAAGGGAATATCGCTATTCACTTCGTAACCCTTTTTAAACCTATTGAAAATATCAGTTTTTACCAATGCTGAAAGTTGAAGCAAAACAGATGGGTAATCACTTATATTTCTTATTTTCTATTAAGTGAATGTGGTCTTGAAGTTCATTGTATTTTACCGAACGGGCGTGTAGCACGTGAACAATGTTTATCTGTTGGAGATCGGATTCTAAGTATTAATGGAATTTCATTAAGCGGTATACCATTTGAAAAGTTAGTTATATTTTATAAACCATTATTTATATTTTTTCTACTGAAGTAAAATATTAATTCGTCTGTGTTAATTAAACATGAAACTTTCCACCCTAATGAGTTCTTTATATTGCGATCAGTAGACCATATTCAGTATTTTTTCATCTCTTAGTAAATTTGTGCCAATGTGGGATACAAATAGTACCGTCAACCTTTAGGCATAATGTAAACAATCTTTTGTTTTTTCTCCATTTGGTTGTCTGGAGGGAATCGTGAACCTACGTCTCTTGATCGGTGACATTGGTAAGCAAGGCTCACCTGCAATCTTGAGGTGACTAGTGCTACTCCGTGGAATAGAACCCGAAGCATTCAACTTCACAGTTTGCGTTGTAAGACGTATGGACTGAGTGTGTAAATGTAAACTGTTTGAACTCTTCGACTAAGTAGTCTAAAAGTGTCGTGCTCACCATGTAGTACACATAAATCCTAGTTGGGTTCGTAGAGGTCCATACTATTGAGTCTGTCTATCGAAGTGTTTGACCTTCATAACCACTAGGTCACAAGTTCATGTCCCCCTTCACCTGTTTTGGTTTAAGCAGCGGGTTAGTATCACTGGTCCTCACAAATAAAGCATGGCTCAAAGTCAAATTCACAAATCTTTCCTTGATAAATGAGTTATATCCCAGTATTGTTTTCTTTAGTACTGTTCAGTCTCAATGCTTCTCAATCTTATGCCAGTTTATGGTGAAAATTACCAATAAAATTCTATTATGTTAGTCCACCTAATCAATCTAAACAATATATGGATTGTCTACTAATTGATTCTACTTTAATAGTCATTTATTTTAATTTTTTATAAAATATTTTTATAATACCTTTTCTTTTCTGTCAAGGGGGCGTGATATATTTCAAGAGGCATTAAATGAACCAGAAATAATACTTCGTGTACTTCCTCATTCAGCCTACCAATACAGTTCTTCACTATCTATACAAAATATTGATAAAATAAAAGCGACAGCTACAGAGAAATCAGAAAAACCTTCATGTGGTCTAATTGTTATTGTATCCGATCCATTGTCTAAAGCTAAAGAAGCTGAAATAAAATCGAATACAAATCAATTAAAACCTATACCACCACCACCACCTCGTCGTTCTCCCAACACTGTATTAACTCGTATTCCAGAAGGAATTATTAAACCATTAATTGATGAATTTTTACAAGAGAAAAAACAACAAGAAAATAATAATAACCAATTACCATCATCACAAGAATTAACAAAATCTGTTGTCAATACACAAACAAATACTGTTAATAATAATAATAATAGTGATGATTTACACACATCTACTTATCATACAATTCATTTATGCAAAGGTAAAGTGAATTTTGGTATATAATAATATAATTATTTCAGTATTGTGTGTATAGTCATATAGTCGATGTAGAGTTATCCATTAATAATGTATGTCATTCCAAGTTGATATATACACCATATCAGTACAATGGGATGGAACTAATAATATGAATAGCAAATGAAGTTGAGATATTAGTAGTACTATCAACGATAGTAAAAATAAGTCTAAATATTTAAACATACGGTTAAATAGAAAGGTATAAACGAAGGACAATTGGAACTCAAATTCTTGGGAGGAGATAAATGATAAATACAACTCCATTACATAATACTTAACTATTGTGTACACTTGTGTGTATGTAAATACCTTTTTTCCTGAATGTCGTCCAAAATAGTAGTTCAGTTAACAGAATTTTATCAGTTTCACAGAAAAGATGCAAAAAACAAAGAATATTTGGGTGAACACAATTGTTATTTAATTCCCCTAATACTATTAGTATCAGTATTATTATCATCACAAAGGTGCCTTTTGTAAGTTTTTTAAAAGTAATCGACATGAAACCGACCATTTTCAGTTCATTTCATTATATATGTTTAGTAGGTGTGCGTTTATCATATGACTGCATTAACATACGCTGAATTGTAAATCAAAGTCTTGTACCCCGATTACCACTTTCCATAATATTTCTTTTAAAAATTCATCTTTAATAATAGGTTACGAAAAAGAATATGAAATACCAAGTCGGACAATCTATTTTTGATCCTATCTGAATGACTTTGCTAGTATTGTGTTAGTTAAACAAAAATCTCTCCTTTTTTTCATTATCACATTAATTTATTATTATTTTTTATGAACTTGGTCTGTCAGCTATGATGTTTATTCTCAGAGTTTGAAGGCAGATAATATTTACTGTTAAACTACATAGTTATAGATCAGTCTTTAAAGACATCTAGGCTTAATTCATCGGAACTTAGTACTCTGTCTTTCTTCGAATCCTCTAAAATTTTATAAACTAATGGTATTTCTTCAGTCAGACTGATATGTGGTAGTGACCCAGTTAAAAAGTCTCATATGACTAGCTGAACTTCAAAAGACCCAGAAAGACTTGTCGTTTCAATTGTCTGAATTGATACTGGACTCCATTGATCTCTCTTTCTTTCATGCACCCTTTTTTGCTTTTACTGTTATCGAAAGAGCTTATACTAATTGCTTAGACTCTTGATCTATAAAAAAACTGCTTGAAGTTTGCATACCCATTGATATCAAGTATTCTCATTGTTATTTTATATATTGAGTGAACAGTGTTGAAGTCCGACTTACAATACTAGATGACGATAGCGAATCGGTTGAACCCTCATCTAACGAAGTGATTTTGACATATGTTACGCAGATAGACCCTGACTTTCTGCTTGGTGTCCGTGTAATTATCGTAACCCATGGTTAGGGATGCTTAATGATGGCTCATAAACATTAACAACAACGTGGATGTATTCACTTTCTGTCTTCTCTTGAATCCTGAGTCTCGAAATCTTGTAGTTTTTTTCTTTTCTACTACTGATTCAACTACTATCAATTCTACTTCTCTGGTATGTGTCCTGATAATTATACCTCTCTGTGCTAATGTAGTGTGGGAACTTGAACCGATGCACATGTCAGGTTTTATTTTGCATATGACTGTCTGACATTTACTGATCATTTCGTTGATTTGATTTCGTTGTGCTAACATGATGTGACAGCTTGGTGTAAAACATGTTCGTTCCAAGCTCTCCGTTGGTTTTAACTAACTGACCATCATAGTATTATTATCTAATGCCATTGTCTTTCATAGATATCGGTTTTCTGTACCTAGTTTTAACTGTTTCTTGTTTTTTTCAGGTTCTAATGGATTGGGATTTAGTCTAACTAGTCGTGATTCATTAACATCATCGGGTCAAAAAGTTATCTGTGTGAAAAATATACTACCTGGTGGAGCAGCTCTAATCGATGGTCAATTAAAACCTGGTGATCTTCTAGTGAAGGTAAATAAATGGTCTCTCTTCCACTAAAAGAAAAAAGACATGTCTAATTTTATTCTGCTTAACTTTAAATTAAAATTTTTTTTGGTGCCTAATCGAGAAAGATTTTGTAGCTCTTGAAAGTTCCTCCCTATTTTGGTAAAGCAGACCTTGTTAGCTCTCACTATACATAATGATGTCACAGAATTGCAATAATAAAATAGAAGTTTTAGCGATACAACATAAATTAAGTCGTTATCAAGAATTTCTAGCTTCATGACTTTAGGTTACACAAGCTCAAAACGAAGTGGCTTTCATTGAAACTTTGTTTACTCGACCTAGCGAAGTATTCTATCTGCAATAGAAAAACAACTTACTTACTTACTTACTTACGCCTGTTACCCCTTGTGGAGGAGCATAGGCCGCTCACCAGCATTCTCCATCCAACTCTGTCCTGAGCCTTCCTTTCCAGTTCTTTGCAGTTACTATTGAGCCTTTTCATATCGGCTTCTATTTCCCGGCGTAGTGTGTTCTTTGGCCTTCCTCTTTTCCGCTTCCCTTCCGGATTCCAAGTTAGGGATTGAGTCGTGATGCAGATTGGTGATTTCCTTAATGTATGTCCGATCCACTTCCAACGTCTTTTCCTAATTTCCTCTTCAGCTGGAAGCTGGTTTGTCCTCTCCCATAAAACGCTGTTGCTGATAGTATCCGGCCAGTGGATGTTGAGTATTTTGCGTAGACAACTGTTTATAAATACTTGTACCTTCCTGATGATGGCCGTAGTAGTTCTCCACGTTTCAGCTCCATACAGTAGGACTGTTTTGACGTTCGTGTTAAAGATTCTGACCTTGAAATTGGTTGAGAGTTGTTTTGAGTTCCATATGTTCTTCAATTGTAGAAATGCTGCCCTTGCTTTGCCAATCCTCGCCTTTACATCTGCATCCGATCCTCCTTGTTTATCAACGATGCTCTCCAGGTACTTGAATGTTTCCACCTCTTCCAGAGTTTCGCCGTCAAGTGTGATTGGGTTGGTGTGATAGAAAAACAACGGTGAATATATATTTAATGATTTTCAACAAAAAAAGCTAGCGGTTCTCTACAGACCTATCCTAACTAATTTATGCTGGGAAACCTATTTCAACTGTCTCCGATGTCGATAAGAAACTTTAAAACAAATCTGTCAGATTTCTATACACTGACTTACTAAAAATACTAGAAGAAAACGGCATGTTAATGTGCTAAGTGTTATTTAGTACTACTCAGCAGTTATTTGATGCTATCAAAAAGACTAACTCAATAAACTTCATGGTTATTCACTTAGCTAAGGAGTCTATATGGCTGCTGGCTTGTACAACGAGGATGAATTTTGAATAACAGTATCAAGACAGCCCACTAAGGATGCACATATACAGGAAAAAACTGATCTACTCCAATCCTTAACATCAATGGAAAGATTTTTAAAAATCCATAAAAATTAAGATAAAATTCACCCTTGTCACACAAGTGAGTGGCTATTTGAACTCAATAGCTCGTTGGATAATATTTTTAGCTTTTGGAGCAAAAGATACTGAGGCCTAGTTTCCCTGTGAACATCAACACTGGGTTTCTCGTGCATCTCAAATAAGACAAAATATGCTGCTTGAATTCCACTGCTAACCACTATTCGACTCTGCTTTAAAACAATATAACATTCTAGAAAATAATAGTTATAATGTCTGCATGCAAATTTACTTTTTTTTAATCTTTGTATTATTTTCTGTGTGTAAATTTTGAAAGTCAATAAAGAAGATTGTTTTCTATTTTTTTATGCCGATATATATTTAGGTTGATAATATTAATGTAAATGAAATTGGTCAAGCACAAACTGTTGCATTATTACGAAGTAAACCTGTAAATACCCTTGTTACTTTAGTTGTCAAACGATCAAGAAATAATTCTCATAATGAAGATATCAATAATAATAACAATAATAATGATAATAGCAATAATACTAATAATGATAATAATCTTGATCAAGCATGTCTACCTGATTTGAAAACTATGCAACCATCTGTTATGTGTACAATAGCATCAAGTTGTTGCATAAATACTGTAAATGAACAACCAACAAAATCAATATTATCTACAATACCCCCATTATCATCAACATTACAACCAATAACACAACAACAACAACATAATAAAACAGTGATTGTGGAACAACCATCTAGTCATGATATAAAAATACCTGATAAGGTTAGCATTGATAGTTGTTTTGTTTTTTCATTAATGAATATTATACCAAATCAACCTGATTTCTAGATGACAATATAGAAATTGTTTTTATTAAAATATACGTTATACTACATTGGATCTGTTCCAATCGTATAATACTTACGTGAAAAACTAATCAACTATCTAAAATTCTAATGGAATAGTACCATGGTTCATGCTGTGAGAGGTGAAAAGTTGAAAGTAAAACCCTTAATAAAACAAGTTCATAAAATTAGAATAAAGGGGGTGGGGAAAGTTGCATTTATACATTTCTCACTGTTATTCATTACTATTAATTGTAAGTTATTGATTTTGACCTTTTTCCTATAAGTCTCCTTGAAATGCCTGAAGTTGCGTAGTTTTTTTGTTGGTTAATTATTGATAGCCTCTAGCTGGTAAGGATAACCACAACAACACCTTTTAAATTTATATTTCCTTATTTTGGTCTTTGTAAAATATCACAAAAACTGTAGTCTGATGATGAAATTATTGAAAACAATTGTTCGCTCAAATATTCCTTGTTTTTTAGAGATTTTCATTTGCTATATATTCTCTTCAGGTATCCATATATATATATATATATATATATATATATATATATATATATATATATATATATATATAGTTTTTGTTTACCAGAACAGATTGTCTTAATCAATTTCTAAGAAAGCCTTCAAATTACAGTCGGTCAGTCATCTAAAACGTAGGACCAAGCACATATATACATCGGTCCAACTTGCCATACTTAATTAGCACAACAAGATTAATACCAAATTCATAGAAGTAGTTACTTCAATGGTAGTAATCGGTATATAAAAAAGTCCATATAACGATATGATACAGAGAGAAAGAATCATTTCGTAGAAAGAAAGGTATGAAGCAATTTTAATCTCATACTTTAAGGGAAGACAAAGAGTGCATACACTTACACCTTTGTGATCGATTCTGAGCCATGTTACATAGAGTCTACAACCATTGGTTACGATAGTCACACGGAACTCAACCAAGTAGTCTACATCTACCAACATGGCTCAAACTAAAAGCTAGTGACTTCAAGGACTGATGTTACGTTTTGGTTTGACCACCTCTAACTTCCTTCCATCCATCTCCAACACTAGTCAACATGGCGGACCGTGGCAGTCGGTGGTTGGGTACGCATAATACATGGCACAACCATCTCAGTTGATGGAGATTCACAATCTCATCAAAAAATCCACTATCACTCCCTAATACCCTACGTCTAACCTACAAATTACGATTGTGATTAAAGAAGCAAATTATAAAAGAAGCACTAAAATTCAAGAAACTGTTTATTTCAACCTTGTAAATATGAATATAGAGTATTAGCGATACAACAAATCTACTGGTTTAAGAAGACTACATGATACTTTCTAAGACAATTGTTCATTTCAATATTTTTAATTTTATTATTCATGTATTTTCTATTCCCATTTACTGTTTATTCTAATCGATTTTCATTTTTGTGTAATTCCATTTGTATGTTAATATATTGTAAAACAACAGTTTTTTAAAAAAAATACTTTCACCCAAAACTTTACACTTTTACTCTCATGCACTAGGCTGTATATTCAATAGTACATGTTTTCTATTTTGTCTATTACTTGATAGTTAATGTTTTGTTCTACAAAATATTTCACTATCGATTTTTTTCTTATTGAATATCCCTTATGAAGTTTAGTTTATTTTTCTATTTTCACTGACGATTCATTGAACTACTTCATTGACTTGAAAATTTATTTTAATAATAGTAGTAGAGTGATCCTGCCTCGGTTTGGGTGTCCGTACAGTATTCCAGCTCTCACACAAATGGAATGACAAAGTGTTGCACATATATATTTGGTGCCTCCTTATATCAATGTTTATGTATTTAAGTAAAATAATAATAATTAGAGTGATACTTAATCAGTCAGTTACAAAGTAGAACCTGATACGTATGTACATTAGTTCAAGTTGCCATACCACATTAGCATATCGAGATTAAACTGTCAAAGCAAATCCCAGATTAAGAACAGGTAGTAACCAGTATTAGTTGTAATTGAGTGATATTGTCAGTGATTTTATTTACTATAGAAATCAAATATTTCATTTTTAAAAAATTTACATATCATTATTTATTTACAAATTATTTTACATCTCCAAACTAAATTTTCACTGTACTATCCGTAAAGACCACTGCTGATTATTCCCAGAATGCTTCTTAAAAAGTGTGAACTTTTTTACCCTGAAAGTAATATCTTTTATCAATGGATAAAAATAATTAACCTTTTCATTTAATAGATTTAATCGAACTACTGTCTTTTTGTTTGATTCCCTCCAAGCAGTATAGAGATCAATAGTTGACAGTAGTCATGTCATCATCGAATCAGCTGGTTAAATGTAGTTATTAGGATTTAATAAAGTAGTTTAAATAACAATCATCCATTATTTAGGTTATTTTTACGCGGTTAGCCAATGTACTGCATTGATTTATTTGAATTGTGCAACTTTATCACTAAACCTTTCAACAGTATTAACAACTATGAATCAAGTGTATTATATATTTCATTTTGAATACTATAGTTTTATCGAGGGAAATGTTATAGGAACTTCATATTTTTGCCTTTAAACCAAGACATGTTCCGGTTTCATCACATACTGTTATTCGTGTATACACTTCTTATTATATATATTGCAACTTAGGAGAGTACAATGTATTAAGGTTTAATACTTCTTTAACAAATCATCTAATTTTCTGAAATATTGAATTTTACTTGAATTTATAGCTACCATAAACTTGGTACACCAACTGATCGTGTTGTTTACGCTTAATACACAATCCAATTGGCATGATTTAATCAACACAGATAAAGACGGTTCATTTCATTAACTGACCAATCAATATATTAATATTAGCGGTAATTATAGTAATCATTAGCTTCAAGACGGATTTGTAATGTCAAAAGAATAACCATGATTTATGGAGTTTAACTAATATTAAAAACGATACTAATGTTACAGATAACATTTAATGATCGTCACTCTCTATTAGCAAACTTACTGAAATTGGAAATGTAGACCAGTGAATTTTGACTCAGCAGTCCAAACTACAAGATCTGAAGATTGAAAAATCTTTCCAGTGTTCAATAATAACCTTTTCCCAGTACTAAAGAGTTAAGAACGAAATAAGACCAAAAAAATTTTCGCGTTTCTTTAGCTAATATTAACTAGTCCTTAAAATGAACAATAATTATAATTCTCAAATCTAAATAATAATGAAAGTTTCTTACTTTCTTATCTTAATTTTAATTTTCGTGTGTGTGTGTGTGTGTACAGAATAACCAACAATAGTTTACAAACTACTATTACCACTACTTGCATTCTGATCCGCAAAGAGATAAGTCAAACTTTTCAAATGGATTACTTCTTTCCTTAGATTAGGTCAATTATAGTCCAAATAAGTTCTGGTTATTTCATTTGTTTTTATGATTGGATTTTGTCGATGGAAATATTTACGTCAACTTGTAGGGTAGAAAATAATTGTTCAGCTTTTGTTGTATAAATCTATTTTTATTTTTTAATTGACTCTATGAATTATTAACTTATAAATAAGCTTCTTGTACTAAGATATTATACCTGATTTCAAGTTTGCTGGGTTAATATCAACTCATCTATGTACATAACTAACACAGAAATAGTCCAGTTGCACTCTGCACCAGCATACGGTTCCATGTTGATGGTTGGTTTTGTTAATATTACATCGTTAATGTTTCTGATGTAAAAAGAATATTTATTGGGTTTATGATTTGTGGCAAAGCTTATTATAAGTTATTATTTGACATCTTAGTTTGGGATATTGACAATGGTTATCCATCTTATATTTTCATACAGCTTGGCATGGATTCGCTTCTTGATAACGACCAAGTGAATTGAGATAATCAGTAAGGATAGATTGTATTGAGGAATATAAATGGTAGACAAACACTTTACCTCCTCAATGTCTTCTGTATCATTTATCGAATGGAATAATGTACCTAGACGAATTCTACAATAGAATAAATTTTCTGATGTAATTATTTAAACTACGTAACATTAGAAATCAGAATCTAAGGTCAAATTACTATCTCTTCGAATAACAGCTTTACTTATCAACTTCCTATAACATTTAGAAATGATACTCATTTCGTCTAACTTGGTAGATCTTTGGAAGTCTTATTAGAACATTTTACCGTCAAAATGAAATAAACAGTCAACATAAAATACATTCTTTCGAATAATTTAATTCATTTATGAAGGACCTCTTTTTTTACCTGGACAATGGCGCTTTAAAACTTGTATATATCAATGTCCAGTTTGTTATTAGAGACTAGAGCAGTTAAGATCGTTGAACTATTCAGTTATTTGAATAGCCTCCCTGTTTATCTCACTTGAACTAATCAATACACAACCACTTTATGCCTCTGGTTCCCTTTTTTATATCCCCGTCAAGATAAAATGTTTGTTACATATGAAGTCTACCTATAAATTAGAAAAACTATTATAATGATGTAACCATAAATACTACTGATTCATTAGAATTAGTAGTGTGTAGATGTACAAAGTTCATTTATTTATTATTTATTTAAACATATAAACATTGGGACAAGGAAGCACCAAATAGATATACCCCACATATATCATTCGATTTGTGTGAGGGCTGGGATACTGTCCAGATGCCCAAACTGAAACGGGTGGTTTTCTTAGGGGGCCTAAAGGTCTAATTCATAAGGCAGTGGAGCATCGTGAAGAGATGCAGTTCCATGGTAGCCAGTGACAACAATTGGTTCATACGCCATTTGTCCTTTCAGGATACTGGAGTCAATGTTTACGATTAGTTTGGGATCAAGGTTTTCCAACTCCCCTAGGTGAACGTTCCGTGTCCACCAAGCCGGTTAAAGCACCTGTTATTCGCTTTTCGTCTTCTCAATCTCATAAACAACACCCCCTCCACGAAAAGGCAGTGAGTAGGACTTCCTTGACAGTAGTTGTATGCGCGTGTGTTGGGGATGTTAAATCCCCAGAACTCACTTGGCAAATGACTTATTTTTGTCATTTTATTTTGAAAATGTTAATTTCTTTGTTTTCGCGCCAAAAGTGCTCTTTTCACCTTCGAGTCGTACTACTCACTTGGAAAAATCTTAAACGCTGTTGATCCGTTGTATCTTTTAGTGTGCTATTTTGTAACGCTTTCCAATGAAAATTTTGTGCTGTATATATACGTTTAATTTCTTCCTGCTGCGATTGCTTGTGCTTCTGGCTGCTTACGGAACATATATTCCCCACTTCCAACTTGGACTTGTCACTCTAGTTAGCGGGTTTGAGATGCATCAGAATAGATAGCTTATTGGTCTCTGGTCGCAAGTCTTTGTTCCGTTCGCAGACTAAATGAACTCGTAACTGCTTCAAACATAACAACGTGGCCATGTGAGGGCATTTCGAGAGAGAGGACTGACTCTCCCCACTCTCGGCCATACCAGAGCATTTGGGGGTATCAAGTTCATTAACATCCATAAAAAGCTCATTGTATAGGTAAGTAGCTTATCTTCAGGTAGAAAATTTGTAAATGATAATATCAAAAATATTTCTACTCTTTCTAAGACATCAAAACTTTCTACTGACTTTTTCTCAACATAAAATAGTTTTTAAAATTGTAATATACTTTTTGCAAATCTTAACTTATACATTTGTTTTTATTTTTGCATATCCTCTATTTTAAGCTATCCGAATGGAACTGTTGTTCATCCGAAACCTCTCAAAAATTTCATCCCCTCCCACCCTCACATCCTTCATATAAGCTTCATGAAATTGATTCATCTCACTGGTCACTTTATTTATTGAATATACATTTACCTTTGACTAAAACCAATGAATCCGATAAAATTACAACAATACGACAAGATACAGATTCTACTATACATCAATCAACAATTAAACGACATACAGGTAATCCTGCTACCTTAGGTGTAAGTGTATCAGTAAGACGTTTGTCAAATAATTCATGTGTTAATCACAGTGATGCCCTTGGTGGTGGACTCAGTAGTTCTACTACTAATGCTACTGCTAACGAAAAACATTCAAGTGTACAAATTGATAAAACTAATGATTCACAATGGAATGCTGTCTTTGTAAGAACTGTAATTGATGGTGGTCCTGCTTATCAAGTAAGTGTTGTCATGACTTGTTTATTATTTATTTATTTTCTATTTTTAAAATAAGATTATTTATTGTTCTTTTTGTCTTATTATTTTTTTTTAACATCTATTTTTATGTTGTTGTTTCCCTTTTTTTGTAATTTTCAGTTAAATACAAAGTTTTGATTAGGAGATTATGTTTTTTAGAAAATTTTGACAATTACAATCCTACTGATTATCTATTCATTTGTGATTATTTTTTTAAATAAAAGAGTTTTAAAAAATACTGTATACTACAACCTAGTCTTGATAAAATAAGGAATCACCTTTTTCAAGTAAAAACGCATCTGGAAATGTATACGTATTGATCATGCTTAAATCTCTCAACTAATTGATATAATTGGGATCATGAGTCAATTGAAGCTAGACCACCATGGAAAACCTGGAAGCACTGAAAGGCCGTTTCGTCCTATTGTGGGATTCCTCAGCAGTGCGCATCCACTATCCCGCCTCGCGAGATTCGAACCCACAAGTCCCACAATAGAACGAAACGACCGTCCAGTGCTTCCAGGTTTTCGATGGTGGTCTCACATGACCACGCGAATATATAGCCACTGCCAGGGAAGTCCTACTCACTGCCTTCTCGTGGAGGGGGTGTTGTTTACGAAATCGAGAGGACGAAAAGCTAATAACAGGTGCTTTAACCGACTTGGTGGACACGGAAAGTCCACCTAGGGGAGTTGGAAAACCCTGATTCCAAATCAATGGTACACATGGGTTCCAGTATCCTGAGGGAACAAATAGCGTATAAACCAATCGTCTGTCTCCGGTTTTCATGGAACTGCATCTCCTCACGATGCTTCACTGCCTTATGGATTAGACCTTTAGGTCGAAGAATCCGGGTGTGGCCTCCTAAGAAAACCACCTGCTTCAGTCTGGGCTCCTGGGCAGTATCACAGCCCTCACACAAATCGATTGAGATTTATGAGTTGCATATTTATCTGGATCCTCCTTGTACCAATATTTATGTGTTTAAATAAATAAATGGTGGTCTAGCTTCAATCGACTCATGATCTCAACTATATAAAATTACTAAAATCTCCACAAAATCCCCTTCTGACAATTGATATAATTCATTCTTTAACACTACAAGTGATATTCCATAAAATTAGCTTGGTTAAAGAAAAAAAATTGTTAACAAAGAAAGAACTACAAGATTTACAAAATAAATTGAATTTCACTACTCCTCAAAAAGTTATGGATGAAATGTACTTTAACAACTTACATTTATCGCTTTCAGTCGAATTTATGGATGTCATGTTCTTGTCAGTTAGTCAGTCGCAACGTAGAACTTCGTACGTACGTACGTCAGTTCGAGTTGCCATACCACATTAACACAGAGATGCAGTTGTCGATTCAAATCCCACAGTCGTAGAAGTAGTAAGAGTATAAGCAATAATGTGAAAGATTAGGGTTTTAAGATGTTATTGAAGGAGTATAATCCAGTTAAATAAATTTGGAAAGAGAAAAAGATAGAGACATGAAGAATTCAAGAGATTAGATTTTGGCAGAGCACAAAGAGTTGATGCACCTCCGACATTGCGTGTATTTTTGAAGGACTGAGAGATGTTTTTGCAATTAATTGATCACTGAATAGTGACTAATGACAAGTTATTCTTGGTGCAGATCGAACTCTACCTATCAAATTGCTATGCGGCCACTAGTCTAGGTGGCTCGACATCGCATAAACTATGTTGAAATGCTGGTCGGCGGCCAATTGATGCAAACGTTCACCATTTTTAACATATAACATTGTCAAATTAATTAATACATGCCTCATTTTGGCCTTTGTAAAATATTATAATTACGGACTTATAACTGTAGAGCCTGATGATGAAGTTATTGAAAACAATTGTTCGCTCAAATATTGTTCACTTTTGAATTTTCTATGGGAATCTTTAAACTGTTTAAACTAATTGTAAACTATCACGTGTGCATAATACTGTTTTGAAGTTTGTGGTGTTCTACTAGAAAGCTATGAGTGGTAGAGTTTAACCATTATTTCAGAAGTGAGACAAGTATATCACATTCGTCAATGAACAACTATCAACTAATATTGCAAATCAACTTGAATATTTAAATTATTGTCTAGTGGTAATACATTCACCACAAAGCCTAAATGTACTAGTCTTGATCTTTGACAGGTTTTCAAAGTATACAATCATGATTATCTACCTAAAGTCAGTTCCTGGCTATAAACTATTATCAAATATACCAGTTTTCTGTAATATAAAGTGTAAATGTTGTTTATTTAATTGTGTATAATCCATTTTAGATTAATATATATTCTTAACTCCTTCTCTTGTTTATCATTTATAATTAATTGACCATATGTAGAATTTTCACACAACTGAAATAAAAAACAGAAATAATTTAAAATCTACATAATATGGGAATGTTTACAATGCATGAGAATTCTTACAAATTAATATTACAGACAAATAAAATTTTCTGTTAACATTATTATCTTCCTATTATATATTCACACAGTTTTCTCTAGCTATTAGGATTGATTGTGTATAACAATTAAATAGTAACTAATACCATTTCCATGATAACATGATAACGTTACCTACAACAGTAAAGATAAACAATACAAGAACCGTATAACTGGTTGATAACGTCGATGATTATTGCGTAGGTTAGTGTGAGTTCGAGCCCTATAATTTTGCCATGAATGCAAGTGAACTTGATTGATATTAGTTCCAATCAACATGAATCTAGAGATTTCCGCTGAAAGTAACATTTTCCGAGAATTCAACTCAAACTTTTTGCAAGAAAAATTCTTTGAAGTCGCCACTTTGAATTTTTAAGCCTCCTATATTTAGTTGAATCCGGTACTATAAACGGCTAATTTTCACGGCCCCAGGTGTTTTATCCTGTATCATTTTCTGACTAAATAATAACAAGACTTCTGTCTATTTTATTTTCACAATCATTGAGGAGGGGTATCTCGGGAACCACTAGGAGTATAGTCTCAGTTTCACTGGAAGTGATTGTGTGTTCCTGTCTCAAATCGCATAACATACGACGGATTGGAATAGCCTCCAACTATCGAATATCAATTTAGGTAGAAGGAGATATTGAGTTAACCGGCTAAAATAATCGTACTATAAAGTTGGTAGATGAAATTTGATTAGCTCTAGATACTACATAACCATGATATTCGTTTACTATTCAGTGACAGATCAATACAAGAAAAAAAACAGTTAGTTTTTACACATATTTAATCACTGCAAGTTGTCAACATATCATCTTGAAAAATCTTCAGTTCACTACGATTCAAGGTATTTTTATCCTGTACACTATAATTTTGTTAGCTATTACGAACGACATACCAAGTAAAATATCATAAATAACTCACTAGCATTGAAACTAACCAAACAAACGAGCTAACATATATTGCATGTCCTACTTTCTGTACTTTACTCTGTACATAGATACATACTAGTAGTAAGGTATCGTTTTACGTTTTTAATTGATTTTACACATACTGAACATTTATAAATTTCCTCTCAAGACATTCTTTATCGTACATCTCTCCGTGTCCCAACTAATTGGGATGACTTCAAATTTTGGAATAATAGGGAAATTTTTTAAGTTTAAAAAAATCATTACGTAATAGAAGTAGTAATAATGTAAGTAGTAGTAGAAAGGATTCGTTAAAGAAAATATAATTCGAGAAGAAAGAATAAATTCGCGAGATATGGTCATTTTAAAACTTGAAATCGAAGGGAAGACCAAAATTGAGTACATCTTTACCTTCACAACCTATTCTGAGCCATGTCACTCAATGTCTCTATCTATTAAGATAACCTGATAGTCTGCACTTATTAGAGAAAAATTGACATAATACTGTAAACCAACATTTCGTTATTCCAATCAAATATTTATCTCGTTGCACTCCTTTTTCTATATTAAAATCATTTACTTACATTTATTGTTTGTTTGTCATAGGATGGACGTTTACAAGTTGGTGATCGTTTATTAACTATAGATGGTCAAAATTTATCTGGATTATCTACTACTGATGCACTTAATCGTTTAAAATCTGTTATTGCAAAAGATTTGAATGAATCTCCTCATCCATGTGTTCATCTTTTGATCGCTCGACCTCGGGATGAAACTAATTCAGATAATTCTTGTGCAAATTCTATGGAAAATAAAAGTGAGAATACAATAAATAAAATCATCAGTTCTAATCAACGTAAATCTTCCTTGGAAATGGTAAGTATATATGTATGATAATTGTCTATAATAAATTCTAAAATCTTTGAGTCTCACTGACCAAAATATCTCAGTTCAATAATAAGATGAACCAGTACATTACTTCTACTACGTCATGAGTGTGAATGATCGAAGAATATTTATAGCTTGAAATAATGTTGGGAATGTTGTGATCTCTGAACTTTCATTGTTCTTCTGAATAACACCATCAACACATACTTCAAAGAGAATTTGGTTGTAAAAATTCGTTGTATTGAGTATTGAGATTAATGCCCATGAAGAGATACTTGAATGTTGACCGACTAAATTAACAAGGCTTAATTGCATTCATTTTTATTACTTATTTTGCAAAAATGTTTCTGTTTAGTAATGTTTTCTTACATGTACAATAAAGTAAATTATCTTATAGTAAATCATCAACAATCGTAACTTCGTCTATTCATTCTAAATCTTTGATTTATGACTTCTCTGTTATTCGTAACATAGCGCATTTTGCAGTAGTGTCTTTGTTCTTAAGGAATTCAAACTTCGCTCCATGTACTGCGGTTTAGGCAACCGCGTAGTATCATCAGCCCTCATACCTGGAGCGTGACTCATATGCAGGTATATGGTAACTTGCTATAACTAGTGCGTTGAAGTACTTAATGATCGAACTTATTTAACACGTTCATATCCCAGCTACCTCAGCTAATGTAAGTTCATGATCTCTCCATCAACCTGTAATAACAATACACTATAATATTTATGGTCAATTTTAAATAAGGATGTATATATATACCTATTTTGAACTCTTTATATTTTGTTTATTACAATTTCTAGGCAACAAAAGAATCATATAATGATAATAGTGATCGTTCAAAACTACTACTGGTCTCTGCTGTAGTGCACTCATCAGAATCTGTTTCAATGGCCGGGGGGAATTCACATGATTCATTTGATCCACCTGGAAAATACTCCTTATCATCTAATCATCATCTTGCTGCAACCAACTTATCACCGTCATCATCGTCACAACATCTACAACCACGAAAAAAATCTACGAATCTACCTAATACCTCTTACCCTCTGTATCTAGTTCAAAATTCTCAGGTTAGAGTTACTAGTTAATCGAATCTAATTCCTTCCATATCATTCACCATTATTCATTTTCATTATTGTTGTTGTATTAATTATTATTATTATTAATAGTTCAGTAAACATTTTAAACTGTTAACCAATTAATTCAATGAGAAGAAATCTTCTGATTTTATTAGAAGTCCACTATTTTTTGAAGTCGCTTATAAATATCCTTTTTCTTGTCCTTCGTCTATCCGCAGATTTTTTCATTCAGCAATGTTAGGGACTTTTTTTAACTTACGAATTAATAATAGTAATAATGTTTGACCATTATTTTGAACAATCAAAAGTCTTCCGTCTAAAACTCAAGAAAGTATTTAAACCTGGTCAAAAGTGAGTTCGGTTAATTAGATAAAGAAAATTAAACATTTGTGTCCGTCTAGCTTCATTGATGGTTTATGAATACTATCTTTAAAATTTTTTCTTCTTCCAGTCTACCAAATAACTTCATCAATCAAAATCCCATAGATTTTATTTCCTTAATTAACATTAAACTTCGAAAAAAGCTCGTGACATTCTAACTTATACTATAGTAGTTCAAGGTCAGAAATTCTGTACTGGCGGACTAATTTATGTAAATTCTAATAGGTTAATAATTTCTGAAAACTTTCCGCTTTAATGATTAACCTTGATAGTATCCTTCGACAAAACATAGATCAAGACCAAATGGTAATAAATCATTTTTTCCCACTCAATAACTTTTCAACCAACCTCACCTAAGACTATTAGCATATGAATAAACTCGGAGTCTATATTAATTAATCATGCTACAGTCTTAATGCTAAATATTCGACAACAATTTTTGTATAAACGTTAGAGATGCTTTGAGTTGGTTATTTAAATGGAATAACTGTTGATACGAATTCTTTAACTGTTTAAAGCGTGAACATAATACTTAGTTCTTGAATATCTAGGTGTCATGGCATTTATACTGATTGAATAACTGACGATTTCTTAGTCCAAAATAACCTTTTATTTACCACTGACGTTTTACTGTTTAATTTGCTATCTACAGTTTTATTGACGTATTTATTTTTATTTAAATCTAAATCGCATCCCTAACAAACGGTAGATTAGTGTTTGGAAACAAGTAATTCAATGACATGATGATATTTATAATAAAACTTGAAAGTCCCAAGTTACAGTATTGAAAAATGATTTAAAATATATTCCTTATAGTGTACTTTAATTTCTAAATATTATACTTAACTTTACCAATCTTATTACGTGACAGAAACGTTATATAAAGATGTATTTTGATTCCACTGCTAACTGCAATTCAAATACACTAAAAGAAACTTGTTATTAAAAGGGAGCATCAAAGCGTCCACCCAGAACCTCTCGTATACCAACAGAGGTTGGTCACTTGTAGCCCCAAATATGAGCAACACCGGAACAATTCAAATCCCTACTGATATGACATTAGTGTGTTGAAACATGGGGATAATATGACAATCTATGTTGTTCGTAATTCTTATTAATATTTTGTATGTTTTTCGTCGATATGAGTGTTTACTGGGCTATTTCTCTTATGTAACTAATTATTATTGTTTATCGATTATTCAGTATGATATCTGTTGATTCCCTATATTTATCCATAATTTAATCCACATGGTTGTCTGCTTTTTACTTGTGACCAAAAAACCCATGTCGATAACGTTCCGTTCTTTTGTCGCTTTATTTTCCAGAAGTTTATTCAAGCTCTTCTGTCATTGAGGGCTATTATCATTATTGGCATGATAATCATTATTACTATTATTAAATCTGAATTGTCCCATTTAATGTTCTGATTTTTTCCTAAGTTCATTATAAGTTTTAGTACTCTAGCAAAGCTAAGAAAGATAATCTGGTCTAGAAAAGTGACATCGTTTTTATACTGAATACAGAGTACAAATGACACGTAATTACCATTCTTTAAATTCTTCTCTTCATCTAATGTAATCTAAATTTGCATTCCTTTATTTTATTTTTCAATGTTTTCGAATTCTTTTATATTGCCTTTTCCGTTTCTGATTTGATACAATATAAATTACACTTCAGTTTTACTCTTCTTTCAGTTCCACTCTCTTTGCCAAGTTGTATTTATTTTATAATCAATGATTTATGTAGGAAATTATTACAAAGCGCAAGTTATCGATCTTTTCATCGCATTATTGATTAATCAATTAATGATTAAGGTAAAGTCCACTTATTATTATTATTATTATTATTATTATTATTAGTAGTAGTAGTAGTAGTAGTAGTAGTCTTAGTGCTACTTCAAATGGTCGATACTATGCAATGGTAGTCTTGACTGAATTACACCGATATAATTCAATATGACTATTACAAATGTCTCATTCAGTTTTCAAACTATTTAGACACTATCCAGTCTCTGCAAACTGATCAACACAAAGCTCAATTCTGTTACAATCGCACAGGTACCATGATCTTCAATGGACCGAAATTTCATAATTATAAATATTTATACTTTGTATTGTCTTCTGAGTGCAATTATCCTGTCTTTTCTTTTCTTTTTTTAATCCACTTTTCTTAACCATTAATCCTAAATTCAAAAAAACGTGTTATGCCTTTCTATTTGAATTCGCTTAATCGGATATAATCTCTACTGTTGGCATGCTTATCGTAATCTGAAGTACAGTAGTACACAAATGTATTCACAGTAACACTTTACTACCCTTAACTTTATTGAAAGTTCAAATAATTAGATCTAATCCATTATTAACTTAACTTTGCTCTTTTCTAAATATAATTTACATTAAATAGTTGTACGGGTTTCGTTTAATACTCACCTTTTTTCATTTATTTTACTAGATAAAAATTCTTCCAAATACTTAGAAATTTGACAAACTCTAATTTTTTACGTACACTCAACATACACTGCATGCATTGAACATTGTTTATGATTAGTCTTTTACCTTTCTTTACTACAGTGTGGTTGTGGTATAATGGTAAAAGAACATATTCTAGAATTGTATTGAGTACTGTACGACAGAGCTGTGTTGTTATCTAGCCCCAGTATTGATTAATCCGCCTAGATTATCAAAATAGATGACCAATAACCTTCCTTCGACTGATAGCTTAATCAACACAAGTAACATATCACAATATAGACATAACTACACCATAAGTGAAACGGAGCTGAATAATAAGGTCACAATTAATTATCAATAACTTAAGGAAGGTAAAACGCATAACAGTAGTTTACGTACCTAATGAAAGCTCACAAACATGGAAACATAAGAATACAGTAGTTCGAACGTCTAATAATAATTATACGATAAAAGTACATAATAATAACCCTCCATAAGCTAATACTAAAAGTTACAATAATAATAATATTTACCCCGTTGGTGTAAATCAGGTGAATAACTTCTATCCAAACTGGGTCTTTTTTGTTCTCATTTCTACCATCCCTCTTAAAGCAAATTTGTTATGTAGGTTTTTCTCTTTTCATGTTAAAATGAATCAATTTTTTCAATTTACATATATTTGTTTTGGTTATAGAATAGTAATATATAATTCTCCTAATATTGTTTATTCGTTTGCTTGTATGTCCGTTTCTGTTTGTGCGCAGAAATACAAAAAGAAGAAAACAACCAGATTAGTTTGCTCATCATTTCCAAATGGAATTTTTTATGACTATTTAACAATAACTAAAATAGTGGTAAAAAAGAGACAAGGAAATTTTGTAAACACAAATGAAATTACTAAGAAAAACGAACAAAATATTTGTTTTTTTTTATCATGGTTGTTTTGTTTCCCCGTAAATTGTTTACTTTCTTTTGTAAATTACATTCATCAACAAAACAACCGTACTTTGCTTTTCTTCTGTAGCACACAGGTTGTATTATGGTCACTTTGATTGGTAATTGTTTTCTTTTTAGTTGAAAGGTTTTTTAGAGATCGGTTTAATTTGTACCTTGTCTTCAACACAGAATAATCTCCGTCGAAGTATCGTCGAAAACTAGAGAGTACTGGACAGCTACTTCGTCAGTACTGCTTCAGTAGTACAAACCCACGATCTTTTCAGGAATCGACCCCAAGATCTTGTTTTGCGCATAGTCCCTAACTTTTAAGACTACTAGATCGACATGCCATGGTTTACTTGTTTATCTTCAATCAATCCACGATATTGCTTGACCATCTTCCGTCACCCTTAGTTTGTAACTGACCTACATTCAAACTGATCGAAGTTCACTGGTCACGGATCCTCGCCAGAACTCCAGGGAGTACCTCTCAAACTGAGTCACGGATTAGTAAGGATATGAATGTTATGTGTTTAATCATCATTAGTTAACTTGGGTCAGTCGATTATACAATTTATCGTAAATAATTACTTATCTACTCCTGTTACCCCTTGTGAAGGAGCACAGGCCGTCCAACAGCATTCTCCATCGAACTCTGTCCTGGGCAATATTTTCCAGTTGCTTTTCATCCTTTTGATGTCTGCTTCCGATTGTCAGCGCAGCGTGTCCTTTGGCTTCCTTCTTTTCCGTTTCCCTTCAGGATTCCAAGCTAGCGCTTGTTTCGTGATGTCGATTGTTGATTTCTACAATGTATGTCCTATCGACTTCCAACGTCTTTTCTTATCAACTGCACGCTAGTTTGTTCTCTTTCACAGTTGGCTGTTTCTGATGGTATCCGTTCAACAAACATTGAGTATGTTTCATAGACGATCGTTCATTGATACTAGTACATTTTCAATGATAGTTGTGGTAGTTCTGAGAGTTTCTACTCCGTACAGTATAACTGTCTTAACGTTCGTATTGAAGATTTTGACTTTGATGCTGACTGACAGCCAGTTGTTGTAAATTCCATCTGTTCTTTTGATGTGGAAATTCTGTCATCGCTTTACCAATCCTTATCTTTACGCCTTCATCAGATCCTCCTTGTTCATCAATGATGCTGCCCAAATATATGGAAGTTCTCACCTCTTCAAGAGCTACTTCATTGAGTCTGATTGGTTTGGTGATCGCAAATAATTGCTGTCATTAAATATGATAATTAGTTATCCATTTGGTTCAGCTATGATTAATCAGTCAGTTTTGAATGTTTAATCGTGAAAACATGCTTTATTTAAATGACACAATATAACGTTTGATGTAATCTTTTTCTTTAGATTGACATAGAACATGTTGATTTCTGATGACAAATGGTTAGTCGATTTACTTAGAACAGTCTTTTACGACTTCAAGTTCTTACCTCATTTAGGAACTGAATACAAAACCCGCTGACATTCTCTTTAGGTATAAATCTCTAAATTATTATTATTAACCAATGCGATATTATTCAATATCTATGTTTTCATGTATATGATATTATATAAGCGTAACATAATCGTTTATTCTTATTATTTCTTTTAATCTTTCAATATAGTCCAATGAAGAAATGTCAAAAACTTTGCATTTCAAATCAAATACTTGTTGTATTGCTACTGTAAATGTCAATAATTCCCATGAAACTGTGAGTTTATAAAATTTGTCTATTAACATTTGTCTAAAAAACTGCTAATTATATTGTTTACTTAAATGTTTTTATCAGTGACATTTTTTCTAAAAGAAATTTCGATTGACTTATCCTACATTGTGTGTGTGTGTGTGTATGCGTATGTCCGCATCAATCACGTAATATTGGCATCAATTTCATTGCATGAAGTTTAGCATATCCATTAGTCAAATCATAATAAGGATAATGTGAGATTGATCTGTTTTGTTAAGTAAGCACCAATAACCAGTCACTGTTCATCACATCCCAGTATATATAATAATGACATTAACTGTTTCTTGTATATACTTGTTTGTGTGGTCTGTTGTACTAATCAGTGGATCATAAAAGCAAAAGAATCATAAAACCAACATGTTAAAATCATTTGTTCATTGAATGTGTTACTCATATTCATTCTGTGCTGCTCTGTTGTTCTTGTTTTTATTAGTATTGCTATCATAACTATTTCTGTTATTATTGTGTATTACTTCTGCTGGCAATGTGATTATCATTTTTATTGACCAGTGGTGTGGTAGGTAGTTTTGTTTCATCATCATAATTTAAAGAATATATGCTTATGTATACATAATTATATATATATATATATATATATATATATATATATATATATACACATTTACATGTAAACCCTATAACTCATTAACATTTCGTTTTATCTTTCTTTTTTTATCATTTCTTTTGTTCATTTATCAATTTTTTCATGGCTTGTTTGTTTATCTGCTTGGATATCTATGTATATGTATACATAAATACATGCATCAATATTTGTCGTTTGCATTTTCATCATTTTACTTGTATGTTATATAATTTGTTTTATATCATGCTATCTGTAGTAAATGTAGTCATTACTAGTAATTGTTTTACATATCCATTTATAATGCAGTGTAATTTTTTTGTGTTTATATGTGTTTGCATGTTTTTGTGTGAATTCTACACCGATTCATCATCTTTCATTGCCTGTTTTTCTGTTATGATTTTTATCATCCAAGACTTATGCATATTCTGCTTGTTATACATATTAGCGTGTCTGTCTGTGGGTGTGTTTACCCGCTTTTGTTCCTCTGAGCATATTATATATATGTATACAAACTAAAGTAGGCTCAACTCTTTTTCGTCCGTTTACTCTATAGGATATTAATTTATTTGTTTTAATTCTCACATTGAATATCATGTAAAGTTTTTCTTCTGATTGTCGACAGAAAAAAAGATGAAATCGCTTAACCTACTTGTTTTGTCATCAATTTAACTTTGAAATTTCTTCCCTACTGTAATTCATTTCATCATTGACTTTAAACGTTTAAACTTTTCCTCTTTCGACAGTGTTATCTATGAGATGAATTCCTTAATAATAATGATATATCTGTTAACTCATCCGCTTCCTTTTATTCTCTTCATACATAATACTTGTTTATCTGTTAGTGAAAAAGAGTAGTGCAATCGGTTGGTCAGACTCTTTTTTTGTTTTCAAAAATATTTTTAAACCTCAAATCAGGTCATCAAGATTGTCATTTGTAATTTCTACTTATATAATTATTAAGTTATTGAAACCAACCAATAGCATCCACGGTCGAGACAAACGATTAATTAGATTCTACTTCGATACTAATTAATTTCTTCGTCTTATAATTTGTACTATTCATTGTAGATGTTCTTTGTTCTGATAAATATGCAAACTAAGATGGCCTACAGCAATAATGTAAATAGATTGAATTGATTTACTGAAATTATATTTATCATACTCTGGTTTTTGGGTTTTTTTTTCCTTATACACAACAAGTTCCCTTTGTTTTACCATCTGCATATGCTCCCCCTTTTTTCTCTATTTTTCTTTACTCTTCCACTTTCAGTAATGTATTTAATAAACTACCTTATTTGTACATTTCGGATACAAATCTAATTTTGGTGTTGTTGCTTCTAGTGTTAACTCAGTTTAAATTATGTTCCTCTCCTTTTTTATTTACCATAAAATACTTGAAAGATCTCCTTTGATGATTCTATTACTGTTTGTCTCTACCTCTAGTCCCATTTGATGAGATATGTTATTCATGTATTATTCAAAACAAAATGCCCATGTATGCACTTACTACATGTAGTGATACCCTAATGCTATATGTGTACATTTGATCGGTTGTTTTCTACTATGGAATTTAATATAAAAATATTATTCTTGTCACTACTACTATTACTACTCTACTATAAGTAGCATTTACTATCCTTATCGACAACAACTAAGAATTGAGACAAATCATTAGTTTTCTCTTACTGTGATTTGTTTGTTCGTTTGTTATTGCTCCATGCTCAACAGTTGTTTGCGTTTATTATATTGTATAAAAGAAACATGAAATAAAAAGCAAATAAGAATGTGTTTCGTCTCACATTACAGTGTTTGACTGAACTGAGTAAGTTTTGTCATTAGATTGTTTTTTTCCTTTGAGACTAATAATTTTTCCTCTCATTATAATGCTGTGATAATTTACCATTGATTGTGTTCAGTGTCATGTTTGTCTAGATTTTTTTTAAATCCCTACTGCTGGTCGAACCCTACTGATCAAGTTGCAATTTGACCAATGATCTAATTGACTTCAACATTTTAGGGATTATATTTTAATGTTAAACAATAATTGAAGATAGTGATCAGCAAGAAATTTTGTTTGATTTTTGTTCAACATATTCCTTATATCGATGTATCGCTAAATAAAACTAAGTTATTAGTATACTAGATTAATAATATTGGGATCAAATACTCATACATGTTTTTTGTATCCTAACCGCTTATATTGATATTCAGATTATAAACATTCCTTTTTATGTGGTAATTCTTCATGTGAATCATACCTGTATTCAACCGTGATGTTTCCATAATTACTCCTTAGGGGAATTTTTAGCTTTTGAAATCACTTGATTTTTATCTAGCGGCGTCAATAAATTGCAATGAATATTTCGTGTAAACAGATGTTAGTTTGTTTTTGAATTTAGTTTACCGTGTACTTGATACATTAGTAATCGACTACTCCACAGAGAAAGTTCGAAGTAGTAGAACAAATTTGTAGTTCAGAGAGATAGGTTCATACAGTGGTGTTGCGTTCACTGAAATATGTGGTTTAACTGAAAGTTTTTTTTCTCGTCACCCTAAATAAAATTATCAAAGTCAACTTCAAATGTAAATGAATATTTTAGAACGATTTCACAGGTTCCACATCGATCCGTTTTGATGATTTCGTTAAAGATTATTTACAATTGTGCAGATGCATTCTTTTTCTTACCCGAAATTCTGAGATTCTATATTCCTCACACCTTTTTATTAAACCTTAACTTGGCTTATTTATATTTTCTTTTCGAGTCGTATCTTCGATGTATAATGCTTCCTATTACCACTGATACTGTTACTAACTCTTTTAATCAGTGGACTTATTAAGACCAGTTAATAAAATCGTAGTCTAATAAATTATGAGAAAAAAATACTCAGAGAATTTTTTTGGCATTTCATTAGCGTAAACAGGCAGATAGAGAGTGGATGAATGAGTGAATAAATGAGAGATATAGACAAAGACGCTAGTTAATAAACTTGAATGACGAAAAGGAAATGTATATTGATTGTTACTGGCCTTTCTTTTTTGCTCCAACTTTGTTTCTTTCTCTCCTTAGTCAGGCTATTTTAAAAATGTCATCGTTTTAATTTACTGGTACACACGGACATATTTTTATACTTAACTGTAATTCTAAAATTATCAAGAATAAAAAAATCTCAACTATTTCTCTTTATTTCCCTCCTCCTCTCTTTCTCCCTTCTGTATTCCATCTTCAGACTACCAAATCTGCTTCATCATTATTATTATTATGTAATACAAAGACTATTGGAAATAACGATGAAAATATTGATGTCAATATGACCAATCATCATAATGATGCTAATAATTGTAATAATGTTACTAATTCCCCTATTATTAATAACAGCTTTCAATATGATCCGAAAACAGTTAACATTGATTATTGTGCAGTAAAAAATGTTCAAATCCCTGTAACTTCTTGGTAAGTGCACAATGACATTATGATCGATATAATGTTAAAAACAGTATTATTCGCTTATATATGTTTGCTCTACTTCATGTTTATCAATGCTTCTTATTCACTTTAACCATAATGTAAGTGATCTGTTCACCAATATACACATAGACTAAACCACTGAGGCTGTAAGATATGAACATAACTTGACAAACAATTATTCACTTTGTACATAAAATTCCACTGCCACCACGATAATTTATTCGATCGATCACTTTCTCTTATTATCACAATTTGCCCCCACTATCTATCATTCTTAAAATGTGTAATATTTACTCAAGGGTGACACTATCAGGCAGTCACATGGAAATAATGAAGATGAACAACCTGTCTTCTAATGACTATCGAAGATGTTTAGCATAATGGAGATGGAAATGAGACAAGTGTGTTGTCACAAATGGGGAGTATTTTCGACAACGTAAGATAAATGTAGTCTAAATTCTATAAAATGAAATTCTTAGAGTTGTAGTTTGAATAATTATTTGACAGTGGTGCACATGTGCTTTGTGGTTTATAATTTTGTTCATTTAACTTCATCGATCCTCACTTGATGATCTAAGTTATGGTAGGTAGTCCTTTACTAACAATCCTAATTTCCGGTTTTTTTTTCGCTTGCTGTAAACAGGTTTCCTAACATAACATGATAAATCCAAGCCAATCGTTTTTTTAGACAGAAATACCTCAGCTAATATATATATATATATATATATATATATATATATATATATTTAAAAGTGATTGTTATTGATGTCTTGTATCAGTTGAGCAACAACGTACTGAAGTTTGAAATGGAAGTTATTGCATTCGAGTCTTTGTGTGAACATCAATACTGGGATCATTGGCAATCCAGTTAATTAGTCCCAGATAAGATAGAACTTGCGTCCTGAATCCTGCCACTATCCATTTATCTAATACACTGGGAGCTATCGATAGGTTTCAAATTTTATTTAAGATTTCATTCTCATGTGATAATTGATTACTGTACAATAATATAAAATCAGAGGACAGAAAGGTTTAAACGTGTATCTCTTTCATTGACTAGATGCATAAATATTCTAGTCTTAGTCAAATATATTAAAAGATTGCCGTTTTAGTCCGGAAATTACACTTTGTAAATTTGTTCAGTTGTTAAAATTATCATATGTGCTTAATTAATTCCCATAAAATCCTGGGAAATTTTTTGTTTGAATGAACGAACCTTCCAGAATGTTAAGTACATTTTATTCTTTTAATCCATCAATTTTCTAATATTCATAGTTTAAATCACAAATTGATCCCAGTTCGATCATCTTTGAAAACATGGGAGCACTGGGTTCCTTTTTCGTCTTAGTATATAAATTTTCACTATTACATATTCACAACCGGGTATCGGACCCAGGACCTTCGGTCTCGTGCATGAACGCTTGACCTCCAGAACACTAGGACGTAATCCAGCGGTGTATGTCTAACGTCAATAAATCCATAACATTCCTCAACCGTTGTACATTTCTTGCAGTGGGAGCTGTCTCACAATCGACTTAGTCGAACTCCACTGACCATAAATTCACACTAGAACTCCAAAAGTTCTCTTCCCGGATATGAGGTTGTGAATGCTCACTTCTAAGGAGCCGTTCCAGTGCTTTCAGGTCTTCGATGATGGTCGAGCCAAGATCAGTTCGTGATTTCAAAAATGAAAGTTATACAATCTCAACAAACCTTCCTATACTACTAATCTTTGTATGAGTAGTATCATTATATTTTAGATAGACACTAAACAATATTCATGAATGATATTGGATTAGATTATTTTCGTCAGCTTTCATCAGTAAACTTAGTGTCTTTCGTGCCTTAGTACATATTTTCCATACCTAATTGTGCATATAAATAATGATTGAACTGGGGGGTTTTAATACAAATCAAACCATATAGTTTTCATTTGTGTGTCGTTTCAAAACTGGGGATACCACCTACCTGCACGAATCCCAAATAGGTGAAAGTACCACTTTTTAACCATGGAAACTAAGCTTATCAAAATTGAATTACTTGAATGTTATCATTATTTGAAATAGCTTACAGTTATTCCAAATTACGAACGATTGATAGATTTTTATTATACGAAATGCGATCCACGCGAACTAGATAGATCAAACAATTAGTACTCAACAACAACGTCCCAAAGTTATTAATCCACATGTGAATGTGAGGGAAAAATGTAACTTTCTGGAGAGTTTTTATATTCTCAGTTGAAATAAAAATGGTAATAGAACAACTCCGTTTAAATAGCAACGAATATGACAGTTGCGACTGCCAAAAATGGAAAAATACGTTCGACAACAACCAATTAGATAGCAGCAAAGATCAGTGTAGAAATCTCTATTAAAGTTTATTCGTCAGAACCACAATTTACCAACAACTTTTCACAACACTGAGGTTGAAATTAAAAATTCCGAATTTCACCGACATTTAAGTAAGCATGAAGCGGAAGAGTTGCTTGTTGACTTTTTAACCTCGTGTGCAGCTCAATATTCTTATCAGTCGAACTAAAACTGGTGAAATAAGCTTCAGTTTAACTTACAGTATAGATGTATATATTTCTCATCAAATGATATTAAATAGATTTATTATCGTGATACATTATTTTCTTTCTTACTGTTCTCCTGGTCGATAATAAAATTCTGGATGTGATTATGTGTTCCACATCCTAAATAAATGTTTAAATATCGATTGTCAATAAAATCAGCTCAACTCTTAAACATTTAGATTCAATTCCTTCATCTAATTCAAATGGTACGTCTGAGCATAGCCATCATCATTATCGTCGCCGCCGTAGTCATCATCCCTATCGCGTTAACGAAAAATTCTATCTAAATTCAAAGTGTTGTTATAGTAATTTAGGTAAGTTGATATATATGCGCTTTCCGTTTATATGTAATTAATTATGTTATATTTGATTGTCATAATTACCGTCGGTTGACCACTAATTAATTAGTAACCGATGTCATGTTTATTTAATCCTAGTTGAATTCTACCGACCAAGTATCAGTATTTCAATGTAAGTGACTGAACATTGAGTTCATTGTGTTAAAGTTGCGTGGACACTATGTTGAATCATTTAGATCAGTGATTACATCATAATTCTATCGATAGAATTCTGTCATTACTGGATAGACATGATATCAGTTACTGCTCGGTGATCAATCATTTTAGTTGTCTCAGTCCTACATAAGACTAGTTGTGACCTGTATACTTCAATAGTTATTCGTCAGACTGTGATACCCAACTTTGTGAGTAAACGAACCACGAGAAGCATAACTTCTCTCAAGAGTATAGACATATCTTACTAAAAATTCCCTATTAACACAAAACCTAGTTCTAGAGTTTCCTGCTGACTGGTTTTAATCACCTTTTTTACTATATATGCAGAGATAAATTGTTGTATAATTTTAAACTAATATCACGAGAAGTAAAGCCTTACTGGTTTTGTGACCTTCATTCTGATGGTTTCTTAACTATTTGTAATTATATATGTAAGTGCTTGTAAAGAGTCTTCAAGTAAAACAAATCAAATATCTAATGTACATTGACCTTTTAATGTGTTTTATTCAAACTCGTTCAGCGTTTTAACAAGTCTGTTACAGTTTAGTTCTAGAAGCTATTTACTAAAGTTCTAAAAATTTCATTTTATAGAATTTAGACTACACTTATCTTACGTTGTCGAAAATACTCCCCATTTGTGACAACACACTTGTCTCATTTCCATCTCCATTATGCTAAACATCTTCGACAGTCATTAGAAGACAGGTTGTTCATCTGCATAAACATTTCATTATTTCCATGTGACTGCCTGATAGTGTCACTCTTGAGTAACTATTTTACATTTTGAAGAGTGGAGGGAAATCGTAGGAGCTAATATTAATGAATATTGCACGCTATTTAGCGCGACAATAGAATTGCGAGCCAGTGGATTAATAATCGAAGAATCATGCCACCCAGCATCTACTAACGTGATTCACAGCCTCAGTCAAAGGCCAATGATAGTGTACCTGGTTACCGATCCTATGTCAATAAATAGTTTGTTTCTCAACTGTAAATAAAACTGTCATTTATGGATAAATACTAATAATATGATTTATGTAATTATCATAGTATTATTTTTTCCTCTCTATGTCTTTACACCTTCAGACCAAAGTTCAAAAAAACGTCTTTCGAATTATTCATCGTCATCAACAGAAATATTATGTGATTATCAACATAATCTATATAAATACCAATCAAATGATAACATTGTTATTGATGATGATCATGACAGTGATGATGATGATGATGATATGGATCGTGATAAGTCATCAATGACATGTTATCAATGTTTAACAGATGATTCCGATTTGAATTATGATGCTACTACTCCTCTGTCTGATCCTGAAACTGAACGTTATAGTTATAAATTAGATTTATTCAGTGAATTAAGTCTTTCGTCAGTCTCTGGCGATGCTGGTGACCGGACATTAAATTTGAATATTAAGAAAAATCCAATAACTAATAAATCCACTTCACATAAATGTTACTATAATCATGGTAAATATTTAAGTGATAAAAAATGTAAATATCGTGTTGTATATCGTCAACCGAGAATAGATTTTAGTCAAATGGTACTTGTACCATTTGATCCAGCCTCGTGGAATGGTCCAGTGTTAAAACCGAGAACAGCGTTGAATTCAGAAGAACTACAACTTATTGTCGATATGCCTAATTCATTTTCTTCTTTACAAAATAATAATAACCGTGTTGATCAACAACCTGATAAAAATATAGAAAGAAGAGCGCATAATTCCATTGTTGATGTTGATAGCATGTATAATAAACAAAATGGTGAGTGAGGTAATTTTTTTCTTTTCCTAAATTACTGGTAAGAATACTACTGCGTTATATCTTTCTGAATCGTATTTCATCTGTGATTTTTGCTGTTATATCCCCTTTAGTCTGGTAGTTTTATTGTCTCAAAGTAATTGCATATTACTAAATATATACGCAGAGGTGTTCTTTTAAAATCTGACTATCCTGACTTCGTTGAACATCAATCTATTTTTTTGCGCTACTATCTTTCTGGATTTTATTGTTTGAGAATAATTTATAAAGTGTTGTATATGGCGATGGCCGTTCTATAGAGTTCACATCAGTTCACGCTTATATCAAAAGATTCTCAACGGCGAATGTAACAGTTAAACAGACTGAAAAAAGGAGAAACCGTTGGTGTCTGTCTGTTTTTTCAGTCATTTTAATCAATACTGCTTTGTAATTCGACTAGTTGAACGTATATAAATTCCGTTTACTTTAAGCTATACTCGCTTATTAAAGATGATGTTTCATGAGAAATCGTTTACTTATCATTTTACTTGATCAATCAGCATTCATTTCCATCGCTTTCTTTCAAGAGCTGCGATTTCTACCATAGATTGGTCGATACCTGTCAGGTTTATTCACATTGTCAATTGTAATTATCAGAAACCGTCTCTTTCCAATAGTTTGATTCCTATTCTGGAATAAGGGATAATAAGATGTGAAAAATAACTTTCCCAGATGTTACTTATTTTCAGCTCGTTGATTAATTGCGTTGTAGATTTATACAGATGATTTTTGTCGATTGAGTTATGTTACTGTCATCATGACATTCTGATATTAGGTGATTATGTAGTGAACGAACACTCAGTCAGGGAAAACCAATCTATTGTTTGTGCTGTCCTACTTTATGGCAGTGAAACATGGCCGGTAAGAGTAGAGGATATTTGTAGGCTACTAGTATTCGATCATAGATGTCTTCGAAACATTGCTCGTATATTCCGTGACCATTGAGTAAGTAGTGAAGTTGTTAGGAAAAGGGTACTAGGTAAGGATGGCAAATCGATTGATGAAGTAGTGAAAAGTCATCAGTTGAGATGGCTGAGACACGTGTTACGTATACCCAACCACCGACTGCCCCGACATGTTATGTTTTATAGTTTGGAAGAAAGCTATGGTTGGCGAGACCAAAACATGGCACAAATCCCTGACTGCCTGCAAAATTACACAGTGGCTTAGTAAAATATGAAAATCATTCATCAAATACATTTGCACATCTTTGCGTTGTCCTTTACCTACTCCATTATTTTTCTAACTATGTTGTTATTTTGCTTTCTCTCCTATTTTGTTTCTGTTTTCTTCAATTCATTTTCTTGCTGCCAGGCATTCCCCTTCCTATTGATACATACTACTTTTATCTGTCAGCATAAACCACAATAGTTTTAATTTGCAAAGTTTTGCTACTCATGAGTAACAAACATCAAAATATCGTAAATTAGCTATAGACAATATGTCCCACATTGAATTTCCAGTAGTAAATGATGATAGACACGAATAGGTTGTCAAACAATCATGATAAAATGAACCGGAGATTTCCTTCATGATGCTCTTATACAGTTCCATAAAACTTCCTTTTGTATAAACTATTTTTAGTTCTATTGTGATTTATAATCTTCTGAGTTGTTCTAAAGAAAAAACAACAGATTGCGTATTGCTCTAAAATATTATATATTGTAACTGACTGACTTTTCTTCCTGTAAACCAATCACCTGTATACGACATGCTCATTGAATGTCTTTTTGACATCGAATTAAGAAAAATAATAAACAAACTTTATTTACAACAAAACTTTTCTTACCTACTGACAAGTTCCGTCTATAAATGTTGATGATCATTAATCAACTGAGAGATTTAGTCTTTCATCAGTCATCCTTACAGCTATAGACTTTATCAGTAAATTTCTTTTTCATTCGTACTTTTTTTGTTATCGAGTTTCGAGCTACCTAATCAAAACATCAGTTAACAATAGGTGGAAAGAACTTGAATAAATTGATTCATTCATCCCACATACATAGCTCCTGGTATTGATGTAAAACGAAATGCGAGATAGGTTCATCTTTCTTCTCTACCAACAGTTACATTTACTATTTTGTTGAAGCTATCGGAACCACATCTCATCAAATCTATTTGGGGAATTTATTACAATAAGTTTATCTACAAGCTGAGATTAATGGGTGATAGCTGGCAGTGAAAACCAAGATAGACATTCCATCCTAGTTTTGAATCGTCAGCTGCATATACCTGCATCCCAAAATTATTGTTCACTCTGGAACTCTAATCCATTCCCGTCCTCTTCAAACTCCATCGCATTATCCACTTAGCTACTTTTTCTAGATAACCACTGACTTGTACAGTAGGGTGAAGTTTAATTCATTTGTATTGATTGTTTGAATCTTCCTATTAATGCTTAGAACTGCAATTGATCAGTTTCTTTTGGCATATGTGCATTTTATGCGGATTTAGTGGGAATATCAAGGTAATCCGCACAGGATACACATATTCCATAAAGAGATTAACCAATGGGAAAATTCAAACAATCAACACAAAATGAGTTTATCCATCAGTTTGTTATTTCTTCTATAATTTCATTGAACTTTTATCAAGTTATTTATTTATTTATTTACACATATAAATATTGATACAAAGGGGCACCAGATATATATGCACCGCATAAATGTCATTTGATTTGTGTGAGAGCTGTGATACTGCCGAGGTGCCGAAATTGAAGCAGGTGGTTTTTTTTAGGGGGCCACACCCGGAGCCTTTGACCTAAAGGCCTGACCCACAAGGCAGTGGAGCATCGTGAGGAGATGCAGTCCCATGCTAGCCAGTGACCAACGATTGATTCATACGCCATTTGTTCCCTCAGGATACTGGAGCCCATTTGCACCATTGGTTTGGAATCAGGGTTTTCCAACTCTAATTTTATTTATCTTTACAATTTTCTAAAGTTTATGTTATTGTTAATTTAGTTATCCATCTCCTAACTTATTATATTCTGTTATAACAGGATACAAAAACAATACAATCACTTCCTTTTTTTAAACTCATTTTGATTTGTGTACAGTATTACTTTTGATTTTTATTTCAACATGACGATTACTGAGTGTAATATTCGTCTTATTTTCAGTGTGATGTTTCGTTTAATACAACATTGATTTATTTTAATTTAATATTTATAGCTTGGTTTTTTTTAGTAATTTGTGGTAAGCAACTGTGTAATAGTTATTAAGTAATCATCAATTTATAAGTGAGTGTATTGATGGATTTATTTCCGGGACTAAATCAATCTACATCGTTAGTCTTTATGTTCTCACTGAATGTTGTTGAATTCAGAAGTCCCAGTACAAATATAAAACCAGTTAAATATTCTTCAGACATAACATTTTTTATTTAGATATGACTACATAATTGTAACATAGAAATTCCCTTACCTGACTCTTCATATATTTTCCCCTCTAGTTGTGGAAATGAAATGTACTGCATTTAATTTCAGCGATATATGTGTATATATATTTTTTCAGAAATCAATTCAACACTATAGTACATAAATTCATCTGTATACTACAAAATTGTGTACAGAATATGTTCAAATGTGTTCGCCTTGCATTCATCCTATGCACTTATGGGGTTATTTTATTATAGATTGAGTCCATCACTAATACCGTTTTTTTCCTCGAGAAAATATTGTGACGACATGGTTTCATACTCTGTTGGTTTAATGCATTCAGTTTCTTGTATAAATTTGAGTCAAAATAACAACAAGAAAGTTCTATTAAATGTAATGAATAAATGTTTGTTTTCCTTTCATTGCCTTCCCCTTAACTGTGTATATAATCTATCAATTCCAGACAGTTCATGTTTTATCTCATACATATACACTAGTATGCAGTTATTTTGTATAAAATAGTCGAATTGGTACCTCTCACTTTTCATTCATTCTCTATATGATGTTAGTCCATGATGAATACTGCCTTCAAATTACACAAAAAGTCTAACAATCAGTACTAATCAATTTAAATTCACCCACCATGTCCTTTTTTAGCCCTTGATTAGCCCAACTATTCAAAATGAGAAAAACAATGTCTGTTAAGTTCTATTTTTTTCAAGCCTATTAAGATACTCACAACTTATGGGTATTTGTAGACGGCTAAACTAACTACTTACTTACTTACGCCTGTTACTCCCAATGGAGCATAGGCCGCCGACCAGCTTTCTCCAACCCACTCTGTCCTGGGCTTCCTTTTCTAGTTATACCCAGTTCTTGTTCATTATTCTCATGTCTGTCTCTATTTCTCGGCGTAATGTGTTCTTTGGTCTTCCTCTTCTCCTTCGACCTTCAGGATTCCATGTGAGGGCTTGTCTTGTGACACAATTGGGTGATTTCCTCAAAGTGTGCCCAATCCACTTCCAGCAATTCTTCCTGATTTCTTCCTCTGCTGGAATCTGGTTTGTTGTCTCCCACAGTAACTTGTTGCTGATAGTGTCTGGCCATCGGATCCGAAGTATTTTGCGTAGACAGCTGTTAATAAACACTTGTATCTTCTGGATAATGGCTTTCGTATTTCTCCACGTCTCCGCCCCATACAGTAGAACTGTCTTGACATTTGTATTGAAAATTCTAACCTTGGTGTTGGTTGACAATTGTTTTGAGCTCCAGATGTTTTTCAGTTGTAAGTATGCTGCTCTTGCTTTGCCGATCCTTGCCCTCACATCTGCATCAGATCCACCGTGTTCATCAATGATGCTGCCCAGATATGTAAAGGTTTCCACATCCTCCAAAGCTTCTCCGTCAAGTGTAATTTGATTGTTGCATATTGTATTGTATCGGAGAGTCTTGCTTTTCTCTTTGTTTATATTGAGACCTACTGCTGCTGCTACACTGGTCGTTTTCTCCTGCATTCGTTGTTGCGTTTGTGATAGAAGAGCCAGATCATCCGCGAAGTCTAAATCGTCAAGCTGCATCCTGCCTGTCCACTGTATCCCGTGCATTCCTCCAGATGTTGACGTCTTCATAATCCAGTCGATCACCAGGAGAAAGAGAAAGGGTGAGAGTAAGCAACCTTGTCTAACACCGGTCTTTACTTGAAACGAGTCGGTGAGTTGTCCTCGGTGGACAATTTGGCAGTTTAGTCCATCATAGGAGTTCCGTATGATATTTACTATCTTCTTAGGCATGCCGTAGTGTCGAAGAAGCTTCCATAGTGTCGTCCTGTCCACGCTATCAAATGCCTTCTCGTAGTCGATGAAGTTGATGTAGAGTGATGAGTTCCATTCGATTGATTGTTCCACAATGATCCGCAGAGTTGCGATTTGATCTGTGCACGATCTATCCTTACGAAATCCAGCTTGTTGATCTCGAAGTTTGGCGTCCACGGAATCCTTCATCCTGTTTAACAATACTCTGTTGAAGACTTTTCCTGGTATTAAGAGAAGAGTGATGCCCCTGTAGTTATCGCACTTGCTAAGATCACCTTTCTTTGGTATCTTGATCAGAAGTCCTTCTTTCCAGTCTGTTGGTACATGTTCTTCGTCCCAAATCTTACTGAAGAGGATGTGTAATATCTTAGCAGTTGCTGTTACATTTGCTTTCAGTGCCTCTGCCGGGATGTTGTCTGGTCCCGCTGCTTTGCCACTCTTGACTTGTCTAATGACCATGCTGATCTCTTCAATTGTTGGTGGGCCAATATCGATTGGGAGGTCTGTGGGTGCTGCTTCGATGTTGGGTGGGTTCAGTGGGGCCGGTCGATTCAAGAGTTCTTTGAAGTGTTCTACCCACCTGTTTCGTTGTTCTTCAATGTCGGTGATTACTTTGCCTTCCTTGCTTTTCACTGGTCTTTCTGGCTTACGGTTATTTCCAGAGAGTTTCTTTGTTGTATCATACAATTGTCTCATGTTTCCTTCTCTTGCAGCCTTTTCCGCTGTCGTTGCTAAATCTTCAACATATTTACGTTTGTCGGTTCTGATGCTCCTGTTCACTTGCTTGTTTGCCTCTGTGTATTCGGCTTGTGCCTTGGCTTTTTCCGCTCTGGTTCGGCTGGTGTTGATTGCTGCCTTCTTCCTCCTTGCTTCAATCTTATCCAGTGTACCAACAGTGATCCATTCCTTGTGATGGTGCTTCTTTTGGCCCAGAACCTCTTGACACGTTGAAACGATTGCCTCCTTGATACCCTTCAAGTTGCTCTCCATGGTAGTCCCCTCTCCATTGAGTAGGTTATGAAAGGTCTCGAACCTGTTGCTGAGGGCTATGTTGAATTTGTTGAGTTTGTCAGCATCTCGAAGAAAGGCCGTATTAAACTTTTGTGATGTTGTCCGCACAGTTGTCCAGTGCTTCTTGAGTTTTAGTTTCATCTTGGTGACCAGCAAATGATGATCGGATGCTATATCAGCTCCTCTTCTGGTTCTCACATCCTCCATCGTCCTCCTGAACTTTTTATTGATGCAGATATGGTCGATTTGATTTTGTGTAGTGTGATCCGGTGAAATCCAAGTGGCTTTGTGTATGTTTTTGTGTGAGAATATGGTGCCACCTATGACCAGTTTATTGAAGGCACATAGGTTTGCAAATCTCTCACCATTTTCGTTCCTTTCTGCCAGTCCATGTTGTCCCATGACGTCTTCATATCCAGTGTTGTCCATTCCAACCTTAGCATTGAAATCTCCCATCAGAATTGTCAGGTCCTTGGTTGGGCACTTCTCGACGATCGACTGCAATCTGTCGTAGAATTGGTCTTTATCGTCTTCATCGTAGTCATTGGTAGGCGCATAGCATTGGATGACGTTCATTGTAATGCCCTCTCTCTTTGTTCTGAAGGAGGCTTTGATGATCGTTGGTCCATGAGATTCCCATCCTATAAGTGCATTTTGTGCTTTCCTGGACAGCATCAATGCAACTCCTTGTGTATGTGGGGCATTTTCTTCTTCATGACCGGAGTATAACAGAAGTTCTCCTGAAGACAGTCGTTGTTGTCCAACCTGCGTCCAATGTGTTTCGCTGATTCCAAGAACCTCCAGGTTGTATTTTCTCATTTCTGCAGCAATTTGGAAAACTCTTCCGGTCTCCCACATTGTTCGGACATTCCATGTACCTATAAAAATTGTCGCTCTGGTTGTAAGAAGGTGCATCGGCCTCATGACTTCCGAATAAACTCGGCTTTCATCATGAGACGTCATAATTATTCCTTCAACCCCCAGGGCAGAGTTTGAAAGGTTTGAATGATTTTTTCTGGTTAGCGTTTTTTTAGCGAGTTGATTTTCTACGGGATGGGGTCGCTAACCCCATGCCCAACCCTCCTCCTTTACCCGGGCTTGGGACCGGCAGTAACCCCCAGAGGAGCTACAGGCGCTAGACTAACTAAGATAAGAATATATAGGCAGTGACCGAGGCCTGTATTAGTTGTTGCTCTGGTTGTTACAAGTGGAATCGCCCTCGTGACTTCCGAAGAATCTCGGATTTCACCATGAGGCTTCATAATTGTCCATTCAACTCCCAGAGCAGATTTTAGTTGTTTAATTAGTTTATTTAGGTTAGCGTTTTTTTAGCAAGGTTGTTTTCTACAAGATGGGATTGCCGACCCCACGCCCAGCCCTCCTTTACCCGGTTTTAGGACCGACATTAGCCCTAGAATAGCTATATATATATATATAATAACTTCTCCACAATCGCATCTAATTTATGATATGCTGTTAAATCATCTTGTCACGTGCTTGATTATCGTTGACGTATCAACTTCACGTCCACCTGCAGATAGTATCCAGTTCTTTGAAATATGGACTATTTTTTGTCTGTGTTTACTAAAGCATATTCATACGCATCTCTTCATTCTTCAACATACTAACCGATTTATTTACCTGTAAATAAGGATGATATGACGATTAATTGCTTATCTTTATCCACATGATTAAACAGCATCTACTGTAAACGGAAATCGATTTCATGTTAGTTGATATACTACTGAATACACTCTTCATTTTGAATAGAACGTATAGCATACGCGAAATTTGTGCAGCACAAACACTATCATTCTTGGTTTAATGAGTTGCATTTCCTTTAAATTTTTTTCATTGCTCTACACTATAGTAAAATCTATCGACAATGAAGCTGTTCGTATGAGAAAAGCACATCCCAAAACTGTAATCAGTAAATTATTCAGGTTAGTATTATTGTCTTGATTTAATAAAACTATTATCTACAGTTTGATGTCCACCTATAGTATATATATATATACTTTTAACGATTCCCCAGCTTCCAAAGTCTTTTGAGGAATTATCAAGGACTTCATATGACAGACTGACTTAGACTAAATACCCGCTAAAATTTCAAGTCAGTCCGGGATGGGACCCTTCAAGTCCAACAATATCCACATCGCCCTATAAGTAGAAATTATAACTTATAGGGAGAGGGAGAGATTATTTTGAGTATTGCCATAGGTACCAAAGATTGTTTGTCACTAATTGAGGTATCAATCAGAAACTTACTAGAAGTCATTAGGTACTAAACATCTTCAACAAGACTTACTATTATCAACATAAATCTTTTGAGATGATGGATAGTAGTTTTAGCTGAGGTATAGGATTTTAAAAGTGTTTTGTTCTCTGAGATCAGAGAATTTTTTGTTTTTCTGGTAAAACCATCTCGACTTCATGCATTTTCGAAATTCAATTAATGAGCTTTCTCAAAATAAAAGCGAAAAAAGTTGCTAGCATTTTAAACAAAACAAACATTTTCTATCGTATAATTTTAAGCTGTGCATTGTAGAGACGCTGCAGTAATCTTGCCACACAAAAAATTGAAGGTGCTCATCTACTATCCGCCTTGCTAAGAATGGGTACCCCAGCAACTTAATGAGGACATTTTTTACGAATCAACTCATTGTCGAAAACCAACCTCAGAAACTAAGAAATAGATTGTCATACCATATGTAGAAAAATATCTCAAGAGTCGTTAGTTCAATCTTATTGGATTCTGTAAATGCGCGTTATTTTGGGAGTTTTAAATTATCAGGAATTACGTTCACTAGCTTTTCAATGTTGAATAATTCTCCAACTTGATTTCAAGTTACAATATAAATTACGTTCAACTTACACAAAATCTTTACAAAACTAATTTGGACAAGAAAACATTTTTTATTGCTTCTTTCTCTTTTCTCCTACTTTCCTATTTTAGTCTAGTTAAAACAACTGCTCATCGACGTACTACTGGTGATCAGAATACAATATCAGATTTCGAAAATACTGCAGAATCTCAATTACCTACAGATGATAGTGTTCGAACAATTTTTTCTAGTGAAAATGCTAATGCTATAGAGAAAAGAAATAATTGTTTAATAAATTTACCAAATCATACAAATACACTTCCAACTATACAAAATCATTTATATGTAGAAAGTTCAACAAAGAATTTACTTAAACCTCAATCAGATCAGTCAATCGACTTACAACTTTATGCGAACAACAAAATTACTAATTCTAATGAAAGATCACGTTCATCTTGTTATGCGACACTTCATGAAAGGTAGTTAGCTTTCTTTTCTTAACAACATATCTTAAATGATTATTATTACATTATAATCCTTTCATTTATAAATGATTAAGTAATAACAAGACGGTTGACGGTTATAATGTATATCAAACTGCTAGATAATTTGAAATGAAACCCAAAACAGAACGATGTGTTTAGTTAGTTTTTTTTAAAGGTCATCCGAAACCCTCAATCAACATTTATCAACAATATATGCAGAGATGTGTGGTAGCTGATAGTGAAATCCAGGACGTGCTCTTCGTCTTGTTTGGAACTCGTCATCTGGATGTATATACATCTCAGAGTTAATGTTCACCCTATCAAAGCGAATGGTACTGGGTCCGAGTCCCAGAGTGAACATCATTTCTGAGATGCAAGTATATCTAGCTGACGAGTCCCAGATGGGACGAAACACCCATCCTGGATTTCAATGAAAGACACCATCCATCTGTGCTTATAATGCTTGTGACTTAATGGCAATATAGAGTCAATCCGCTCAGAATCCATGTAACGTGAGAGATCAAATAATTGCAATCCTTAACGTCAATAGGAAGTTTAAAACAACCAAGAAAGATGAATTTATCAACATTATACGTAACCGTCTGTTACGGATAACACTGAATACTAACTTCTTTCGTGTTAAACGGCTAAGTCATATGACGATATGTGAGTTATAGTGTATTTGAAGAATAGATTTTTAGTGTTGCTTGTTTACCATTGGTTTACTAACTGACTTTTTTGTGGACCAGTATCTGACTCCGTTTGGATCGTATGAATGAGTGTTATTGAAATATTAGTCGCCAATCCTCTTATATGGTCATCAACTTAAATCGCGTTAGTAAATAACGGAATTGAATAAGTTGAATACGAAAATGAATTTTGAATACGTATATTTTGTACAATCGTTGATCGGAACAAACAATCAGAGAGACGTAGTGAAGGAAGCGAAGAAGAGAGCACGAAACGAAAACAAATGACATGCAGTGGAGAAGGCGAGTGAACCAACTCAATTTAAACAAGCGGATCTGAAATTATTAGTAATAGTTTGTAATTTCCCGGTATCTGTGCATCCTAAGCAAAATACACTGATATAGCTTTTCAGTTACTAGGTATATATATATATATAGTTTTTGAAATGTTTATTTTTAGACTTGAACCTCCAATCCATATTTATGATACTGCACATAATATTAAAATAAATAACACTAATGATCAAAAATCTGATCTGTCGAATCCAAGTAATGAACAAGTAACATTACTGGATGCGAAATATCCCGCTTCTTTCGCACCTCAGATTAATATCACTCAAACAACTACAGAAAATGTGGTTGTAAACCAACCTGAGGATACCAGTTTAACACAATTACAAACAACAAAGTATGCTGATCTATCGTTTTTACCAAATTCGTCTTTAAATAGTCCGTTATCATGTATGCCATTATTATTGACAAATAGCAATAATACTACCACTAATAATACTGACATTGTTCAAACAACAACACTGTTTAATAAAACAATTAAAGATTTAACAAGTCAACAACAGTCACAACATCGTTCCATCTCTTCAGCTAACCAACATCATCTTACTAGTTTATCTAAAAGTACTGTGAATCGTCTGTATGATATTGAAATCAGCTCATGTTCAACAGCTTATGAATCAGTTATGGAGGTAAGATTGGTTTATTTCAAATTTAATATCCATAAAGTATATTCATTATTAAGTCACATGATCTTACTCATTGTTTGGATACATTGTTCTGGTAGATGTTTACGATGGAATTCAAGATGCGCTGAACTTTATCCCATTTGGAACTTTTTCAGCTGATATTCCGATCAAAACTTGAACTTGATACCCAATGTTTTAAAAATTATGGCTTATTGTACTACAATTTTTAATTTAACTGTTGCAACTCAGTTTATAGGTTTGTGTACTCAATGTTAAGTCATGCCTTTTATTTGTAGATTAATGATACTATCCGGCTGACCGAGACAGAAATGAATAGTGTGTCTGGAATTTACACAGTGCTGACTAAATCTTAAATCATTCAGCCATCAACCTGATCATTTTGTTGTATATAAAAAGTGGAAGTTAATTTAAATTTGAACAGTAATTCCTGTTTTCTCTCAATAGTAGAGAATATCTGGTTTAAAACAACTAATATGTTGATAATAATGAAGTGTTAAATATCTGCTTATTTGTCAATCAATTCATAATATTGCGCGATCATCTTCCATTGTCTTTGAAGGATACTTTCCCTACACCCGACACATTTTAACTCTACTGATCACATTTAATCTGTTCAAATCTCACAACATTAATATACAATTTAACTAGAATCCTCCACATTACAGATATCATATTCTTCACAGCCACCTAGATGTACATAAATACACGTACATATAGTATTTCACCTTTAACGTGATTGATATGATAACAACACAATCAGATTTGTTTTGATTGTACTAAATATTTTTCAATGTTTCTCTGTACTAAGCTTATTTGGTTATTTATTTATTTAAAGAAGCAATTTATACGAAACGTCAAAAATTCGGTTTTCTACGAATTGAGATGTTAAACTAAATCATTATTTTATTAGTGCTAACACTCCATCCAATGCTCCATGTATTTGGCATTACATAGATTCCTGTGGACTGCCTATAAACACCACACATTAAAAATATTGACACTTCACTTTTGGTCTAGTAATAAATAATCATATTAGCTCCTTGGTTCAGAGGGATTTTAATAACGACGTAAAACATAAAAAACTATTTTGCTCATCGATTTATGTTAAGTGATCGTGTTAAAGAGTTAAACTTAGTGTTGTTTATTTTCAAATATTTTTATTTTAGTATATACCAACTTGTGATGATGTTACTTCCAAACAGAAAACAACCAGGTCAGTAGTTATATATATATATATATATATATATATATATATTTCCTGTTTTATACATTTGTTATTCATAAACTTAAATTATAATATAGACTGATAGAAAAGATAAACATCATTAGTGGTGTTCGTGAACTAGTTTTGTTATAATTTCTCTTATTACGACCCAGCTATTCCTATTGCTTGGTATTCTTGGACACAAATTCACTCGACAAGTCCCCAAATCAGAACACGGTTGGACAGGAAAGATATTATATTCCGAATAACACGAATAGCACAATAAGAAATACGTTAGTATATTTATAGTTTTTACATGAGAAGATTCTAAAGTATTCTCCAAACATCGATTAGCGCTGATTGGATAAGAATTGATCAATCAGCGTGTTTCATCGCAATCGTGCATGGAACATGCTCTAATCCAATCTATATCACACTAAAAAGTTTCTATTAAATCCAGAGATTCAAGTTGTTGAACTAAGACAGACTTTTGAAGTTAAGAGGTTGAAGCTCACCTAGAAGTCCTGCAATCGCAACTCTGTGATAGTAGACATAGAATCAACTAACTAGATACTGATGTACAGTTTGAGAATTTATTTTCACAAATAACTGACTTGATTCCTACCTCATTGGAGGACCTAGCTAGGTTTAAGACCACTTTAGTTGATAGCTGCCAGCAATACAAGAATAGTAAGGTTACCATAAATGATCAACTAACCAAACAGCACCGAGACTCATTAACGAGACTAAGAAAGGATGAAACCTTGATCATAAACAAACCTGATAAGAGAGGAGGTATAGTACTGATGAACAAAAAGGATTATATTAAAAAAATGGAAGCAATGCTTAGTGATCCTAGCAAATTTCAAAAAGTTACCAGTAATTATGACATTAATAAAAAAGTAGAGAAACAATTGGCGAATTCTCTTAAGGATCTAAAGAAAAAAGGAATAATTGCGACAGAGATTCACGATTCCACTAAACCCACTGGATCTTATACACCGCGACTGCACGGTTCGCCTAAAGTTCATACACCAGATCTTCGTCTGCGCCCAGTTCTAGATGTGTACAATTCTCCTTACTACAAAAATGCAAAGTGGCTAGTGCGAATCTTAGAGCCTTTGCACAAATCAGTTGTTCGAATTACTGTAAAAAGATGTTTTCGACTTCACTTCCAAAGTGGAAAATATAAATGTTAGCATGAAAAATATCTTCTCATTGGATGTAGTATCTTTGTACCACTTATTGAGACTATTGAGTTTATATGCAAGCAGATATCAGAAAAACAAATCAACATTGGCTTGCCTGAAGATTGTCTGAAGGAACTGCTCTTAAGATTTACGCTGAATGTCCATTTTGTCCTCAACAATCCTTATTATAGACAGATAGATGGGATAGCTATGGGCTCACCTCTAGGCCCAATCCTAGCTGATCTCTTCCTAGAAAAACTAGAAAATTGACCACTTAATGAGGCTATTAAGACGCTTGATCTATACTGCTACTAAATTGACGATACATTCATTGTCGTAGATCAAAACACCAGTAAGGACAAACTCCTAGAACAGTTCAACAGCTGTTAGTTTCACTGGTGAAGGCGAGTGTAAAAAAAATCTGAATTTCCTTGACATCACACTAAGCAGGCGAAGTGATGGCTCCTTAAGTTGAAGTGTGTATAGAAAAATTTCCTCTACCTGCCAATACACTCACTTCTATAGCTTTACACCTATCCGACATAAGAGAAATTTGGTTAGATGCCTCACCAGTAGAGCAAAAACGATCTGGTCAGTAGATACTTTAAGTCAGAAGCTGGAATTTATCAATAACTCACTGACAGAAATCGACTACCCTAGTGCGTTCATTAAGAAGTACATGTATGATGCAAGAAAGAAGTCTGAGATTTCAACTGTTCGAAAGAAACTTTTATACATGCAACTACAATTCAACGGGGATGTGGCTAGCGATATTCTGAAAAATAGGTTAACGAAAGTAATTAGCAGGACATTCTACGCAGTCAACCTTGCGTTAACTTTCTCGAGTCGACCAGAGATGTCTACCCAAACGAAGGAAAAGTTACCTGAGTTGGCCTCCTCTATGTGCATTTACAAGTTCAGCTGCTCCTGTGAAGATAGCTTTATCGGGCGTACTACTAGGCAACTTAACCAACGAATGAGCGAACGTCTACCGGCATGGTTTGGGAAGGGTCAGATAAAAACAATACGCAGTTCTTTCTTGGCACATCCAGTTGATAGTGGTCATAATGTAGATAAATCGAAATCATTTTGAGTGATCTGTCGTATACCTCTATCATTTCTCAACGGAGTTCGTCCCCGTCTCCTTCATACAGCTGAAGCCATAGGAATTCTTACATTTCACCCCAATTTATGTGTGCAGAAGAAATTTGTAACCCCTGATCCCTTCCGCGGCCGGACATAACAAATGACATTATTAGTTTTTAAATTTTATTTTTAATTTTGTTATCATTTGTTTGCAATTTTCCGCCTCTTTCCGTTTGTATTCTTCACTATCTGATTATTTACATCACTTCTTATTACGTAATGGTTTTAATGTTTTGTGATGACTATTCTAAGTCTATTTACCCACGTTTGACCTCCTATTTCCAATGTTTAACGATTGATATGACTTTTGTTATCGTAATTTAACATTCTTACTACTATCAGTACACCTGTCTTCGAATAAGAAAAAGAGAATTCAGCGAAGAAAAATTTCTTTTCCATGAAATCATTTACTTAAGCTGTACATTCGTATATATAGTTATATGGAAAATATATGTCTACAGGAGGCTAGGAAAGATTGCATTATAAATTGATTCGACAATAAATAACAAATGAGGTGACGTGCTAATCAAGGGGTAAGGAAGAAAATAATTTATGGGTCAGATAATAGTCCAATTGACAGATACGAAGGAAAGCGACAAACACAAAGGTCATAATAATAATCTGATAGTGCAGAAAACTTTCTACACAGCCAAGCTTCGAATCGTTTTCTCTAGTCGGCCTACCATTCGCGGGGGTGTTAAGGATAAACTTCCTCTTTGGGCCACATCGGTGTGTATCTATAAATTTACTTGTTCACGTGAGGCATGTTACATAGGCCGCACAAAGCGATCGCTTTCCAAACGCATCTCTGAACACTATCCTATCTCCTGAAAGGAGAATGTTAAAATATAACTAGTTCGATGCAAGAGCATTTGATCAACTGTGGACACACCGCTCCAAAAGACTCATCTTTTAAAGTGATCTATAGAGTCAAAAGAACCAGATCAAAGGGGGGTCGATTCAGTATTTTATGCACTGCTGAGGCATTGGCAATCCATGAACTCAAGCCTGAACTTTGTGTGCAGAAACGATTTGTTCAACCTCTCACAATTCCTTGGCCCTTATTCCCTTAATGGGTATGTTGTCGTTTTTTCTCCTTTTTTCTTTTCTGCACTTTTATATGTATTGTTTTTTTAAATTACTGTTTTTTATTTTAAACTCTAATCAGTTATTATTATTATTACCTTATAAAAGTCTTCTTGATTATTATTCAGATTATTATTATGACCTTGGTGTTTGTCGCTTTCCTTCGTATCTGTCAATTGGACTATTATCTGACCCATAAATTATTTTCTTCCTTACCCCTTGATTAGCACATCACCACATTTGTTATTTATTGTCGAATCAATTTATAATGCAATCTTTTCTAGCCTCCTGTAGACATATATTTTCCATATAACTATATATACGAATGTACAGCTTAAGTAAATGATTTCATGGAAAAGAAATTTTTCTTCGCTGAATTCTCTTTTTCTTATTCAATGACACCTGTCCTCCCACTATCAACTTGTACTTTTAACTATTATGCGTAGTGACGTCTACTGTTTCATTGTGATTATTAACTCAAATTGCCATGATTGGTTTAACATTTTCGTATAAATATTAATGTATATTAGAGTACAGGCTGATGATGATTTAATTGAAACCAATTGTTCGCTTACATGTGTTGTTTTACTCTTGAATCAGTTTGGTTTATATTTTATCTTAAGGATATTGATGCTGCATATAAAATTCAAACCGTCCATCACCCAATCACTTAAGTTGTCACTGAGCAATCTAAGTAGTAACTCATATAATTACACTGGTTGATCACTGAGTTTTAACTGGTGTGGCATATTTCTAATTCTTGAAGTTAATCAAATTCCATTTATCAATTGTCAATATGACCATTAGTCTAAATAACTGGACATTGTGTTCACTTGCTTGAATTCTAGGTTTTTGAAGGCAATTTGAAGGAAGCTCTCGATTTCATGTTAGTTGGTATTCATCATCAAAACACATCTGAAATCTCTATGGGAACTGATGCATATTTATCGGAAAGACAACAGCTCATTAAAAAATTCACAGTATTATGCATTCATTAAAACTAAAATTAATTGTAAGCGAAGATGGATGGTGGCTAGCAATGGAATCCAGGACGTGCGTTTCGTTTTGTTTGGGACTCGTCGGCTGGATGTACCTACATCTCAGAGTTTATGTTCACTCGGGGACTCGAACTCAGCACTGTCGCTTCAAACGCCATCGCGTTATACACTTAGCTACTGAGTTCTGAGTGAATATCAACTCTGGGATACAGATAGATTTTTAATCATTATAGTTAAAATAACTACGATAGACAATAAACTTTCTTCTATTAAGCATGTAGAAATATTTGAGAGTTTTTTTTCTATTCCATTGTATTATCCACTAGAGGAGATACTACACAAATATATACATTCTATTTCTAAATTTATGAATCTTTTAAATTATCTTTAACCCAAGGAAAACTGTGTTTACTCTTTGCGTAACCTGATTGCATATATATATGAACGGTTTATATCAGTTCAACCATACATATTAAGTTAACTAAGTTGAAAGAGTTTTATGGTAATCAGTTTAGTTTGTAGGTTATATTCGTCACATTGACTGGAGTTTAGGTTGTAACATTAAATGCTGCCATAGTAACTCTAATGTTTAGGTCCTTGTGACAAGACATGAACACTCTAGGTTCGACCCACAATTGCCTGATCCCAGAGATCTGTAAGGATGTTGGTCCAGTCTTAAAAGTTAATTTGGCCGAGATATTAACTGAAGCCTGGAAACCGGATGTAATCCCATCTGACTGGTATCGATCGCTGATCGTCCCAGTCTATAAGAAGGGAGGAAATTCCTCCTGTGATAACCACCGAGAAATCAGTTTGACTAATATAGTGTCTAAAATATTAGCTTCAATAAACATTTAACGCCTGTCTTGGACGTGTAAAGAGCGGACCCGGAAAGACCAGGCTACTTTCATACCTGGACGTGGATATTCAGATCAAATATTCAATCTTCACCAAGTTTTAAAATATGGGCATATTTACCCACGCTCGATTATGGCGGTATTTCGACGGGAGGTTCTGTTGTGATATTTACCATTAAAAAGTGCTGGGCGTTTTCCATTCTATGTTATAGGTGAAATATACACTTACCAACTAAATGGCTTGGATAGTGCGCAATAGGCTACCTTGTATTACTTTATGGCTATGATGGGAAGCGGAAAATAGGGAGGCAGAAGAAAACACTACGTCGGGAAATGAAAGCAGATATGAAAAGGATGAATAGCGTCTGGAAAAAATTGCCCAGGAAAGAGTTGGATAGAGAGTGCTGGTAGATGACCTATGCTCCTGCGCAAGGAGTAACAGGCGTAAGTATGAAAATAGAGGACACGTGTAGACTGAAGGCTTTTGATCATAAATGTCTTCGTAGCCTTGTTCGCATTTCGTGGAATATCCGAGTGAGTAATATTAAGGCTAGGCATATGGTACCTGGCAAACCAATCTGTGAAGTAGGTAGGACATATGTCTAACTATCGCCTGCTTCAACGAGAAATTCTTGGCTGTATAGAATCTGGTTAAAAGAAAGTTATGGACGGCCAAATCGAAAGATGTCATAAGTCCACGAGGTCACTGACCGTTGGTATTAGCTATGTAAGCAAATCCAGACTACCTCGTTGAGGTCCACATGATAACCATAACCATTGGTTAACGAATTTGTGTGGCATAGTTCAATGTTTTTCAAAACTGACAAGATACATTCTCTCTTTATATTTCTCTCGATATTGAATTCCATTCTTTTCATGCATACCTTTCTATTCTGTCTTCTTAAGTCATATTCCCAAAGTTTATTACCACTACATTATTTTGATCTCTTTTTTCTCCACTTAGTCTTGCTAACCAAGTATAGCAACTTAAGTCAATGCACATCTGTGCCAACTTCTAGTTTGATAATATCTATCTGTTGATCTTCACTGAGATATAGTGAATATACACTACTGAGTAGGAATCCCATACAAAAATAAAACAACTGTTTAATGCCCCCTGATTTTCAATAGTACCCTATTTGAGAACAATTTGTAACAAATACAGTCTATTATTTTCAACTATTTAATTTAATCTCTATTATTATTGAATTCCTATTTTTCTTGATTTTAGAGAAGTTTATGAAGATGCTGAAGTATTATATCGACACTTATCTGACTTGAAACAATCGAACAATTCTGATATACAAACAACAGTAATAGATTCATCTAATTATCATTAATAATTTTTTTTTCTTAAATCTCCATATACATACAGTTTGTACACAAACTATTAATTTTCTGGATCGGAAATGTGATCCATATATGTGTATTATCATAAGAACAATATACCTTATAAAAATCTATATTCAAACATTGTTTCCTAATTCTTTCTACATTCAATTATCTTTATATTCATTGATACTACTCTTATTAATAGTGCAATTACTGTTTATTATTAGTAGTATTATTACTATCGTGATAATATTCTTTATCATTATACAAGAGACAAAAGTATATGATTCTGTGATGATATCAAATACTTAATAAGATAACTCAATTCAACTTAATGCTTATATCTTTAATGTGACAATGATCATTTATATGAATTTATTTTGTGGAATATAATGAGATTTATACAGAATAAAAACAATCATTGTTACAAAAAAAAGAAGATTAAGGTAGGCAGGGTTCGGTAATCAATATGGATTCCTCTCAAAATATTCATGTGTTATATGCATTTCATACATTTTTTGTCCCGTTACCCTATTATCATTATTTTTCTTCTATTATTACTAACTTCATGATTAAAAATATTTTAGCATTTATTATCTAAATTATGTTGATGATCACTAATATTATTATTGAGAAAGAATATTCTTTCAACTGTTTTTGTTTCTATGCTTACTTTCTACAAACCAACCAATCAACCACCAAGACACGTGACTGTCTACAATGGTTGGATAGATTTGTTTTCCTTTTTCTCTTTTGATAATTTTATTTCCATGGCCAAAAGTGCAACTTTGATGATAATAATAATAAAGATTAGAACAACGAATAATCTTATCTCTTAAAAAGAAATTTACGTATCATTTTTGGAAAATTCTGGAAAACATTTTTTCTCTGTGTGGATAAGAGGATGATTGATGATAGTGATGTGTTATGTTGTATCAGAAAGTGCTGATTCTTTTAAATTAAAGTTACATTCGACAAAACTGATAAACCATTATAACTCGCATTTCACTTTCCGTTATACTTCATGAAGTGTTTTTACTTCTATATCTCTTCGTTTTTGTTTTCAATAAGATGATAACTTTGCATTTACTTCACAACTATGTTCTTTCATAATCATCATTTATTCTGACATACACTTAACAATGATGATCTTATTCATACACGATTTAGTTTACAGTTTTTCTTTTGTGTTATTGTGCAATTTACAAACTCAAAACGTACTTGAAATTCATAGATTAAAAATAAAGCATTTGATAATTCTTTTTCATTAGTCTGTTTACATTTTACTGGTAATATAGTATCTAAATCAATGTATAATTTGGATACTGAGCATTTTTGACGTGTATTTGCAAAACAAATTCTTCAAGTCACCTTCCAGTGGCAACTTAATTGTCAAGGATTTTTATACTACCAATTACACTAGTGATTATGAACGGTCACATTGTTCAAGTGCTTAGGTCTCGTTGACTGTGTTAATCTTTAGTTTCCTATTTCGACCAAAGGAAGTTTCCTAATATGTTCCCCAATTGGAATGGAATACCAGATTCTTAAACACAGAAGGGATGTCGCAAAACTAAAGTTACTACATACACAACGAAACAATTTAGCATAATGGTTATCTCAGTTGTTTGAATCGAAAAGTACTCATCTTCACAGAAGCACCATACTTCATTGAGATGCATCTACAATTTTTAGTTACATTGAGATGCCAATTTACATAAAATATTCGTTCTCCAGACATGACAGCTTTTCTGAGACGCACTTTAAAGAAAAACGTCAAGTAGGGAGTGAATTGCAGTTTCAGATGCGCAGCCCTGTGAAGGCCCACTAACCATGACAATTCATTTTGTAAAAAGAAGGAAAGCTGATGGATTAAGTGCTGAATAAGATTTTATAGTTCCAGTCACAGACTGACTTGAGAAAGTTGGAAACCACGGAGAACCGGTTTGACAAGAACTTTAGAGTAACAACTCATACAGCTAAATATCGATCCAAAGTACAACGAAGCTTGTCCAGTTAAGGGATAGAGAGAGGTAAACGTATCCCAATCGATATGATTTTTTTAGCAATTTACCTCCATATGGTTATGGAGAACAAACTGTTGATCGTGAGCAACGGAAACCACTAAGTAAGCCATTTTCAGCTTTTATCAGTGAAAAGCGAATATGCAGTGCCCAAGATTCTTGTTAAAATAGATACTCCAGCAAATAATTCAATTCTATCTAAAACATGTCAGCTGAAAAAAGGAGTTGGGAAGATGAGTATTCCATAAGAAAACTACAGATATACCTGTGTCTACACTCTCCATATTGTTTCAATTCACATTCATGACCGGTTATTAGGAATAGTAAATTTTTCAAACTGACTTCAACTAAAATTCAGTACGACTGACCGATCTGAAACTTTTAGTTAATGCACCATAGTCATTATTGTTTCGTTTTAAAACGAAGAGCATTTTTCGGTACACATACTAGTATGGATGTATTTGACAAAATCGATAATTTGAAAATATGTATTATCATTTGATGGATATAACTGTACTCAAGTAATCAACATTTGACCTTGAACTAAATAACTCACAAAAACAAAGCTGCTAATTACCATATACACTAAACTATGAATTCTTTCAAAGTAGGATACCACTTTTACCTATGATAAAACAATATACTCCAACGAATAAAATGCCGACCTACTTATTTCACTCATTTATAAATATCATAATCATCATTACAAATACACAGTAGAAAATAATAAACAAGGTCCTTAGCCCATCCATTCCTCTTCCCACTATTGTCGAACAAACACAAAAAGTGTCTTTTTTCCATTTTTAAATACTCTTTAAAGGAAAGAATTTCAACATAATTATAAATAATAAAATCGATGATGATAATAAAACTTTGGATGACAAAAAAAGAAAAGTTCGCGTGTACATATATATAAGGGGGAAGAAAACATACGTAAGTTTAGAAAAATAATATCCGCAACAGGGTATTTTTATTAAGATAAGCAAAATAAACAAAGAATCGGCAGCGCAGAACAAGAAGAAAAGTGCACTAATTTAAAGTTGAATGAATAGATAGGACACTCATTTGTTTACTCAAATGTACTTTACTTGTCTGTCTATAGGTAAACAATACTTAGTATTCGGAGAGAAACATTCGAAAGGAAAAAAAGAAGAGAGAGATACACTTTTGTACAAACCAACGAATAATCAACTTGGAGAAAACAGACAAAATGAATAAATAAATGTGTATACGTAGACCAAAATAATACATTCACACATTACTATTGTTTAATATAAGCTGTATAACACGTTATTATTCAGAGTTTGTGTTATCAGTATTACAAACATTAATGGTAATATGTAGTAGTACACGTACACAGAATATCGACTCAACTGCAAGACAAAAAGAAATAGAATACTAAGAAGCCAGAGAAACGGATAACCAAAAGAGGGAAGAACAAATCAATAAAAAAAATCTATGGGGAACACACAAAAAAAAGATTTAATAAAATGATCTATGCTGCTAATTCAATAGAAATATATCCAAATCATTCATTCATTATTCCTAGATCAAGTGTACATATATATGCATATGTATATATTACACCATTCTTTAAGTGTTCGGCTAAAATCTTCAATACTATTATTATTTTTAAGTATAGCGTAAATGCTAGCTGAAATGACAGAATTAACTTCAATAGACTGACAAAGAATCATTAAAAAAACTTACATACTAAACATTAAAACAGGAGATACGAATAGTTATATATATATAAATATAAATGTTAATTACATTATCATTTCATTAGTAGTAAATCTTTCTCGTTTACATTCTTTCCGTTGGAGAAACCAAAGAAGAACAGACATTTTAAAAACAAAACATATGTAGTGAACAAATAAGGATGGGATTAATGATGATGATTGTGTGCGTGTGCATGTGTGTGTGTGTCTAGTTACCAGCCGTGAAGATTAATTAATAGTAATAATATAATACAATAAAACAAGTGAATGAGATCGATTGGGTGTGTTCTGATTTAGTTTTTTTTTCTTTCAAAATTTTTTTTCTCAGCTCACTGATGTACATGGAAGTGTTGGTGAACCCATTTGTCGAAGTACACGATCAAGCCATTTTAATGGTCCATTTAAATGTACTTCTATCCAACATGGTGTACTGGTTATTGTTTGTCTTCTAAATAATAAATAATAATAATAATGGTTTCTTGTTAACGTAAAAAAATATTAATCACTGATAAGAAAAAGAGGTGGGAATATAATTTTTGGACAAACCAATCAGAATTAAAGTATCAACTATTCTATTTTAGTGAGAAATTCATTTATCCATATGATTGACTGACATTATACCTGATGTCAATATTCATGATGAAAAGTTTAACTTTTATTCCAATTCTAATTCCTGTTACACCTCGTGGAAGAGCATACACCGACCACCACCATTCTCTATCCAACCCTATCCTGGACAATCCTTCCCAGCTCTTTTCAGTTAACATTCATTTTTTTCATATTTGTTTCTATTTACCAGCGTAATGTGTTCTTTAGCCTTCCTCTTTTCCGCTTCCCTGCACCATTCCAAGTTAGGGCTTGCCTCGTGTTGCAGTTTGGTGATCTCCTCAATGCATGTCCTATCCACTCCCAACGTCTTTTCTTAATTTCCTCTTCAGATAGAAGCTGGTTTGTCCTCTCCCATAAAACGTTATTGCTGATAGTATCCGGCCAGTGAATGTTGAGTATTTTGCGTAGACAACTATTTATAAATACTTGTACCTTCTTGACGATGGATGTAGTAGTTCTCTACTTTTCAGCTCCCTACAGTAGAACTAGCTGTCTTGACATTTGTACTGAAGATTCTCACATTGAAATTAGTTGACAATTGTTTTGATTATAGGAATTATAGGAATGTGGTCCTCGCTTTGCCAATCCTCGCCCTTACATCTGCATCCGATCCTCCTTGTTTATCAATGATGCTTCCCAGGTACATGAATGTTTCCACCTCTTCCAGAGTTTTGCCATTAAGTGTCATTGGGTTGGTGTTTTCCGTGTTGTATTTGAGAATATTGCGTTTTCCTTTGTGTATGTTGAGGCCTATTGATGCAAAGGCTGCTGCTACTAATTCACAATCCTATTTTAACCCCTGTAATTGGTTGGAGTTTCTCAAGGTTCCTTTATTATAACTGAAAGATCATTCATAAATTATAGTTTAGTTGAAAAGAATTCACAATATGAACATGCTAAATGTAAATTATCCTATCAAAATGAAAAAAACTATAAAGTATTTAGAAATGTACTTTGAAAAAATATGAGTTTTTTTTTAATTTTTCCCTTTGTTGATATTTCAGATTGTTATATCCCGACGAGAATAATGAATGGCAACTGTTGGGATCTATTTACGGACTGATACTATACATATATTCTTATAGTATAATTGTTAAGTAACTTGAATATGTATATTTGTATTTCTCTCATTAATAAGCTTTATTGTGACCTATAGACTATTTATTATACGGTTTACTATTCAATCACAGTCACTTTTTGGCTTGATTTTGTAAAAATGTTATTTCCTATTTTATGGTTCTATGTGATGTGATCTGTTTGGCTTGTTGTTTGAAATAAATAATTCATACAGTGGGAGCTGACATCGGTGTTCTGGACTCAACAGGAAGGGCTCAGCAGAGAAAATGACCAATAAGGACGCTAAGCTTCTCATACCGGTCGATACGTGATTGGCTTGGCACAGTGCTATGACTGCATAAGTGGTGTTCCGATTGGCGAATAATTCACGTGATAATTAGATAATTAGAACACAGATCATAATTGATCCCAACAGCGATTGGCCAACAACCATATCGATAAAATAACAAAAAAGGCAAAGAAAGAACCTTACGAACGCATAGTTGTTGGAAGAAATAGAGCATTTTTGGTTTGACTAACAGTGTAAGTGTCAACACTCAAATGCTGGTATGTCTGGCTGATGAATCCTGAATAGGACGAAACATGTACTTTTAAATTCTAACACTGACCAAGACCGAAATATACCAAAAAATCATTCACTCTCATTACATCACAGTGCAGTCAGTCAGCAAAAACGTAGAACTTCGTACGTACGTACATCAGTTCAAGTTGTCATACCATATTAGTACAGAGATACAATTGTCGATTCAAATCCCATGGTGGTAGAGGTAGTGAATGTAAAAGTAGTAATCGGAAAGATTAGGGTTTGAAGATGTTATTCAAGGAGTATAATCCAGTGAAATAAATTTGGAAAGAGAAAAAAAGGGCCATTAAGAATTTGGAAGATTAGAATTTGGGAGAGCACAAAGAGTAAATGCACCTGCACAATTGCAAACGATTTTGAGCCATATCACTCAAAATCTCTAACCATCCGTCAGTATCGTGCAATCCTCGAAATACTTATCGAATTGTGATATCTAATACTGATTGTGCAGTTTTTTAGTCAGCTTTCTAGCAACGACAGTACTAGACAATACAATCATCGCATAACATAGAAAAAAATATCAATAACATCTGCGGCAAATATCAGTTATGGAATCAAGGATGAGCGTTACCTTCTATATTTGAGACTGTCCAGTTAGATGTATACACCTGTACTTCAGCGTAGATAGGTCCACCTAGATCTTAGCCAAGTAACTTTTGCATGGAATCATCATTACACTAGCTCAATTATTTATCTTATTTATTTAAACACACAAATATTGGTACAAGGAAGCACCGAATACATATGCGCCGCACAAATCTCATTTGATTTGTGTGAGGGCTGTGATACTGCCCAGATGCCCAAACTGAAGCAGATGGTTTTCTTAGGGAGCCACACCCTGAGCCTTTGACCTAAAGGTCTGATCCATATGGCAGTGGAGCATCGTAAGGAGATGTAGTCCCACGCTAGCCGGTGATCAACGATTGATTCATACGCCATTTGTTCCCTCAGGATACTGGAGCCCATGTGCACCATTGGTTTGGAATTAGGGTTTTCCAACTCCCCTAGGTGGACTCGCCGTGTCCACCGACCCGGTTAAAGCGCCGGACATTCGCTTTTCGTCCTCTCACTTTCATGAACAACACCCCCGCCACGAGGAGGCAGTGAGTAGGACTTCCCTGGCAGAGGCTATATACGCGTGGCCATGTGAGAGCATTTCGAGAAGGAGAGGCATTGAGTAGTCCACAATAAAACCATTTATTCATATATAGTAATAATAAATTATATATATGGAAAAAAACACCCAGAGATTAGTTCAAACTAAATTAGCTTACCTGTATTCTGCTCCCCAACCTTTCACAAAACTAACACGTATTGAACACATATGAGTTAGTGAAAAGACAGATTCATAACTACGTGACATATTATCAGCTAATTGACTAGCGAATGCTGTACTATCAAAAAGTTTTAAATTACACTCTGAAAAAAAAGAAATAACATATATCGTTAAAATGGAACGAGTATTTTAGAAGTTGGAAATGGTTTTTTTGGATGATTATTTAATATAATTTTGTTGCAGAACTACTGAATATCTAGATTATCGTGTATATCTATTACCTCCATTACAAGCTTCCGGCTAAACCATTAACTATTGTCATACGACCTACTATTCCTAATATGTTACCAGTCCATTATTTACAGTCCCCCTTATTCACAGTCACTTTTAGCTTATTCATGTATAATTGTTATTTTTCACTTTATAGTATGACACAGTCCGGTATGTCTGCATATAAACCACGTCTCTTTGAAATTGAATAAGGCAGGGGCTGGTTGCTACTGAAAGGTTTAGGAAGGACCTTGCGAAAAGTGAATCAATAAGAGCTTAGTTGTCGATTCAAGGTCACTAATGCTGGTCAGATGCATAATTGGTCATATCGGAGACACTAATCCGTCGTGGAAATAGCAGACGCAGAAGAGACCAAATTAGGGACAAGATCCTGATTGGTGGCTTGGTACAGTGGTTTTATGACATAAAAAGATGCAGGATCGTGGATGCGCACTGCTGAGGAGTCCCACAATAGAATGAAACGGCCGTCCAGTGATTACAGGTTTTCCATGGTGGTCTAGCTTCAATTACCTCATGAATTCAACTATAAAATTACTAAAATCTCCACAAAACCCCTTCTGATAATTACACAAATTATAGGCTACTCCAACTGTTATACCTAAAAACAAAAATTATAGTAAAAAAACAATTTAATGTTGGAACTTATATATTAGATTATGGACTACACCTATGGTAATAAAGGGACATAACGCTTCATGACTACACTAGCCCACATTCAAATTAATGATAAAACTGAAATGTGTTTGATGTGAAATGTCTTATTATCCTTTATGTTTCCAGCATTATTCTGTTGTCAAGCTGTGGTTCAGTCATTAGGGTGCTCAACTTTCAACAACTAAGTTGTAAGTTCAAATCTCGCTCGAGTTACCTCAGTTTAAGCATCTGAATAGTATCACTACCTCTAAATCTTGGGGTGTGACTCTAAACTAAGTAAAAAAATATGTATCTGATAAATGACTAATGAAAATAATTATCAATATAGGGTTGTTCAGTTCCATTGAAACCACGAGTCGATCAATGTTAGATCACCATTGAAAATCTGACAACAGTGGACGGCTGCCTCATCCCAGTATTGGAATCCTCAGTTGTGCCCACAAATGACCCCACACGCTGGAACCAGACTAAGGACCTCCGGTTTTGCGCGCGGAATGGCCACCCAGTGCTTCCAGGTTTCCAATGGTGATCTAACATTGAATGGTTCAAGAGTTCAGTGAAATAAAAATAGTTGTCTACATGATTGTTGCAACCTGTAGGAAGATAATCCAGGTCGGGTCGTAATATTGTGGTTTCAATTAAATGTGTGAAATATGAAAAATATAGTGGAACACTGAGAATGATTAAAAAGGTTTTGTTTAAATCAAGTGAACCCTTTGTGTTCATAAGGAATTTTCAAAAATGTTTTTCTTAATAGTCATTTAAAAATTCAACACTAAAACAAGTTGTGGATGATACATTACGTACTGTCTTTATCTGTTTTACTAATATCTTCTCGAAATTTCTATTTGCGTTTACTGCTAAGTAACCATCGAATTTTCTTACTAGTAAATTTCAACTTCTCGTCAAAATTTTTTCTTCGAATTATCTTATATTCTCTTGGGCAGTCTATAAAATTCATAACCATATATCCTATTCATTTATTAATTAATTCTTTAGCCAAATGATCTTTTAATAATTTTAGTACGTCATTCATAAAATGTTTCCATTAACACTTTGGAGTTCTTAACATTATTTAATTATCTTATTTAAACACATTAATAATGGTAGAAACAGGCACTAACAAAATATGGTCCAAACAGTAAGAAAAACGAGATTCTGAAAAGACAGAGGGGGGAATCTGAGAATAATAAATAGGAAAAATACAATAAATGAATCAGTCAGTCAGCTACGACGTAGGACAAGGCACATATATCCATCGATCCAACTTGCCATACCTCATTAGCACAACAACATCAACACCAAATTCATAGAAGTAGTTACTTCAATGGTAGTACTATATATATATATATATATAAAGAGAGAAAGAATCAGTTCGTAGAAAGAAAGGTATAAAGCAATTTTAATCTCACACTTTAAGGGAAGACGAAGAGTGTATACACCTACACCTTTGTGATCGATTCTGAGTCATGTCACCCAGAGTCTACAACCATTGGTTACGATAGTCGCACGGACCGCAACCAAGTACTCTGCATCTACCAATAAGCTCTCACTCGACTGGTAATGTTCAAATAAAGAACTTTCACAAGGTTTATGTACTTCTGAGGTATACCATTCAATGACAGACACTGCCACAGAACATCTCGGTCTACAGAGTCGAATGCTGCTAATACCTCTAACAGTACGACAAATGAAAAAAAACAAATGGGTGTACATGGAATAATAATTGGAGAAACATTTCAGTTAAGAAAAATACAACCAGAAAAGTATTTTTTTCAGTTAACGAAGTCCTTTCGCTTTTATGAAAAAAGTAGAGGAATTTTACAGCAGGACGGCAACTGGTCTTTATTCGGACTCATGTCTGATAGCACATCAAGCCGCTGGGTCGCACTATCTAAAGGACCCCAACTAGGAAGTTGTGAAGAACCAATAAATGCTAGTTGTATACAGTTTTTTTATACTACAACACAATGTCAAAAATGACCACCTCTCCACTTTTTCAAATTAATCGCATCAACGACAAATAATTCATGACGTGGACTTTACAAGGACAACAGTAGTAAATATCCAAGACATTGAATTTGGCCTTTCAAGAATCAGTTGAATAATCGTCGCCATGCCCGAACACACTGCAGAACCTCGGCATTACTAGCATAGTGTTGTCATCGAATGACAGCAATCCTTCGGAAACAACGATGCTCAAACACAGAGTCGCTTAACATCCTTAACTAGAAAGGGTCACACCATCGCGACTTGGTCGATATATATATATATATATATATATACCAAGCTAGGCAGGTAGGTTGGAGAGTGTTAATACTAAAACCAACATCTCAAGGTCCGAAGGCTAAGTCGTGATACCTCCGGAATTTCTCACAAAAAGGCCGTATTTGATTGGCTTTAAATAATCATCTTACGTATGTTTATCCACCACCTAGTTCGATAGGTGATAATGAATAGTGTAGAAGTTGGTTGTAGAAATGAAACGTGATATCAGTCCATCAAATCCACTGGCTGTTGGTCTGAGCCGTATAGGTAGGTGTAAACTACCTACCCAGTTAGAGTCTACGCGATTAATGTAGTCAATGGTTAGAGACTGGGTAACATGGTTCAAAACCGTTCACAATGGAGCAGATGCATGTGCTCTTTATCTTCCCTTAAATATTAAGTTTTTACATCACTCTATAAAACATTTGCTTTAATTCCACTAATCCAAATTTTTTATCGAATGCTATCTTCTCTGTGTCCAATTTTTTTCTATAAACGCTAATACCGTCAATAATTCTACTACTCTAGGGTTTGTCTAAACAATTTGTTTTATTTTAATGCAGCATGTCAACTTGAAATGATCTACACACGCACCAGATCTTATGTTGTGTACGACTAACTGATGCACTATGATGAAAAACTAATTGAAAATAATTCTTCTTCCACCTTCCACCATTTTTCTTGAAACACCACTGATACTGTTTTCATGGACTAGTAATTTAAACAATAAAATAGTTCATTTAAAAAGATAAGCAACCTTAAGTAATCAATATCAAGAAAAGTTAAAAGAAGGATAAGTTGGGTTTCAAACATGATGCTATTTGGTTTGAAAGTGTATGAAATTGGATTAAATTACACAGTACCTCTAGATTCAAAACAAAATACCAACTATCATTGGTCTGATAGACAACTTTGCAGAAGAAACTTTATAACGTGTCTGAAATGCTTAGAATCGATGAGAAAAACTACCGCATAGAATACTATTGCTGTAGTAAATTGTATTCAAAGTGTAGATCAATGAGGATTGACTCCTTTTTAGCTTGTTCAAAGTGAACCCCATAAGTAAACTACACAATTTATGATTCATACCCTTGTAAAATATACATAAAATTTAGAAGTACGATATCCAGGTCGTTGTATTATCACACTATTTCCTTTGAACATCAACGAGTGTTTGTAAAAAGAATTTGAAATTGTTTATGGCAGAATACAGAACCCACGAAAAAAACTGACACTATACACTATACATCAAAATTTCTTGATTTCAAAAGGAGAAAAAGTCAATCGTGAACAAAGAAATAATTCTAAACCATGTAGAAAGAAAAATACATTTTGCACATATTCATGTTTCATATTTTTAGCGGAAAAATTTTCCATTTAATCTACATGATAATTGGTTTAGTAAGACACAAAATGTCAAGGTCGCTTCTGATTTCGCTCAAGGTCAACAGTAAACTGTGTTGTTTTACCGTTCCAACAACGGTAATGATACTAATACTACCAATGAAAATAACACAATTTTCGGAGGTTAAAGGGTTTAACACCGCATTTATGATGAACACCGATTTTGAAAGAAATCAGGTGCTCTGAAAACACAAGAAATAGCACATTTCAAACAGAAGATCTAATAATAATGAAGTCTAATAAAATTAAAATCTTTATGATCACTAACTTGGTGGGACTTTGACAACAGTTGCTGGATGCCAACTGTAAAAACGATTACAACTTGGTGACTGAACAAAAACCGCAGCATCACTTAAGCATTCAAGGTAAACTTCACTACCGATATGATGTAATCGTATTCCACGACCTAAAAACAAAAATACCTAATGAATTGAATTACAGTCAAAATAATTCATTCATAAATTAAATAAGACGCAGAAATTAGAGAATACAATTATTAAGGTCACACATGTTTTTTGTTTTGAACTATTCATACAAATATGAACACTCTATTCGCAGAACTATTCAACTAATAAACTAAAAAAACAATATTAGGTTTATTTTGTTACATCTAGCCTCCTTTCCTCTCTACATACACCCAAATTGATTGACAGATGAATGCCTACAGTAATCAATTGTTGCTTGAAGCAAAACAATGAATTCAGATAAGTAGATAGATAAAAAGGAACGATGTACGACACAACTACGTGAACACTTCAATCTAATACACTGGCATCAAACAAAAGGGGAAACCAAAATAGCGATAAAAAACAATAATGAAATTCATGATATTAACGAACTGAAAAAAACAATCAAATAAGGAAGGAAAAAAGATAAGCAACACCAATTGCCTCAACATAAGCTACTATTATATATATATATATATATATATATGATAATCAATTATTAAAGAGTTCATTGAATGAATTCCATTTGTGACTTGATCAATTCCAACGTTGATTACCTAACTAGGGATACCACTATGATGTAAAGGGTTGCAAATTATATAGAACAACAATTTATGAATAGATTCATAAGGCTATTTACTGACTTATTAATTTAACCCAACACAAGAGTCTAATACTATTATTACTACTACCGTTACCAAAAATAAGGACACATTTTGATGACCCTAAAAGAACTTCTAAAAACTTATTACAAGGAATGTAATTCAACTCAAAATCATCCAGGTAAGCCTTGCTAACAACTACAGATTATATGCACAAAACCTAAGTCCACAGTTTTCTGTCGGCTACCCCTGATCACCTAACATTATTAGATTATTTGTAATGTATGACACTTGATAAATATGTAACCCTTGTTAATGTTATATCATCTGTTGGATTAGATAAGAAGGTTGATGAGTTCAAAGTATACAATTTGTAAACATAATTAGGAAAGGGATAGATGAGATTCGAACCCTTTATAAATCAATATACCATATAATCTTAGAATACATATGAATTTATTTATTTCTAACATATAATAAAAGCGTTATCTTATTTTTTTAAGATAACACCTACCAATATGTCTTCTAGTCATCTCAACTTGCAAGGGTCGATTAACGTGACTTAAGCTGCCTAAACTGAATCGATCGGAACGATAGCATGGCTCAGTAAAGCCATCAATTGTTAACGTTGGGCGACCAGCATGAAATGCATCACCAACACGAGTATTTAATTCATAATAAAAGACACTACACCAATACTGTACATCGGAGAAAGTGAAATCTAATATAGGTGTATTTGAATCCAATAGATTATCAAATTCTTCTGAAGAACGAAGACGATTAGGACTTTGTTCATCATTTGAACTAATTTGTTCAATAAAGTGTTTTTCTATTTAAATAAATAAAGAATACATATATCTGAATTACAAATAACACTCAAGAAAGAAGAAAAATAGTCATTTTCAAAATATTTTCATAATTAATTAGTTGGTTTTGAAATGTTCCAATCAAATGAATTTACAATTTCATCAAATATTGCTATATGGTAGGTACATAACTAATCTAGTGTTTATCTCACTTGTGGCACTTAAGAGAACCACCTTTTATAGTATTCGGATTTGTTTTGGTGAACAATTCTTTATTTACAATAGAGAAACTTAAATTGTGCTTTTATTCTACATAATTATAAGGTTTAGTAAGTATATCCAACTTCTCCCAACAACGACAAAAAACGATGATATGTATCAAGTATACACTAGAATGAAGTTACAATTCAAACAGACGCTGATTTCTATGAGTCATACCTATGCACATATAGATCATTGACATTGAATAGCAGTTTAACTGATCTTAAAATAACAGAACGTTAAGTATAATATTGATAAGATAGCTGTTTACTAAAATAAGCCCAAAGTAGATCATGATCTATACATCACTATCCTGACACAATCTCCTGTTGTCAATTGTAAAGCACTGATTGTAATCTATTTACCAAACGAAAGTCCATCTGCTCGACTTCTAGTTATATTCTGCTTAAACCTGCTACCTACTATTACTGAAGAGAACAGAAAGGAATCAGAATAAAAACAGAATTGGAAGAATCATGAAGGATGTAAAGGACAACTGATAGAAAATGTGCGAACGAAGTATTTAATGTATGGTTTTAGTATTTTACGAAGACATTCAATAATTTTACATTAAACAATAAATTGGTTTTCTCCACCAAGTTTTTGTTCACTTCACTACCACTACTACCTGGAAATTGTTTCAGAACAACAAATAACACAAATTAAATGCAATAATCTCTGTTAATATTAGAATTCCCCTTAGATTAGATTTCGATTATAACATTGAGTGTAAACAGTAATAAATAAACTACTATTCAATTCCCTTACTCTATTCTCTGAACAGTACCTCTCACTTAAAATACCACATTTAGCTAACCAACTGTAATGTTCTTATAAGAAAAATCACGAAAGCTAAATAATAATGATAATATTAATAATAAACATACCAGAACTAGAGGTTTTTTGACTAATTAATTTACTTTGATCATCTAATGATGATAAATGTATATTATGATTTGGTACTGTTAATGAATTTCTACGTGATTTATTATTCATCATTCCTAAAGTATTATTATTAAGTGGTATGGTAGTAGTACGTTCAATTAGTGAGAAAGGACCATTCATTGTCTTGTCCGCAGATGCTTTCGCTAAGGCAGCTGCAATTAAAGCGGCTTGATTTATGACTGATGTCGGTGTTGTTGTTAGTGATAATGAAACTATGGTGGGTTGATTCAATGTTGGTGATGTATTTGTATAGTGTTTAATATCTGATTCATAATAATTATTATTAATAACGATAGCAGTAGTTGTTGTTGTTGTTGTAGAAGTAGTAGTAACCGCAGTAGTATTAGTAGTGGAAGTGACATTACTAGTGCTGCTATTTTTATCTGCATCATAACGGTCAGAGAAAATTGAACCTAAATATTAAAATAAATGGAATATGTTTGATAATATCCCTTGTCATTATAATATCTAGTGTTAACTTTAAATCGAACAGGAAAAGTGTAAGTTTAACATAAAATTCATTTATAACAGAGACAGATTTTGTTTTTGTTTTTCACATAACTCTATCTATCCACTTTACAATAACTCATTATAATTCTTACAGACTATCATGCAAACTAAGCATTGTGATCTATGCACACATTTCAAACTGATAGTGAAACCTTACACAATACTGAAAACTTAGATTTGGTGAGGTAATTGAAAAACGCAGTTAGTCAGCTACAACGTAGGACAAGGCACATATATCCATCGATCCAACTTGCCATACCTCATTAGCAAAACAACATCAACACCAAATTCATAGAAGTAGTTACTTCAATGGTAGTACTTGGTATGTAAAAAATTCCATATAACAATATGATACAGAGAGAAAGAATAAGTTCGTAGAAAGAAAAGTATAAAGCAATTTTAATCTCACACTTTAAGGGAAGACGAAGAGTGTATACACCTACACCTTTGTGATCGATTCTGAGTCATGTCACCCAGAGTCTACAATCATTGGTTACAATAGTCACGCGGATCTCAACCAAGTAGTCTGCATCTACCAACATGGCTCAACTCCAAAAGTGGTGACTTCAAGGACTGATGTCACGTTTTGGTTTGGTCACCCCTAACCTCCTTCTATCCGTCTCCAACATCAGTCAGCCCTGAGTGTCGTGGTAATCGGTTGTTGGGTATGCGTAATGCATGGCCCAACCATCTCAGTTGGTCAAGATTCACAACCTCATCAACTGAAAACACACCAATCTTGGTTTGAAACGAGGATTTTTACAATAGATAGAGAGGAAAATGGGAGTAAAATAGTGCAGAACCAAATTAGGACCAATTGTCGACGCGAAAACAGTTTATTGTTATATACTAACATAATGAGAAATGAGGGAAATAAACAATTGTTTGACATTTTAATAGGAGAGAGGAAATAACTGCAGGCGAAAGGAAGTACAGTAGCTTAATCTTCACAAAGTTCGACTTTCACCCACTAAGTCTCAGATTTGAACTCCGTCCTACCTACTTTGATTTGGGCAACCGTGTAGTATTATTACACCTCACAATTTGTGTGTTATTCATAATCAAGTACCCAATAAATAAGATAAATGACGATTACTTTTTACTGAAAATGAAAGAGAATGAGAAAAACAAGTTATAGTTTAAAAATAACAAGATTTATTATTTACGGTAATATAATATGAACAAAACCTGGAACTAAAAAGAAATGTTATCCAACACCAAAGTCGGCATTTTAAATATGAATGTCAAGACAGTTCTATATTACGGAGTTGAAACTTGGAGAACTAGTACAATCACCACAAAAACATCACATGTATTTATAAACAACTGTCTACACAAGATACCGCAAATCTGTGGGTCAGATACCCAACAGCAATAACCTACTGTGACAGAAAAAACAAGCTTCCAGCTGAAGAATAAATTAGGAAAAGACGTTGGAATTGGATAGAACATATATTGAAGAAATCACCGAACTACATCACAAACCGAATCCTAACTTGGAATTCTCAAAAAAATAAGGGAAAAGGGCAGACCAAAGAATACGTTGCGTCGGGAATTCGAGGCAGACATCAAAAGAATGAATAGCGCTTGGCAACAAGTGGAACACAGAGCCCAGGACAAAGTTAGTTGGGGATTCGTGGTCAATGGTTTATGCTGAACGATGAGTAACAGGCGTAAGTAAGTAATATGAATGGAAGAATAGTGAGTGATCTTAAAGCAATTTATCTTATCACTTGAATTTTATGCTTAACTAATTTATCAAGTGCATATGTGTTTGAAAAGTCGAATTTGAAGCATACTTTTCTTGTTAAGCATAGTATTATTACATGATTGTCGAAACCAGAGTAGAGTTCTAACCTGAGATCTAGTGTTAGAAGCCGAGACAATCCTGCACGGAAACACCTCATACAAATATACATCGTCAATATCAATACTATCCAATATCCTAGAAATAATCAGCATGTAAATACAGGTAGAACCGAAATATCCGTTCAGGCAGCCTCATATGCCGATCGCAATTAATTAGTTTAGTCAGGAATATCAAGGACAGAAACATGTTTATCGATTATTATTAATGGCGTAAGAGATAGTTTACAAGCAACAATCATAACCAGTACTGTTTAATTTAATGCCTGAAGACTGCCTTTTACACCAAATGTCATAAAGATTTGGTTTGAATGGAAGAAATCCATTGCGAATAATCAATTATTCTCTTTAAATCATTCATCAATTTTTTTAGACTATTCATTCATCAAAATATATATGCATGCATGGATTTTGTTTTCTAAGTGTGATCATCTGTTTTATAATATACACACTTGATTCTTATTGACATGCCAAAAGGGATTAAGATGAATATTCTCGTATAGAATTCGAGAGAAACAAAGGACGTATACAAAGTAATCAGTGTACAGTTTGTTGTCTTTTAATCTCAACCGCAACTAATTACAATTCATTCTACTCGGTAAAATATTATAGATAAGGATATAAGTACCAATTATTAGCAATTAATTGACGCCCTTTTTTATCATAATGGTAATCACTGTTGAATAGATATGTAGACATCAATACATCATATAAATTGATTTTTTCCAGTAAGACAATAAGAATATACTCGTTATGGTAAATAAGTTGTGAATCTTCGTCAACTGAGATGGTTGGGCCATGCATTACGCATACCCAACAACCGATTACCACGACACTCAGGGCTGACTGATGTTGGAGACGGATAGAAGGAGGTTAGGGGTGACCAAACCAAAACGTGACATCAGTCCTTGAAGTCACCACTTTTGGAGTTGAGCCATGTTGGTAGATGCAGATTACTTGGTTGAGATCCGCGTGACTATTGTAACCAATGATTGTAGACTCTGGGTGACATGACTCAGAATCGATCACAATGGCATAGATGTATACACTCTCTGTCTTCCCTTAAACTATGAGATTAAAATTTCTTCATATCTTTCATTCTTTTTGTACCACATCTTTATATACAATCTTTTTTTATATCTTACCACCATTAAATTAACTACTATGAATTCGGTGTTGATCTCGTGCTAACGCGGTATGGAAACCTGGACCGATGCATATGTATGACTGATCCGACGTTATAGCTGACTGACTGAAATAAGTTGACTTCAGATGATACACAAATCATTTGTCCACACAATTTTTCATGTCATATTCGAGATTATTTTTCATAATTTAATAAAAACAGAACACACCAATTACGATCTTTGCTCTAAAGAAAAAAGAAGCAAATCCTAAACACTTAGTTCCAAACGCTTACTTTTAATACTACTTGCAGGAAACAATCAGACATCCCAAGATATCAATGCTTACACCTACTATACAAGGTTCGTTGATAAATAATGTGGAAAAAACGAGTTATTTGTATAGAGTTGTTCTAGATCCTTATCTTTGCCAGGACCTATCACATTTCGTTTTAATCTTTATAAAAATGCTTCTGCAATACCATTATTATGAGTTTTTTATTTGAGTTTACTGATTATTATTAGTGTTATCATGACCTTTATTATCTATATTGAAGTTAATGGCGCTTATATTTATACTGCCTATTCTAAAGATTTAGATCCTTTGCACAAACACTTTACAAATACTAAGAAATAATCATATAAATGTCAACTTTAAAATACAGATACAAAATCTTTAAAAGCATATTATACACCGAGTTTTAACTGATAGGTAAAATGATGTAAATAATTTATCAAGTATAATTTTAGAATATTTGGCTTGGGTCACAATTAAATCGTATGACAGTCTAATAATCTTACCCGGATCGTCAAATTAAAGCAGATGAAACCGGATTCTAAGTTGTAACTCAGAAGTTGGAAGTCGAATATAGAAACTTACATTATAAATTTGAAATATACCAATCCTATAAACAAAATGTAGTAGCGAAATGTGATTCAGTGTTTGGATACGTTCGTTTTACGAGTATTAAAACTATATCCTCAAGTCAGTTAAAAGTAAGAGCTTAATATTTAATCCAAAAATATATTTAAATGAACAATTATTTTTACAATACCTTCTTTATTATTAAATATTAACATAAACAATGGTTTTGCGAGAGAGTAACTCACACACACAAATGTTTATGTGGACGTTATATGTTTAAGACTTTCAACTTTTAACCAATATTCCACAAGTCTGAACTCCATCATATTTACCTCCATCGATTGATTAGTCGGATAGTATCAGTAATCCTAACAACTAAAATCTGGTTATGCCAGGAAAGCCTCAAATTATCTAACTATTTTTAGGTTTAAATAAATGATAGTTCTGACATGCAAATGAGTCTGCAGTAACTTTTTTTTAACTTATAGTTCTCCCATGATCTTTCCTGGTATTTTTAATGTAAGTTTCACGGCCAAATGTGTTGCTATATAGACAAAGTTGTCCTATAAATATTCCGACTTCCTTAAATACAAAATTTCTCCCTGAGTTCTTGAATTCTTTTTCCTTACCATCAAGGTGTGATTGTTATTGAAATACTACTTATTAGTCTTACATTCTACCTGATTTAAATATATTTTGTTTGTATCAGAAAAATCTTCTAACTGTTCGTTATTCGAAATTATCGTAAGCTATACCGAAATATAACAGATTCAAAGTTGAACTATAAGAGTCTCTATACCTGGTAAACGAGTTACGGTATTTATATACCATTAATTGCATAAAATTAAATTTGAAGTGGATTCAAAAAGTGAAACAATATCCGATTTTGTGTTGATAGCGATTAAAATACACACAAATGTAGTAACTGAACCTATATATATATATATATATATATATATACCTGCATCCCAGAGTCGATGTGCACTGCGTGACTCGAACCCAGTACCTTTCGCTTCAAACGCCATTGTGTTATCCACTATGGTACTGA